TAAGGGAAAAGTAGAGGGAGCTATTTCAGATAGTGTCGCATTTTTACTGCCAGCTTTAAAAATTTAACTGTATTTTCGGGGCCGATATAGAACAAGCACCTCCTAAACATTAGGCACCGAATATAAGAAACAAGCACCGCTTTTATAAAAATGAAAAAATTGGTAATTCACTGGGAAAAACATAAAAATGAAAGGTAAAATAAGAAAATGAATAGCGGTGCTTGTTCCCAATAATTTTCACCGGTGCCTAATGTTTATGAGTTCGGTGCTTCAACTATATCAGGGCCGTATTTTCATAGTCATTACTTTGAATTTATAGTCGTTTTGGGACCAAATCGAATTGTAACACTCTGTTCTAAAATTTATGGCTTCACGGCTGTAGAGTTGGTTTTTTTGGTATTATTATGTTGTTCAAATAATTCTGTGGCCCCTCTCAAAGCAAATTTTCGGAGTTTAAAGGCACAGAATTATTTGAATAACCTAATAGTACCTTAAAAGGGTCGGCTCTCTGTATAGTCATCATAATATTGTCCTTCTGGCGTTATAAGGTGTTTTTAATTCAACTTTATAAACTTTAAATTTTGAGCATTTAGCCTCCAGTTAGAATTTTTGAGCTCTACCCATGTGATCGTGTTGAAACGCGCCAAATATCATAAATAATCCCAGCTTAAATATACAAAACTATCATTTTATTATTTTTGCAATTTTTCCACCACCATATTTTGCCGCTTTTTATGTGCTATCAAGTTTATAACGTTCAGGAGCCATTGCTTTTTTTGTTTTTGCAATATCTCTTCTGGGGCCGAAATATTGGCCCAGTGAGATTTGTAAAGAATATGTTTTCGGAAAAGAGAAAGCGCCTCTTGATCTTGACCGCAGCAGCTCTTCAAGAATTTTTCTTATTTGTAAAAGAGACCGGCGGTTTTTGGGGAACCAAAACGGTAATTTATATGCAAAAATAAATGGCCAAAACATTAGGCTTGAATTTTAAATTGAAATTTTGGGCTAAAATGTGGGGTTTGATTCGAAAATGGAGGCAAAGAAGGGACTTGTTTAGGCTATAAAAATTTGTAAGTATAACTTTAGGCTAAGGCATTTGATAGCATGGCAAACGTTTTGTCGCTTTTTACGTAAAAATACATACAAATTGGCGACAAGATTTTATTGACACATTAATAAATACCTATGCCTCAACCTATACTTACCAAATATATATATAATAATAAAATATATATGTCAGTTTGTGGTTAAACACAAATATTTTCAACTTTTTGGCCTTCCCTTGTTGGTTAGTTTAACAGCCTTGAGTACTACCTTGTAATCAGTCCCTCGATTGCAAGGTAATAAGCAAGGATGGAGTATGCTCAAATCTTAACCCTCATTTCTCATATAAACCATAGGTACTCCGCGTACGTATAGTATTAGTACAAAAAGTCTGCAAAAAACTGTCGGATTTTAAAGGACAGGAGGACTAATTTTCATTCAATTATGCGTATAATCCGTTTCACAACGTATCCGAAGGTATTAAAATAACCGAAGCCCCATAAAGGATAGATATACATATGCTCCATATCTATATACATTTAGTCTATGTATATCTATCTAACGTGGTATTGCTGTTCGCTTTGGTATTACAAGTTTTTTAGTGGAATATCAAAAATTTTGTCATGTTAGCTGTTAGTTAAAGCTGGGCCGGTAGCAAAAGCTGGGACAGTAATTTCATATAAAACTATGATATTACTGCCCAGCTTACGCACAAATAAAGCCAGATTTCAGCAATGGGATATTATTGGGACACGTGTCGGATTAGCGTATTTCCGGTGTTTGATTAAGTTGCCTGTTAACCGCTTCTTTAAATTAATCGTTTTGGGGGCTTTTTAATAAAGTGGCCGGATTTGGTAGTCTGGCTTTATAAAAATTTCATCTTTTTTTAAAGTTATCGAAGTACATTATGGCAAATATTAGAGTATATGTATTACTTTATCTTTCTTTGATTTATTATTTAACGATTTGCCTTACTTTAATGTATGGTATTGTTTTACGTAGCATTCGCTTCAAAAATGACTATAAAAATATTATAAATAGGGAAAAATTTAGGAAATACTATTTTACGTTTTAACACTTAAAAACTCGGAATATGTTAGGCTATACAGTCATCAAAATATAGGGCAATCTGATGAGCTCCTTACCGCAAAGGTTAAAATAAATGCTAGTGTTGACGTAGAAGATCAATATAACAATAGAAAATGAACTTTAGTACACCATTATATCATTTATAGTTATTTTAATCATTATTTCCTTTAAAAATCTGTTATAATAATATGATCTAATACTTTTTAAGACGACTATGAATGATATAACGTAAAAGTTCATTTTGATGTTATATTGATCAACTACGTCAACACTAGCATTTACACTAACCTTTTGAGTAAAAAGCTGATCGAATAGTATTATATTGAGATGAATAAACCAATCACACCATCATCTTTTAATCAGCGTCTTTGAAGTATACCAAAATTAATATTAGTGATCGTAGTGAAATTTTTAATTTTTGCCTTTTTAAATGTTGCCTGTACAATTGAAATGAATTTCATAGTTTCATATACGCCTAGATCTTGTAACTTCCTAATATTATAATAGATCATATTTCCAGTTTTCAAGTGTTAAAACGTAAAATAATGTTTCCTGACGGTTTGCCCTACTTATAATATTTTTATAGTTATTTTTGAAGTGAATGTTACATAAAATGTGTTTTTTTTAACTCCATCGAAAAATTGACACCTTTCAAAACTTTATATACACCCAACGTTGTAAAGCTTATAATTGCCAAATATCCGTGAATATTTCCCACTTTTGAGTATTAACACAACAAATAGGATTTCCTAACCGTTTTCCCTATTTATAATATTTCGATAGTCATTTTTGAAGTGAATGCTACGTAAAACAGGATTATTGCATGTAAAGCCGTTGTGTGGTCATTGGTTGTAAAGAGCATTGTTTCAATATTTTCAATGCTCTCAGCGGGTTGTTGTAAAGTTTTTTGCCTTTTATTGGATTGTTTGTTATATAAATTAATTTTACGATTTTTTTGGATGTTTAGTTAAATACGCTGGCTCATAACTTCTGATTATTCCTGCACATTTCAAAAAATTTTTTTCATTGAATCAACCTGAAGATGGAAATTCAATGTACAAAATTTTAAGAAAGTTGCAAGCATAATTCAGAAGTTACAAGACTTCAAAGTTTTCTACATTTAGTGTTCAAAGAACGCTTTGAAGTTAATATAGGATATAAATATTTCTTCACGGGGTTCTTTGAATGATTTCCTATCTGATACTAGTCTTCAATCATATATTTTTTGATAGTTTAAAGGCTTTTGAATATTTTTAAACCTGACACTGATCGTACAATTTCGTAGCTTATATAAAGAATTGTAATATCAGGATCAGGTACAACATCAAGGTTGACAACCAACTTATTTTACTTTTCTTTAAAATTTCAAAAAAAAATATTATCAAAATCACAAAAATTTACTCTCAAAATTCATTTCAAGTTATTTTTGTCTTTGATTTCAAGAAATCTCGACGTCAAAGTGTCATATTCGCTTAACCTCAACCTTTTCATCAACAAAAACATTCCTTTTTTGACTCGATTCCTAACAATAAATAAGCTAAACCGAAAAGCGACGACTTCCGCTAAAATCACCGTTTCTTTTTTTCATTTACAACACTTTTCTTCGCCGAATAAATCTGCATCACCTTTTTCGCCCCCTTAATTTATTTTCTACCTTTAACCCCTGATTAGTCTTTAAAGCTGGATTTTAATCTAGCTCTTACTTATTTACCATTAAAGTAGATAAAAAAGTAGAGATTGCTTTTTGTCGCTTAAACTAAACCATCTATACCTACTTATAAATGTTTAGTTCAAGAGCCCAAATAATATTCTTAATCTGCCACACCTTGCTCTTCATCTCATAATACACCTCAACTTTCCTTTCACCTTCAAAAAACCTCCAACTTTCCTCGCATCTCAAGAAATATACCTATTTCTCAAGAACCATACCCATTTCCGCTCATCTCCAAGCCATATCAACTTCCCCCTCTCCAACCCCTTATCTGTACGTTAAATTATAAGGTTTCGGCGTTTTGATTGTAAAATGGTTTGCGGATGTTTTCGCCATTCCGCACGTGACAAAAGCGGAATGTTTGCGTTCAACAGACGGTTTATTTCCATGTTAATATTTGCGTTTTGGGCTCGTAATTAAAACGTCGTTGGTGAAGCGAGCAATTACAATTTGAATGTATACTTGGGATTGTAGCTTTATCATAGCATAGTTTGTCTTATCCCACTACCGCAAAAAGGGATATTGAGCTTATCCTAACACTGTCAAAAAAAATGTTGGCCTTATGACTTTGTAGCGCCTCTTTCGATAAAAAGAACGAATTTCAACCTGTTTTTGGTCAAGAAGTAAAAAGATTCTTTTTGGAAATTAAAAAAAAATTCCTCAAGTTCATATATCTAGCTTTATGTCAAAATCCAAGACCAAAAACCTATGGTTTCTGAAACTTTGGCAAGATAATCCACCTTATTCAACAACTTTTTTTCAAAACCATGGGATAAACCAGCTTTATTATAGCTTTCAAAGGTGAAGACTTTTATTAAAAGTCTTTACTTACCCGATACCACTATATTCTACAATAAGCCCATTGATAACCAACAATTTCGATTCATTTCAGTCGCCGAGCCCTAAATTTTTGCCGAAAAAACCGAAACGAGCTGAAAAAAGCTACACTTGGCTTGCTTGCCTTGACCCGAGTCAAGTCTCTCTTTTTTGTTTTTTATTTTTGCAAGTTTTATCCGGATCGAATCTTATTCGCTTCGTGTTCGTATAACGAACGTCGTCGGATTCGCTAATAAATATTTTCCAGGCCATTGCGCTGAAATTCAATGCATTTCCAACCGTAAAACGCCTTACTGATACATTTCAAGACGGAAACATCATGGAAGACGACAAAAAATCTGGTACACGGTAAGGGTTTGGTACTGGATTGTTTGGATTTTAGGCTTTGAAGTAGTAATTGAGGTTAGCGATGTAGTTTAAAATGAAAATAAAAAGCTTTCTTTGCTAAACAAGAAAATGCAAGCCTTTATTTTGTGGTAACTCTTAGGCATGGATAAGATAAAAGCCATTGAAAAGGAGTGGATTTATTTTCTGTAAGCAATAGTTTATACTTATTAGCTAGCTCGCTTTCTTGTTCTACTTTTAAGTGTAAATTTAACCATTTACTAATGCACATAGCAACTAGAAGGTTTCGATGCAAGTATCTAATATCCAGTATAATATCTAAAAAGAAGTTTGTGTAAGTTCATAGCATTTTAGATCGTATTCTATACATATCTTAGTTTATTCTGAGAGGTTAGAAGTAGTTTTTGTAAGAAAATGGTATAATATAAACGCTAAATTTGCTATATTATTTTAGGGTATTCAAGAAGACGAGTCCAAATGGCAAAATCACGACGTATCTGGGTAAACGGGACTTTTTGGACAGAGGAACGTCAGTCGATCTTATTGGTAGGTGTTTTCTTCACATTTGTTCTTGTTTTAGGGTAATACAAGGCTGTTATATAATCCTTCTTCTTTCAGACGGAATGGTCTTAATTGATGAAGAATATCTGAAACAGAACAAAAAGATCACAGTGCAACTATTGGCAGCTTTCCGTTATGGTCGTGAAGATCTCGATGTGTTAGGATTAACGTTTAGAAAGGATTTAATTAGTCAGTTCTTCCAAGTTTATCCACCAACAGAGCTACCCAAACCTTGTACTAGGCTACAGGAACGTTTGCAGAAGAAGTTGGGACCAAATGCGTTTCCATTTTGGTTTGAAATTCCACCGAATTCAGCTTCGTCAGTCACTTTACAGGTAAGGATGTTGATTAGTTAATTTTTGGTGGTTTATATTGTTATAATAACCCTCGAGTTCTGTCTGCTTCAATTATGTCATTTTAAATGGTTTTACCTGATTATTATTGAATTGTTTGGTTTTGTTGAATTGTGTTTTGTTATTTGTTGTTGATATTATAATTTTGAACTGTACTTTAAAGTTGTGATGTTGAAAAACAGAAGTTTTTTAAAAATGTATATCATTTTTTGATATGAAATCATAGTGATAATATAAAAAGTATTGATTCAAATGGAAAAACAAGGGTATAAGTATTTTCAAAGCCGTTTTTTTGTAGTTATGATTCAAATTGGCACAATGGGTCTTGTTTTTGTTTATGATAACAATTTATTGTAGTTCTTGCATGAATACGATGTTTTCCTAATGAAAATAATATGAATTTTCATTATTTTTAAAATTAAGTGGCTTGGGTAAGGGTTTTAGTCAATTTTTTGAAGAATTTTTGGTGTAATACTTTACCTTGTTTTCGAATTTTTTTATCCTTAAATTGTAGTATATTGTGTTTTTGAAATTTTTGGATATTTTAGTAGTTTTATTTCTTTATAACAGTTTGTAATAGTTTAAAATAAAGTAAAAATTTACTTCTCTGTTTTCAGCCAGCTCCTGGGGACACAGGAAAGCCATGTGGGGTGGATTATGAGCTGAAGACCATCGTAGGCAGTGATTCTATGGAAAAACCTAAGAAACAGTAAGTTTTTGTTTGAGGTTATGTTAATCTTTAACTTTTTGCCATTTTTATCTGCCTCTACTTCTCATTATGCCTTTATGATATTATTTGATCAAGTTCAATATAATTTTATTTACGTTTTAGCAACTCGGTACGATTGGCGATACGAAAGCTAACATACGCACCGATGATCAAACGACCACAGCCGATGATCGATGTGAACAAGGAGTTCATCATATCACCCGGGGTTCTGCATCTGGAAGCGTCGCTAGACAGAGAGGTAAGAAAGTTCTTGCCGTTCTAGTTATATCTTATAATTCTCCTTTAATAATATCTTATCATTGGTCCAGTTTTGACCGTTTTATCATAGGTTGACTAAAAACAGTACTAAAATCTATTTTTGAGTTTCATATTGTACCAAATTTCGAAATGGGACTAAAATCCGTTTTTAAATTCAATTTCTTACCAATCTTTAAAATTTGTACCATTATACCAGGTATCAGTATATACCCAATGATTTCAGATGTACTACCACGGCGAATCCATCTCAGTCAACGTTCACGTCCAGAACAACAGCAGCAGAACCGTGAAGAAGATCAAAGTTTCCGTAGTCCAGGTAGCTGACATTTGCATCTTCACCACAGCTTCATACACCTGTGATGTAGACAAAATCGAATCCACGGAAGGCTTCCCCATAGGTCCCGGCTCCACTCTCTCCAAAGTCTACACTCTATGCCCATTACTATCCAAGAACAAAGACAAACGTGGCCTCGCACTAGATGGACAACTAAAACATGAGGATACGAATCTAGCTTCAAGCACAATGAACCCATCCCTGTCACAGCCGGGCCGAGAAAACCTCGGCATCGTGGTCATGTACAAGGTGAAGATCAGGTTGATGATTGCTGGTGCTTTGGGAGGGGAATTAAGTGCTGAACTACCCTTTACTTTGAGCCATGCCAAGCCAGCAGACGAAGTTTCCGAGCCAAAAACTCCGAAACCAATGAGTGAACGACCGATCAATGCCAACGATCAGATCATCGACGTCGATTTGATACAATTCGGCCCGTAAGTTCAGGTTTTTTGGAAGATTTTGATCAAAAAAGGTAGAAGACAACTTTCTATTATAATTTAAGATCAAAAAGTAAATAAAATAGTATACAGTTCACATAGAATTTCCAAAATAGGGATTTTTCTATGTAAAAATGGCTAAAATTGATATTCAATTAGCCTTTTGAGGTCAAAAAGTAGATCGAATAGCTGGTTTTGCAGTAAAAAATTCCAATATACCTATCTACCTTATGAACAAATTATTAAATATAGAAAATACAACTTATTTGATTTCAGAACCGACGACGAAGCCGACGATGATGATATTGTCTTTGAAGACTTTGCCCGACTTCGAGTACGTGGTGCGGATTCAGAAACTCGTAAGTTGAAAAATTACTTATATTGTAATTGGAGCCTACTGTAACATGTCATTTTATGCATAAATCTAGCCTACTGTACCATGTTATACCCAAAAGTATGTATATTTATACCTCACTACTTCAGGAAACGAGCTCGCCCCCGCCCTATAACAACAATCAACCTTGCAACGCACTTGACTTCCTTCTTCATCAATACGAGTCCAATATTCCTTTCTCCTTATCTACGAACATTCTGGGTATTACAATTGATGTTTCAAGCACGCTACACACCATTGTGTCATAATTTTCTAGGCCTATTATTTTTGAATAATATTTTCTCAATTTTAATCTTATTTTTGAATTTTAAAATTTAATTTTCAATTGTTTTTTATAATCTTATTTTACGTAATCATATTTTCACTAACTTTTGATTATTCATTTTATAATATTATTATTGAGACCATTTAATAACCTCTTTTACACAACCCATATAACACTAGGTCTTTGAGGGTCTTGAGAGGGTTACCTGGTTTTCAAATGTTAAAACTTCATTCTTAAGGTTTAAAATTCAAAAACCAATCCCTCCAACCCCAAAAAGACCGGTAAGACCCTAAACTACTACAATGTTTATCATCAATCTCAATCTGAAGTTATTCATGTACATATCTACCCCAATATTGTTCAGTTTGTCACATTCCCCCCGATCACAATGAGTCTAAATATTTTTGAATTGATTGAATAAATTGTTGAAATAACTTAGTTTGGATTAGTTGTTGTTAAGGGCGTCGTTTCGTTTTATTTTTGGGTAGCAATCTGATTTGGAGCTGATAGACGAAGATCAAGCAGATCAGGCCAGAACTCGAAAGATTTAGCTAAAACTAAAATCTTTTTACAAAAATAAGTTTGCAATGGGTCTATTCTTGAGTTCTATTGTAATCTCAAGCTATTTATAAGCCTACATTTTGAGTTCCGAACCAAAAAATATGATCCTTCCCAAATAGACATGAGAAACGGGCCGGGCCGGCCTTGAGCAATATTCCGATCGGGCCGGGCCTAACATTCAGGCCCTGCCCGCGGGCCGGGCCTGAAAAATGAGCCGGGCCCGGCCCGTTTCCACGTAAAAAAAATTTGGTAGGCCCGGGCCGGGCCTACCATCGGGCTGGGCCGGACCGGCCCTGTGCAAAATTTCGATCGGGCCGGGCCTAACATTCAGGCCCGGCTCGTTTCTCATGTCTATTCCCAAAAGACCATGGGTTGGAAATTTCTTTTTAATTTTTACCTTCCAAAACAACAAAAAATCAAAGAGTAACAACTAAAAAGCATGTAAAACACTATAACAAACAATACAAACATAAAAAACAAGATAACAAGCAATGTTAATCTATGAAAACCAAGTAAAACTTGCCGAAAATCAGCCAAAAAGTAAGAAAAACGAGAAAGAACAATATGACCAGAAATTTTCATCGAGTCAGCTCTTTTTCATCCTGAATTTTTAGCTTATGAAGATCGTAAAATAAAGATCTACTGAAGATTAATATAAATTTTTACTTTTTAGATACTATTACGGCCGCGGCCACACTAAAACCACTAGGCGGGCCCCACCCAACCAACCCGTCCCACCTTACCGCCGACTGGAATGAAGCAGATTCGCAACTATGGATTTTCTCATGAATTCTACAAAGTTGTCCGAATTCAGAAAGCATTAACATGGAGGAGATAAAATAGGGCTTTTAGAATAATCTACATGTAAAATTAAATTAACAAGGAAAGTACCCAGCCTGCAACTCTCAGGATTAGCTCAAAATTTTTATACAGAATCTATGTAGTACCAGTAGCACATATAAAAAATCTTAGCTTGCGGTTTTAACTTTTAAAATTAATATATTTAAATTTCCCGCAAATTTGGCAGATTTGGCATTGTGTTGCAAGCGCTTTTTTTGATGTTCCAGACAAAATGGGCTTACAAATTTAAAATTGCGGGTTCATTTGAAGCTTTTCTATCATTATATTAAAGAAAAATGGTTAAAAGTCAAAAAATGACAAAGTTATATACTTGAAACACTATGCCAATTTGGCGGGAAATTCAAAACGCGATTTTTTGATCTTAATTTTCTCAAGACTGGCCGCAAACCGCAACTTAGAATTTTGCATAAGATCCTCCATTTACATGATCTTTCAATTAAAAAATTATGAACTAAATCTGAGCGTTGCAGGTCGGGTACCTTCCTTGTAAGCAGGGCCGGGCGGGGACTTTTGGTCTGGGGGCGGGGTTCCAAAAAATCGGCACAGGTAGCATACCTGTGCCAATTTTTTTGCAAAATTTTTTTTTCCGAAAATCCACAGGGGGGGGACCACGTTCAATTTTTTTCAAAAAATTTTTTTTTGGGGGGGGGGGCACCCCCCCTCGCGCCCGGCCCTGCTTGTAAGCATATAAGTATTTCAATTCGGGTTTTCATTACCTAAACTTCGTCTACAACTTGAGTTTTTGGTTTGATGGTGATAGGCTTAAAGCCGAAATATTAAAACTTAAGACCAAAATATTACAAGACTAAGCTTTAAATCCAAAACAAATATCTATTATATTAAAATTTATTAATCAATCCATTCGTCTGTTGGCATGTCAATTGTAATTAGCATTAAAAAGGAGTAACACAAACAAATTTTAAACGAGATTCGCAATGTTATAATAATATACAAACAAGAATAGGTTTGATTCAAATCACTGTGACAAGTACAATGCCTTTAGGGTGTTTAAAACTCCCTGAGGTGTTTTACTTCCCACAAAGAATTTGAACCAAAAATCTTCAAAATTCTGCAATAAACAATAACTAATATTAAAGATCAAATCGAGAATTCTATTAAAGCATGTAACCATAAACATAAGAGTGATTGAAATATAAAGCAAAAATGAGCAATCAAGGGCAATATCAATATTAGAATCGATCGAAAACTATCTAATTAGACTCTGTCGGACAATAACTGAAGTAAAGCAATGTTAACATGTAGATTCTCATAATTATTTTTTTTCATAATAATACTCTAATATCGCTATAGTGGATGAACAAGATAAACCATAATAAACAAACTATATTATACTGGCCAATGAACCAATAGCTAAAATATACTAAAACAATCATTAAGTCTAACATACTGACCAATAAGACAATAACTAAGATCTACTACATAATAACTGTAACAATACAATAATAGCTATGATATACTACTTAACAAACTAATTACTGAACCTTTTTACATTGTTGAGCCGACTGAATCAATCACTGGCCATGTTAAGAAGGCATGCTACGGCTTGAGTTAGGTCTTCGGTGGGCTGATGAAAGCGTTGGACGGGCGTGGTAACAATGTTGGAGCGGGTGGGGTTTCGCTTCACGCGTTCGTACGCTGATTTCAGCATTCTGAAAGTAAAAAAAATCAATGAGTCCAATAAAAAATGGTATTTTCCGCAACTTTTCTAAATTATTAGGTTGTTCACATAATTCTGTCTCCTCTCAAAGCAAAATTAGCGGAAAAACACAAAAGGAAAAGATATTACACTTACTCATTCTCAGTCCTCAAAACTCTGATCAAGTTGTTCAAATCCGTTGGGTTTTCCTGGCAAATCTCTAGGCTTGTTCGCTTCCGAAACTGTGGCGTTAGGTGCTTCTGAATGGGGGTTGTGCGTTGTGGTGGGGTTGGTGGTGTGGTCGATTTTGTATCGTAGTCGAACACGTCATCTTTGATTTCATCTTCGTCTTTGTAGGCGGCTGGACTGACGGTTACGTAGCCCACTCGACCGGTCGATCTGCGGCGCATTTTGTTGTGGACGAACTGGGTAAAGTCCCGGACGTTGTCTAGGGCGTTGGTCTGAAAGTTTTGGTTTTATAAAGTGTTAAGATTTGCTGGAGGGGTGGTTTTCTTGGAGTTAATTCTGGTGCCGGAGGGGTGATTTTTTAAAATAATTTGCCGGAGGGGTGATTTAAAAAAAATTTAACTCTGGGAAAGCAAAAATCAAAAATTTTTAAATAGGTAACAAAACCAAAAAATCAATCAAAACACCCACCTTCTCATAATACTCTTGAAGCTCATGCTCCGGTTTGTGTCCTTTAATGTATTTCCTTGAAAAAAAAGCAATTTTGGCACATGTCCACATTGAAACAGTGCAGACACTTGAACCTCAACCCCACAATTGGGTACATTTTGCATCCGGCACATTTGGCGTTCTTATGTTTTGAAAATTCGGATCTGATCAGGTGATGAAGTGATCTTGCCCAGGTCAATGTTTCCGGATTCAGATGAGTCCATTCGAGGAACTGATCCACCGTGATTGAGTCCACTTTGACTAGGTTCTTGGTTTCGGCGACGTGTTTAAAGAGAGCGGCCGTTGAGGAGGGGGCGGATTTTAGGCCGAATCTTGAGGTATCTTCTCCGACGAGGCGTGGGAACTGGAATTGAGATTGTTATAGGGTAACTTTTTCAATGATAAGGTTACTAGACGTTTTTTCTTTCTATCATAAAGGTATTATATTATAGTTCTGTCTCTAAAAAGGCTGTTATAAGGTAGTTTTGTCAATGATAAGACTAAGAAAAGCTTTTTTCTATTATAAGGCTATGATAATATAGTTCTGTCACTAACTTTTCTCAGTTATTCATAAAAAATCTATCATTTCATCAATCAAACCCATACCTTGGCCAAATCCGTGAACATATCCATCATCTTATCCCTTGTTCCTTCGCCATTGTCCGAGTAGATCGCGAACAAATACCTATATTTCTGATCCAGATTCCCATTGGACAAGAAAACCAAAGACAATTTGACTGTTCTCGCATCGTGCGACAATGCCAATGACTTGAACAAGTCCGTCGCCTTCAGAATGGCGTCTCTGACATCTTTGATCGAGGTTGGGAAGTCGGTATGAGCTTTTTCGAACAACGGCTTTAGGATTTGAAACTGGTCGTCCAGGTTAAGGTCGCCACTGTTCTTGAGTTGAAGTTGTTTGAAGAGGATGTCGACATGAGCCAGGTCGATGAGGTCAAAGTTGAGGCGTTTTTGGACGGCCCAAACTTTCATCGCCGTTCGGTAGTTGGAGAAGCGGATTCGATTGTAGTTTCGGAGGCAGTCCAGTAGGTCACGGAGGCATTCTGGCTCGAATTGGATTCGGACGAAGCCGCCGTTTATCGATGAGGATTCACTTTGGGGGCTTGAGCTGGAATTTATGAGTTATTATGATATTCTAAGCATGTTATTAGGTCATTCTAGGCTTGTTTTTTAAAAAATGATACATATTTTTGAATCTTATAGAAGTATAAGGCTATAAACAGGCATTTAAAACCTCTGATCCACTACAATCCAAATATAATCCTGAAAAACCAAGCGAAACCCACCATATTGTAGTAGACCTCATGCTCATTGTCTGTGAAGTCGTTGGCGAAGCTGAACACTTTTCCGTTGGGCTATCTCTCGGGCTTTTACCTCTCAGCTCATCCGCCAATTGTTGTATTCTTTCGAATTGCGATTCCAGAGATTCTAGGCTTCTTCTGCCGGTCTCGGACATTCGTATTTCAGGGGCATTTTGATGGAAAGTGGCCATTAAATTGGCTGATTTCTGCAAAAACTCACATTATTTATCGTTTTTGTGGATAATGATAGGGTATTATTCTTGTGATTATGGGGGGTTGGCTGTTATTTTCGGGGTTTTCATTGGTTTTGAGGGCTTATCATTATGTTTTTCGTTTGGCCAAAAAATTTTGTTTAATTTTAAAAAATTTAACTAGGCCCTGTGGGCATTTTCTACCAAAAAATTTTAAAAAAGCTCCATTTTGTAGCTCAACGTTAATAAAAAATGTCACCTTTTTTAAAATAGCTAGGTATAGACCTTATCTAACAAGAAAACTCCAAAAAACCCTTTTCTACCCACCTTGTGACCAAAATCTGCCCTCGATATTAACCTACCTCAAGAATGTCTTCGATTCGTTTTCGCTCGGAGGAGTTGAATCCTTGAATATTCCACATTTCAAGTTTGTTGAGTTGGCGTTTGAACCATGTTTCGCATTGGCTGAGGGCTTGTTTCGTCCTCAAATCCGGGGATTGCATTTTGCGGCTTCGGACGATCCTGAAAAAAAAACTCATTATACCAAAGTAGAGGGTTAAAAATGGCAGAGAAATTTTTTTAGGTTTACAGGGGGAACCAATTTCGATATTTTTCAAAATTTTGAATTTAAAAAGGATGTAGGGAGGGGAGGTAAAAAAAATATTTTTTGGTCCACAGGGGGGGGGGACCAAGTTCAATATTTATTCAAAATAAAAAAATTTTTTTTTCAACAACTGTGAAATAAAAAAGAGCCATTTCTTTTGCAAACCCCGAGCTTATTACGTTTTTAATTGACTTGAATAAACAAAAAAATTCGTTTGACAAACAAAATTTCGATGAAACATTGGATCGATTTTGTATAAAGGTATGTTTTGAACAGCCAAATTACCAAAATATGTTTTGAACAGGCAAGTTTGGCTCTTACTCAAAATAAAATACAAAAATTGAAAAAGGCTAAAAATAGTGCCAAGCCTACAAATTAAAGCAAAATCAACATGGTCCCCCTGTGAACTTTTCAAAATTTTTAATTCAAATCCTTTCAATTTTAAACTCACAACTCAGTCAGTCCATTCCAAGTCCTTGAGATCTCATCCCATTCATTTTTCATATTTTTCTGGTCATCAAACTCAAACTCCTGGATTATATCCATCGTCCTCTGCTGTAGTCCCAGATATTCTTCGTAATGTTTGTTGTATTCGGCTATCAAATGATCCAACAATGATAGGTCTTTTGTCGACTCCACTCTTTCTGCCAAAATTTGAATACTACTCAACCATTCCTTCATGGGCTGCTTCTGAAGGTCCCATAAGCGGATGGCTTCGAGGATTTGTTGCAGTTGATTTCGGCGACATTGTAGGGCGACCAGCTTTTCATCTAATTCGCGGCGACAGTTTTGTAATTGGGCTTCAAATACGGTATTGTGTAGCTGCGAGTATTCCGCGTGCAGTAGCATCTTTTTACCTTCTTGCAGGTCTTCACATCGGTTCTGAAGCATGGTTAATATAAGAACGATGTGTTTTTGAGCAATATAATAAAAATAATAGGAAAGGTCTTGAAAATAAATGTCGATAATAGTTTATTCTACAATATTCTTCAAAATTGTGTCCAAAAAATAACTCAAAATTAAAAAAAATCCTCAAAAACAGCCAAAATCAGTCCAAAAACAACTTTTTTCTCCAAAATTTCAAAAAAAGCTCAATAAAATTCCAAAAAAACTTGATAACAAAACCATCAACCAACTGCCCTTCAACAAAAAACACTTTGTATTCAACAAACGTACACTAATCCTCTTATACAACACGAAAACCGCGTGTGAATCCGTCAAGTCTGCTTGATATTCGAGATCTCGTTCGGCGTTCCGAAGCTGCACCCCCAACTGGGCCACCTGCTCCAGGTCCAGGTTCTCGTTGTTCAAATTGCTCAAGCAGGTCGAGTTCAACGAGCGACGATGCGAGTTTTTAGATCGTCTTCGTTCTACGTCGTATGCTGAAATTGAAAGGGATTAGAATGTTATCCTTGGTCCTTTGAGAAGCTTTAAGAATTTTAGGTAACAAAGTGTAAAAATGGAATTGTAAATAATGTCTCTATACAAAAGGCACTATTTGAGACGTATTTTACCTTTCACAAGTCAAATATTTGTCTAAACCCCAAATTATCCCACAAAAATTAGAAAATAGTGTTGCCCTACCCATCAATAACAACATAAGTTATATCAACTAAACCACGCCAATACATTTAAGTTACTATGTCACAAAAACTAAAAAATGTCTTCATCTTTAATTCTTTTTAATTTCATCTTCTTGACTCCCAACAATTTTAAAAAATTAATATTATCATAGACATCTAGACGCCAATTCGAAAATAATTAATTTCAAAGTAAATTTTAATTAATTTTAAATAAGTATGTTATCAACAGAGAGTTCAAAGAATGTTACTTTGAAATGAATTATAATGATCTATCTAAAAAATCGACAAAAGTTCAATTTTCTTCATATTACCCATAAAATATAACCTGAAACAGAACGACAGTCGAGTTCATACTGAATTTTAAGAAATAACCTTAACATGACTATTCAAAAAATAGCTGATAGACTTAGCTATCTAAAAAAACCAAAACCTTACAATAACTTACCTAAAAACCTCAAGAATCCTTCAATTTCCCTAATATTACCCATCAAATCCAACATAACAACAAATTTACAATTAACCCAATCGAATTCAAACAAACTTACTGCTCCTAAGACCGCCACGTTGAAAATTCGAAGGCTCGACAGCAAATTGGGCCGAGGAAGCGGACTGTGAGAAGCGCACGCACTGATCGGTAATTTGATCAAACTGCTTGACCAGGGCTTGGACCTTCTGCAAGTTGGACATACTTGTTGACAAATAATCGAAAATACGTATAAATAGACCAATTTTTAGGTAGTATTTGGCGAAGCTAGTTGATTTTGGCCAGAATTTTGGCTTTTTCCGTTTGAAAGTTAAAGGTTATTGAAAATGCGGCGGAATGCCAAAAGGTGATTTTCGTGGTGGGACCAAGTTAAAGGCGAGATGTTTTGGTAAAAATTAGAAAAAAATTTTTCCATCGATCAATTGTCAATCAACTGACCAGAACGTTGGAAAAACCGGAGCTTCAATGGATTCGTTGTTCAAAAAGATAAGATTTTTTAATTTTTGGCGTATATTTAAAATTTTTAGAGATATTTTCGAGCAAAATCAATCAAAAACAGCTTTAGTCTATAATAATATCAATTCCAAGCTCGCAATCCCCTTTGGCTAATAAAATAAAGACAATAAAACTTGTCTCCGACCTGTGCCACATTCTCTTTGTTCTCTCCGAAAGTTTCTTCGCCCATAAAACTCATGGCTGTTTTTTTGGGCCGAGCGTCGGTCAAGGCGCTGCAGGGTGTGGTCAATCCTTCCTAAAACGACATGACATTTTCGATGAATTTCCGAATAGAATCTCGGGGAAAACAATAGGATTTGACGCGCGCGACTCACGCTAGACTTAATTCGAACTCAAGATATGTAAATTTTGCGAAATTTTAAAAATTTCAAAGTTTTGAGCTAAACTTCAAAGTTCAAAGTTCTTGAAATTAAAAAATTCAAAAACAAAAATGCTATTGAAAATACGGTAAGAGAAGCATGGACACACTAATTTGTTGTCCAGATTGTTTATCTAACGCTGGGAGGCGAAATGAAACGCTAATACCACATCGATCTTGTCGCATGGTAACATGGGTAATATATCAAAACATTCGCTTGGTTTTCGTAATCCACGCCATGTAAAATGGAGACGTATACGTTTTGTAGTAGGATATCATGCTGAGTTATGATTTTTCATAACCGTTACGGCGAAGAAATTGGGCTTATAGGAAGGGTATTAGGCTGTTAAATGGTGATATTAAAGTATTCAATAAGATAAGATTTAAGGTTGAAACAGGTTAAAAAGTGAGCTTGATGGCTGGCTATAGAAGCACAGAGTGAAAAGGAAGTATACCCTACCTAACATTAGCCTAAAATACAGTGGCATTTTTGGTTAGTGGTAGATAGTGTATGTTATAGTAGGATTATGTAGCCCAGAGTATAGTAGGCCAAATTAAGGCTAAAATAAATTACAGTAATACACGAAAACCCCATTAAAAGGCTAATAAAAAAGTAACTTCAACAATAACAATATAATAATACATTACAATACAATAAATACTACAATACGATAACCTTTACCGAACCCAAAAACCCTCCATTACTATCAAAGATACGATCATGACAAACAATGTAAATACGTAAAAAGCGTCAAGAACCAGTTTCGAAGCCACCAATTAAAGATAATCTCATTAAACCCTCTCAGCCCCCAGTTTAGGAAGGGATGTGTGGGTAATTTTCGCGCATCCATTATCCACTTTAAGCGCATATGGCCATATAAACATATGTGTGGGGTCGTAATGGTGTCAAAATGATGTGCAAATACCCAATTCCACAAGAAATTTTTGATGCATTGCGGGGCTCCGCATGATCTTGGTGAATATATTAGCCATGGGTTTGCCATAGGCTTAGTTTGGCCTTATTATACTTGCTATAGCCCTTGCTTTATACCGAAAAAAATCAAAAACTTGTAACTTAGACAAGGAAACAACAAAAACAAGCCTGCAACACGATACCAAACAAACGTGTCATTAACTTGTCATAACATTTTCCGATTACTTATAATCCGTCTTGCGGCTCGAAAACCTATTCCACCCCTCCCGGGTTCGAACCATTTTTACGAAAAAATACCTCGGGATTATATTGTCCATAACTCATTCCAAACGAAAACCATTTAACGATTCTATGACTTTCGCTTAAGAATTTTGTTTTGTTTTGCCTTCAGCTCCATACATAATTTATTCGTATTGTAAGGAGGCGAGAACACACACGTTAATATCGTATTATTATTGATAAAAACGGGTGTTAAAATTCATTTTTGATAGGAGGAAAATTGAAGTTTAAGAAATTTAAAAGTATAAAAGCTTTTTTTAAACTTTAATATAGAATAATATAGAAATTTTAAAACTTTTTTAGTTTATGAAATTTGACTATTGTAATGAGACGAACGATAAAGGAGTTTCGGTATACAGGAGTTGTAAATGCACCGTGTAGTGTTGCCGGGGATTTAAAAGTTGTTCGTTTTTTGAGATTTTCGTTATACAGGAGTTCCATTGTATCAAAAACACGAAATATTATTACACAGTGGGACTCCTATATAACGAACTCTTTTATAACTGACAACTTTTCTCTAGCTAACACTACACAGTGCATTTTCAACCCCTGTATAACGACACTTTTTCATAACGAACGAATTTTAAATTCCCTGAGCGACTCGTTGTACAGAAGTTCCACTATATTATATAAATTACAATAAAACAAGCCAGGAACGAGTGTCATGTACAAGAAAGTTAAATGTTCTAAAACAATCAAATAGTTTTATTTCGTTTTTTTTCAATTTGGACAAAATAAAAATCTTAAAGACAAACAGAGAAAAATAAATAAATATAAGATATACTCAAATTTAACAATGTTACAAGAAAAAAATATATTCAATAGTAAATTACCATTTTAAACATCGAAAATAAAAAAAACAGAATGTGACTACATTCTTTTCTTAAAAATTTTTGAAGATTAGAATAAACAAACGTTCGTATGTTCGTGGAACTCCTGCATAGAATGTTTCAAGGATTTAAAGTTTGTTCGTTATGCAGGAATCTTGGTATAAAGGAGTTTTTTTATTTGCATAACTAACTCTTTTGTAACGAAATTTCTGTATTACGAACAACTTTTGAATCCCTGGGCAACACGATGTTTATTTAAAACATCTCTATAATGAAACTGCTTTATAACGATCAAATTTTAAATCCCCGAACGTTATACAGGAGTTCGACTGTACATGAACCCCAAAAATCTAGCTTACGAAGTTATTTTTACTTTTTTCAACACGTCGCTTTAAAAAAATTATTTTAAAACTGTAAATGAACATAAAGAAAGTTGCCTTGTGAGAAACTACGTGTTGGTAAAAGTAATAGACTTGAATACAAAACTACTTATTCAAAATAAAGCGCAATAATCATTGACCCAAAAACGCGGGCGAAACGTGTACGCTACAAAACGGGCTAACGGGAGTAAATTACAATACAACTTTACTGTTTTTAAAAATTTTGTTTTTTTTTGCATGATAAAAAATTAATGCCCAAGAGCACCGTAAGTCAAGAAAATCATTAATAAAAAAACAATAATGGTGGAACTCCTGTATTACGAATCGCTCGGGGATTTTAAATTTGTTCCTTATGAAGGAGTTTCGGTATACAGGAGTTTTAGATGGACTGTGCAGTGTTGGCTATTTGCACTTTTGTATCCTTGGTTGACACTACGTAGTAAATTTAAAACTTCTGTACGCCGAAACTCCTTTATAACTAACAATTTTAAAATCCGCGAGCGCTTCGTTATCCAGGAGCTCCACTATATTTTATTTAAAAAAACAAAAAAAACTTAATACCCGATAAGGGTTTTTTACTCTGCTTCTCAGAAAACTCAAGAAACTTCAGTCAACTAACTATGTTTGCCAGAAAACGCCAAATCAAGGTGAATCTTTCCACCCGAACGCATGCCCAAATGACCCTCTAACTTATGTAAAAACGCGCGCAAAAAAACCGCTGAGAAGATGGCTCGGCGATTTTATTTTTTTCATATTTATTGTGGTTAATCACTGCGATGCGACAAAACATGCGGTACAAAGCAAAAAAACATATGCGACTAAACATATATGCAATAGAAAGTAACAAAGAATATATAAGGCAAGGTAACGAAAGATATTATACTAGTGTGACAAGGTAAAAGAGAAAGGTTTAGCGAGCGCTAGATTAAACGATTTCAGAATCTGATAGGGGTAATTATAACTATATTTATACTTTGCGGAATTCATTAATGCATAATGCTACCTATTGTAAACGTATTTACTTACCTTTGCTACCCCGTATCGCAATAGACGGATAGTAAGGGTATTGTTTCTAGTGAGACTTTAGCTATTGGATCTAGGTTTTTTTAATGGGAAAATGATGAGAAAATGATTGTAAATAAACGCAAGAAAAGATATCACAAGTAAAAGAGCAATTACAATATTGGGCTGGTTTTAAATTTATAGGAGGGTTACTACAGTATACTGTGGTAAAGTTAATACAGTAGGGTAGAACAGGTCAGGAGAGTAGAGCTGGGTAGGATAGGATGGAGTAGCATAGGTTAGGATGGAATAGCATAGTGTAGAGTCGGGCAGGGTAACGTAGGACACGGTGGAGAATGATACGGTAGAGACTCACAAAAGTTACTGCGGGCATGGATGTTTCAATTTTTTTCTTTTGTTGTTTCTTATGTTTGAAGCCATACCCCAGACCTACCGTTAGACTATGAATCATAGTAGTGTCGGGTATGGTAGAGTAGGGCTGAGTACATTAAGGTAGGGTAAGATAACCTAGGGTAAGGCTAGGGAAATTTAGTGTAAAGTAGGGTACTTAGAGTAGGGATAAGGTAAAGTAAGTAGGTAAAGTAAGGAGGGGTAGGGCAGTAAAATGACCATTTGGTGTAGAAAAACTTTTGAAAATTTCGAATGACTTTTCAAGTAAATTTTTCACTTGTTAATAAGAGAACATGCCGTTTTAATTTAGACCCAAAATCATAAAAATTTAACAAAACAAGAAAGAAATGTTCATTTTCTCAGTATTTATAAACTGAGAAAATGAACTTTAGTTTGACCCTCAAAAGCCGTTCTAAATTAGCATGTAGCACAAAGTAAAGACTTGGTTTATTTATTTTTGAGCAGCGCAATTAAGGTTAATGGCCGTTAATGGCATGCCATTAATTGAAAAAACAAGGACAAAAGAGGGTGGAGATGAACAAAAGAAATGGCATAAGTGTAAACAGTTTTTTTTTAAAATTTTTTTGAATTTTTAAAATTAGAAAAATTTTTGTTTATAATTTTTAAAAAATTTAAATTTTGATTTTTAAAATTTTTGGTTGAAAATTAATTTTTAAGGTGTCAAAGTCTTGTCATTTACAATGTAATGTGAAGATAAGGCTTTTTTACTATTCAATATGTCAGCTTTTTTAAAAATTTTTCAAATTGTCATTAGTTTTCCAACAATTTCAATCTCTTTCCGTACAAAAAGCCTCTCAAAACCATCACGGAACGTCTACCCCTACCGTTCCAGTTAATTTCTATGTAGTTGAGTCAAGTTTAGTCATCACAATGTCATCAAAAAACACTTGTCAGTTCCTCGATCCGTATGTTACGTAACCCGCGAGATAAATCGCCTCTACTGGTTTCGGTTTCCTCGAATTTTATATGTTACCCATTCCATTTTTCTCGTCGGTGAAATGGTCACACGTCGGTGGTGAAAGTCGCTGGAAAAAAATCTGTTTTTTGTCAGATATTGACCTTGTTTTTGCTGGTGTTTTTTCGAACTTTATCCGGAAAATCAGCTGGATTTTGAAGGGTTTTGATTGGAAAAATGAGAAAAAATGTGGCGGCAGGGACGTAGTTAGGAGGGTGGGGGTGAATGGGGGTGGGTACATTCTCTTCCTCTCAGAAAAAATTAGTAGCGACGTCTTTGTGTGGCGGCTACATTTTATAATTTTGATGTTTTTTTTAAACTTTAATTATTGTTTTTAAATTTAAATCATATTACTGAAGAGGTGAGAGATTTTTGGTTTAGGGGACGTTTTTAATATGATCTATCATGTTAGCCTTTCTTTTTTAGTTATGTTCGTTTGATGATTATTGTCTACAGTGCAGAGTGCGTGATTTTGGTGCTGAGGGGAAGGGATAGGAAGCGAAGTAAAAATTTTGTACTTAAGCTGTTCACTTTTAAGGTAAGGGTAGGGTGAAGTAGGGAAGGGCGTGAAAGGGTGGGATGTGGTAGAGTAAGGCAAGGCAAAGTAGTAACATTTATAGCAGAATAGGTTTGCGTAGGGTAGGGTACGGAGGGGTAAGGTAGAATGAGCTGGTTATGGTAAGGTAGGATGTGGTAAGGTGCAGTAAATTTAGACAGGGTAGAGTAGGGTTTAATACCTATCTTCTGTCCTTTCTCCTACCAAAAAAAAATTTTCCCCTCAGGCTAACATACTCTGCCTATTCATAAATATATGGATGTCATGTTGTAAAGGGTTGTATTTTAATTCTTGTTTAAGTATAATATAACATTTTCTAACCGTTTTCATTTTCTTCTTCAATCCACTTGTAATCTATTATCAATATCAAACGATGACAAGCTTTAAGCTATCATAGGTTAACATTAACTTCCTGAATCCTAATTGTAAGCTATCAACTTTTTGCTATCAACCCTTCAAAACCGCCACAATAAACTGTAAACTCGGAAAACAGTAAATTATTCTTTTTGACATTGCCCGAAGGTAAACAATTTGTGCACTGAACCGGACACGAATCGCACTTTTTGATGAATCGAATTGCGTCGATGGACAGCGATGATGATAGCGGTTTTGAGGAACAGGTTTTTCCAGCCCATTCCCTTCCCCCCCCTTGCTTGCTTAGGAAAACCACAAAATCGACGTCGTTCTGAACGAAGGAACGAAAAATGTCCATTTCGCGGATTTCTATCCAATTTCACTAATTTTTTTCCGCGCCCTCACCTTCCGAAGCTCGGTTTTCACGAAGATCTACCTCACGAAGATTGATCTTTACTAAGGTTTACTTTTACAGGGGTTTGTTTTTCGAAAATCGAAAGTCACGTAGACTTACCTTTGTACGGATGTGTCTTCTGAAGGACTGATCTTTGTAATGATCATCTGCCTTCTGAAGATAGAGGGTAGCGTAGGGTAGGATAGGATAGGGTGGGTAGAGTAGGGTATCGTAGGTTAGGGTAGGGTAGGGTAGGGTAGGATAGGGTGGGTAGAGTAGGGTATCGTAGGTTAGGGTAGGGTAGGGTAGAGTAGGGTAGGGTAGGGTAGGGTAGGGTAGGGTAGGGTAGGATAGGGTAGGGTAGGGTAGGGTAGGGTAGGGTAGGGTAGGGTAGGGTAGGGTAGGGTAGGGTAGGGTAGGGTAGGGTAGGGTAGGGTAGGGTAGGGTAGGGTAGGGTAGGGTAGGGTAGGGTAGGGTAGGGTAGGGTAGGGTAGGGTAGGGTAGGGTAGGGTAGGGTAGGGTAGGGTAGGGTAGGGTAGGGTAGGGTAGGGTAGGGTAGGGTAGGGTAGGGTAGGGTAGGGTAGGGTAGGGTAGGGTAGGGTAGGGTAGGGTAGGGTAGGGTAGGGTAGGGTAGGGTAGGGTAGGGTAGGGTAGAGGTAAGAAGTATGTAAGATAAGGTACATTATAGTAGGGGGATTTCCTGTTTGTTGACATTTGGTTTCGGATGGCAGATTAAAGCCTGGAGTGGATCTTTGTTCTTTGTTGATTTTTTTTAAACGCAGACTAAAGATATGGGATATTTAAGGCTTTACCCTGGGCCCTTGCCTATGTCTATACAAAGCACACGGGATTTCGATTTTTCTTTTCTTACTTTGCGCAGGGCATGGGTATTACATGGCATTTACCAAAACAGGCCTGTCTTGACATACTAAAACAGCCCTTCAGCAAAATACATTGACGTGCATTGACCTAGTCATCAATAATTAAAGCAAGCTTTATTCTATGCACAGCTTCAAGAATGATATCGAAAAAAGCTTGCTTTGATCATTTATATCTAGTCACTTTTTGGTAGAAATTATAAAAGATTTTAAAGCTTGTTGCGAGAAAAGCCTTAGCATATGTCTAGGATCACAAAATTTACACGTAGTTTAGATATGTAAATGTAAAAAAAATCTTGTTATTTCTGATTTTTTATGTAGTAATGTAAAGTACCGTTTAACAGTTTTTTTTACAAAATTTAATGTCATCTTGAACTATACTATCGATTTTTTTGATCTTTTAAATGATCTTGTGTTTCAGGATGATTCGATCAGTAGCGACGGTCGCCTTATTAGCGACGATAGCATTGGCACAAAACAAAGTGACAGAGTTCGAAAATCCTACCGTAAGTTTATTTGTTGTTGTAAGATTTCAATTTTTATTTATTTTTCCTTAACCAACTTACCATGCCTTACTCTACTTTACCCTATCCTATCTTTCTCTACATTACCCCAAACTCCCCTACCCTACCCTACCTTACTCTACCGTACTATACTCTGAACAAACCTATTCTCGCTTACGCTTTTTTCTATATTTTTTGTATTCTTGCATTACTCATGCCTCTTTGCCCTACCTTTTCTCTACATTTGCCTACGTTTGACCGTGCCCTACATTTTCCATGCCCTATGCCTAACTTCACCTTACCCTAGCCTGAGAACCTTAATCTAATCTGAGAACTGTACCCTAACCAAACAATTCAATTAATAAGTTCTTCCCAATTACAGGACTGTGGAAACCAAGCCTCGGACTGGAAGCCATGTATCGAGCGTAAGATCGCCGATCAAGTATTCGGATCATGTTGTGAACGTTTCGTCCCACCAGAATGCCGTGGCCTCTGCATCTACGAGAACCACCCAATCGAGGCTCGTGTGGTTTTGATGCACACAATTCAACCAAGCCGATGCCGATTGTACAAATACTTGAGCTCCATTGTGCACTGTGCTGCTCAAACTCATGACAACTCGGAGTGCTGCCGTGACATGGGCTTGGAGGATATCGGATCTCAATGCATGCAGTTGTGCCGACCTCAGGTATGGTTTTATTATTTTTAAACTGAAAATTTAAAGTTTTGATACTAAAATTGGTATTAAGAGGTTTCAAAAAGTCTTGTCATCAATTGACATGGTTTTGTTTGGCGAAAAATGACAAAACTTTTTGCGCCATTTTACAATATAGGCTTTGTAAAATTTTAAACTTGAAACATAAGAAGTGATAACAATGAAAATTTTAAAATTTTAAAAAATCACCCCAAAATAAAAAAGTTTAAAAAAAATTACCCCGCCCATTTACAGGCCAACCCACGCCAACTGTGGGGTGCCAAATCGCTACGCAAAGACCTGGTTCAATGCTTGTCCAAATGGGACCAGGTAATGCATTGTCATCAATCTGGTCTCCGTGCTCGCAAAATCAACGTCCAAAACGACTCGCCCGATTCATTGAAACACGTTTAAGTGCCATAAGCAACATTGTTAACATATTACAGTACCGTTTAGTTTGAAACACAATAAAAAATGAACCTTTAGTTTTATTTTTGTAGGGTAGGGTAGAGTTGGGTATATTAAGGACTTCATAGATAACCCCTTCGAAATTCAACATTTTAACGATAGTATAGCCAAAGGATATTTTAAAAAAGAAAAATATTGAAGAAAAAGACATCTTCAAGCCATAATTATTAGTTTTAAAGAAAAACCCTTCAAAATATCATGTAAAATAAAGTAAAACAGTCAAAAGTTACAAAAGATCAAGCTTTTTCAAGAGAGCGCAAAGAGAAAATGAGACTCAATTAAATTTAAAGAGAGCGCGCAGACAGTCAGACGTTTTTTCGTTTGAAAAACAAGAGGGAGAGAAAGAGCATGCGAACAGTATAGTGCGTGTAGAGAAAGAAACAATTCTTTCCTTTTCAAAAGCCCTCGTAAAAAGACCGCGTAAAATGAAGAGAGCGCAGAGACAGCGAAGAGACCCTGCATTTCGAAGAGAGCGCCGACTTAACGAAATATAACTTGGCCCTGCGGGACGTTAGAGAAAGAAACAAAAGCCCAGAACGATCACAAAACCAGTGGAGAGCCGAGACATAGTCAGAGAACATGCGGACCAAGAGAAACGGTCGACGAAAAAGGACGCGAACAAGCAGAAAGGAGGAAATAGTGCATGGAAATTAGAGGGTGGCAGAGAAACACGAGAAATGTGGCGCCTTTTCCAGTTGCTGGCAGAATGTTGCCCCCTTGGCTTCAGAAAGCTGGCTTCTCTTCCGTCTTCGGCTTTTACACGGTATTTTCAAGGCGTTTCACTCATTTCAATGTTATGTTATCCATGGTTTGAGTGATATAATCTTTTTTGTTTTCTCTTTCACTTGGTTTTATCCATCTTTTGCCTTGTTATCCTTGTTTCTTTCTTTTAAAATTGATATTACCCATCTTTTGCTTTATCCATGTTTTCTTTCCTTATCTATGATTTTACCCATCGTTTTTTATATTATCCATCTTTTCTTCCCTTTTTCCTTATATTCTCCTTCTTTTAACTAATGTTATCTATTGTTTCCCCTCTTCCAAACTATATTCTCCATGTTTGCCTTCATCTTATCCATCTTTCGCCGCCTCGCTTCTCTCTTTTTTCGTGTTTTAGCCGTCTAGCGCTCTCTCGCCTGCTATTTTAGCCATCTTTCGCTGCCCTCCCCCCATATATTATCCATGTTTTCAGTGGAATTTCCAACAAAAAACTGGGGACTTTTGATTATGGGGCTTTCTGCTTGATTTTCACGGCTTTGGGAACCTGGAACGACGTATTTTAGGTTGTTTTAAGTGTAGAGCAACGAGTTCTACGTTGTTTAGGTATAGAACAACGTATTTTACGTTATTTTAGGTATGGCAAATGAGTTTTTTGAGGTTTTACTTCAGTTTGAGAGATTGGGGAGTTAGAACGTTGTATTTTATATTGTTCTAGCTACGTCGGACCAATTTATTTTTTGAAGGTATTGCTTGAATTCAGGGCTTTGAAGATGTATAACAACGTGTTTTATATTGTTGTAGGTATGGCAAATGAGGTTTTTGGGGTATTACTTGATTTTAAAATATTAAGAAGGTAAAAAGCGTATTTTATATTATTTTAGCTTTGTTGGATCATATTTTTCAAGTTTTTTTGGCTAAAATCGCTTGTCTATTCCAATTTACGATCAAAAATTTTGTAGAATCAACCGGTTTACCTTTGCAAATTCACATTTTATCACTTTAATTTATATTTTATCGTTTAACAGAAGCACTTGACCTACCTCAATAATTCCAGGCCAAATGGAGACCAGTACCGACACCACCCTGGGCCAAGTGCTGAAAGAATGTGCAAAAGCCATAGCCAGGTCCAAGAAGACTCCATCCTCATCAGGATCGAACAATGCTGATGTTGATCAACCTTGCTCTTCAACTCATTCACCGGCCGTTGAACCCGTAGCTGCTGGATCGGCTTACGAAACGTTCAACTTCAATATAAAGGAAGAGGTGGAGGAAATTGATCCGTATGTCACGGCTAAGGTTCCTACTAGTAGGTTTTAGACTTTTTTTTATTTTTTGGGGGATGTTATTGATTTTTTTAATTTTTTGAAAAAAAAATTTCAGCCCAACCCCCAATTCCGACCATTTCCAACGAAACTGTAGCACCTCCAGACCAGTATGCTGATGTAAGGCCGTCGAACTGGACTGGACTATACGCTGCCATTCAAAACGAACCCATTGATCCAATACAGTTGGGGAAAGACATCTACGAAGAAACCAAGGGGGATGTCAACAAGTATAAGGTAAGGTAATATGAATAGGGCATTAGGGCTTGAAATTGATCTAATGGTCCAAGTATTGTTCTAGGGGGGGGGGGGTTCTTTTCTTGAGGCATGGTAAGAATCATGATAGCTAAAATCGTGGAAACAATATTACAACATTCCCTATATAACAACCTTATAACATTTCTTTCAGTGCATCATGAACGGCCTCAGTGGCCACCCATTCCGCGTCGATCTAGCCCGTCTATACCAACGTCGACAAGAACTTGTATCCAAACTCGGCGAAGACGACCCAATTGTTCAACTGTACGACTTCAACATGGGCACAATGGTCAAGCTGGACATGGACCGACGAATGTTCAACAACGTCGCTCATGTCACGAATGCTGCCATTTTCAAGGAGACGGTCAGAAGTCGACGCATTCCAGTCAGGTATAGGTTCAGTCCGCGACGGATGAGAGAAATGATATTCTTCACGCCAATCGATGTCGAAGAGTATCAGAATACGAACTCGATGGAGGTTATCAACTGGGCGTGTGAGGCGTTCATTTCCGAGAAAACGAGTTCAGAAGAGATTATAAAGCATATAACTCAGAAGACGTTGTTTAGTGTAAGTTTTAGAGAAACTAAGAAAAAATAGATTGTAAATTACAAAATCTTCAACCTAAAGCAATCCAAAACCTAAAAAACACATTTTACCACGCTTCAAAACATAACTTCCTCCATTTTCAGTGCGTAAAAGCCCAATTCCTAACCATGATGACCATCAACCCAGCACCAAGAAGCGGCCGTCGGGTCCTGAAGCCCGAATTCTACCTATTTATGAAGCGAATCCTCTTCCAATCCTTTGGCTTACCCTTCCAAAAGTACCTCTCCATCAGTGTACCAGACCTGATCGTCGGCCTACCACCAAACGAAGACCCATTGGAGCGTGCGGCCGCCGTTCTCATCGTCCGCTTCGCCAGTGAAACGTTAGGCGCATTCTGCGACGATCTGGAAATAAAGAAGAGGAAGATGCCTACCGTGCTGGATGAGGATTCAGATGGTTCGTCTTATACTCCTGAACAAGAAGTTCAACGCAAACACAACAAAAAAGCCTCGATTTTGAGGAAAAAACGACGAAGCCTGAGTTCGTCGGACTAAATTATATTGTTTTAAATATGTTGTCGTAACTTTTTTTAAATTTTAACACGTTGTTAATAAAGAGTTTTTATCGAGGTAGATTTAAAAGTGTAATGAAGAAATAAGCTGGATCCTTTCGATGGAAAGGAAGCGAAGGACATTGACAGATTATTTTAGCCCTGGCACGAAAACAAGTTGCTTTGCAACAGAATGCCATAAATATTTTATAATTTTCTAAAATTTGCAAATTTTAAAATAAAATTTTTACTTACAAAATAAGTTTTGGTTTTATAGTTACGTTTATTTTTTGAAATTATATTATTTTAGTTTTTGTCTATGTTAACTCATGTTATTTTACTTAATTTTGTCTCCCACAAGGGAAAATGTTAAAGAAAATGAAAGTTTTACATCCGAACCTCAAAGGTTATTCATATTTATTCACCTAATTTTATACTTTTGCAAAAAAATCGTTTAAAATAAATTATACTTGGCATCATCGCTTGAATAATATAATATAACAACATGACGTTATATTAACATGGGGTTATATAATTCGCGCGCTAGACTACAATCGGCTCCAAGTTTTCGTCGTTAATATTCCAAAAATGGAAGTTGCGTTGAGGAATGTGTAAGCCACTGTCACCTTCTGGGCCGATCGAAGTGATTTGACGACGTGGAGTTTCGTGTTGGTTATGGTTGCCGGAGCCGACTGGGGAGCCGGAGCCGTTGATGGTTGGATTACGGCTATTGATAGTTGGATTGCGGCCATTGGTAGTTGGATTGGTGCGAGGTGTGGTTGGTCTATCAAACATGACAAATGGACTTGCCTGAAAATAGGTTTGTTAGTTTTTGTTTTTTTAAATTTTAGGTATGGAAACTGATGGTTAAAATGAGTTTTTAGATTGAAAGAGGGTGAAAATGCGATGGTTTAGGCAATGCTTTGTAAAGGTGTATTTTACTTTTTCAAATTTGAAGTTAATCATACCTCAAGTCTATCAACGATGTTATTACCGACTGGTCTCAAAATGCGACGATTTTGATTGCGGACAGGTGTGAACCATTCTTGAAGTTCATGGACTTGTTCATCCTGACGTTGTTCATGATTCGGGTTTGGAGTTCTATTGCGTAAGTCGATATTACGGTTAACATTGACAGGAGTAAGGAATTCGCTGATATCAATCATTTGGAATGGTGCGTTGTCGTCGTGGACTACAGCATTGGCTTCTGAGTTTTGAATTTGAGCATTGAAAGCTTCATTTGGATCATTTTCACCAAAATTTGGATTGTTTTGGATAATATCCGCTTGGCTGACATTATGATGAACAACATTAATTTGATCACCATTTTGATGAACAATGTTAACATTCTGTCCATTTTGACGAATTTCACCATGATTATCATTAGAATGAGCATTGAAACGACCTTGACCATGCTGAACATTACTATGATCACCATTATGACCACCGATTTCAAGGCTTTCATCATGGAGAATATTATTGTTAATGTCTCGGTGGGTATTATTGTTGATATCACGTTGAATATTACTGTTATCATCACCACTACGAACCATAACATCACCGCCGTCGCGTTGCACATCAAGAGGATCCAAACCTTGATCAGCACGTCTATTATATTCACCGTGATTGGCACGTTCGTCATCTTCACCACGATTGGCACGTTCGATGCTTCTGACATCATTTAAAATACCATGATCTCCACTAATTTCAACCCGTCTATCGTCTCCTCCAGGATTAATATTGACGTTATCTTCAACATCAACATCATTATTTCCAACCAGTTCACGTTGAACATCCCCAAATTGCTGGACAATTCGTGGAACATCACCAAAATGAAGGAAACGGCGTTGAAAAATTGGATCTTTATGTTGCTCATGATCTACAATTTGGTTCGGTCGATTGTTTAAATGCCAATCAAATTCAGGTTTCTGAGGCGGAAGATTTGGTGGATTCTGGAGTTCATGACGTAGATTTTGAGGATTCTGGGCATGACCAAGAGCATTCTCTACATCGATAATATACTGCTCTTCGTTATGGTGCATTAACGGATGATTCTCATCATTACCTATTATAATTTGACGCGGATTTCTATTCAACATCTGGTTTTGATTGTCATCCACAATCTGATGTTGTTCTTGATGATCACTGTTCATAGGCCGATGTTCTCCATAATAACCGTGTGGTTGATGTAACCAGGCGAGGGTACGGCCACGACTTCGATGAATGGTCCAAAAGGTGGGATCAAAACGAACACGCTTAACACTCTGTTGAAATTTGATGTGTTTATGAAGGACAGGCCGCTTGGGTTGACCTGAAACATAATTATAACAAATTTTAGCTGCGTAAGTCTATGACAACGACAATGACTATAAAAGGTTTATTATTAGCTAAAATTGTATTTTTGAAAGTTAAAATACAATTTTACTATAGAATGAGGCCTTATACTGGATAAGTAAGGTATAAACTTACTATTTTTGGCACGTTTTGGCAGAGTGTTTCGTGGAAGATGCTTCAGACGATGAAGTCCGGACATGTTACGTCGAATTATCTCACCACATTCAATACACCGGATACCAGGGATGTTCTAAAAGCAACTCATTTAATGTAATCTGGCTATAAGGCTAAAGTTAGCAATGTTTAATGTTTTTCATAAACGGCCGAAGATAATATAGGCAGAGAAGTAACAAATGACGTAAATTGCCTATACAGGTAGTAAAACAACTTACATTACCACGACGATCGGTAAAACTAACGCCTTGGACATGTTCATAGCCTTTCACTGATTTCTAAAAAGTAATTTTGAATTTTATGAAATTTTCGACATTTAGGTAATAAAAAGGTCATAATAGAGCAGTTCAAAAACAAAATGGTAAAGTAGGCCACTGGCCACGGTTGAAGATAATATTAGTTTAAAATTGTAAAACTTACAGGATTCTCGACCATTTCCAACTTAAACTAGGTTTGACAGCCGCAAACCAAGGATAAGGACAACCTTTAGTTGATCGAGACGTCAAGAATGAACCAAAAGTTTGAAAAAATTCAAATTTTTTATTTTTGTTTTTTTTGCATGTTTGTGCATAGATTTGTTATGAATAATGTTCAAAAATTATTTATTTTCCGTTTTTAACAGGCATGGAGGGGTAAACTGCTTTTTGGCAGGCAGAGCTAATTTTTTTTGTCTACCGGCCTTTCTGGATTAAATTTTTTTTGGGTTAACAACGCATACTATCACATTTTGTCTACACCTATCTTTTAGAATAATATTTTAAACAATTGGTATAAGAACATAATTTTAGGGCAAAAAACGTTAGTCTTATACTATTTTTGGTTGAAACTTGCTCTCCTGTCGTTTCAACTCTTTTTCGAACATTATTTTAACTGCTCCTATCTCTTCTTCAGTTAGTTCTCGTTTGTTTTCATCTTTTTTCAGCCATTCTGTTTGGTCAAGGAAGACTAACGTAATGGCGTAAAGATGGAAAGGTGTAAAAGTTGTCAGAATTATTAAAATGCATGTTAATTCTACGTAGTTTTGATTTTTGGTAGCTTCGTATAGTGTGAATGAAGATAGTACGAGCAGTAGGATTAGAGTTATCGTCTGAAATTGTTGTGATTGATAAGATGTTTTTCTTTGGATATACTTTCCTCAAGTTAAATCTTTTGTTGCGGGACCTAATTTGAGCCCTTGTGGCTAGTGTGTCCTACTTGTCTAGTATAGATATACTTTCTTAGTAGACTCTTTTACAGTCAACTCTGATATTAGAAAACCAAATTATTTCATAAACTTTGCTATTGTAATCATCTCTTTTGTTATAGTCAACCTAGTTGTTGGAAAAACTCATTATAGTCAACGATCATTCTAGTCTCAGAAACCCTATTTGATTATGAAAAGCCGTTGAAAAAGGAACTTCTGGCTATAGTAAACATAAAATGTTCTCTTCTAAAACGTTGTTTGTAATGAGAGCTTATTGTAATTTTTAAGAACTAGGTTGGCTAGTAGAAGATGCACTTTTAATAACAAAGTTAACGAAAATGTTTGGTTTTCTAATATTATGGAATAATTGTATTCTCCTTTAAAAATAGTCTACTACAATATTAAAAACTCACGCCCAAAACGTAGAATGCCTTAAAATAGAATTCTGTTTTAGTCTCAGTTTTGCGCAGGGTACTGTAGTTTAGTAGTACACATATCGTCAGGCTGACCCATTTTAACTTGTACAACCAAGTAGTCACAAAGAAGCCTATTAAACCAATTAAGAGTCCTGTGTTTGATACACAAATGTGCCATCTCTAAAATTAAAATGATATCACAATAGCTTTGTTTTAGTAGAGTAGGCTAAGGTAGGGTGTGGTAGGACAGGATAGAGTATTAAAAGTTAGGGGTACTATAGACTTACTACTGATCCAAAGCAGCTACAAAAAGCTAAGTTGCAACACATATTACCTCTTCAATCTCCAGTCTTTTACAATATTATTATAGCATTCAGTGATTATGACACCTTTAGTTAAAGCTTCATTGCTCAAGGATAGTCCTCCAGATTGTTTAAGGGTAGGTTTTTTTTCAAAAACACATAAATGCGAAAACAAACCTAAGTGTTGTTTTTTGGTGAACATAAAATAATAATCGTCTTGTTCAAATTGTGTTATCTTGTTTCTAAAATTGTAAACGTTTTGCATGATGATAAACCAATTGGAAACGTATTTTTGCTTGGGTCTTTCTGTACTTTGTTTTTTGTAGATTATGTGGTTTGGCGAGATAAGTATTTCTGGGAGTACTGTTAGATAAAAGGTTTATGGGGGTCTTTAATTTGTTGACATCAGTATTTAGAATTTTTAGCGAAATTTTTTGGAAGAATTTTATTTTTATTGTTAGGGTGTGGCATGGTATGACAGAGTAATGGAGATTGGATAGGTTAGCGCAAGATAAAGTATTGTATCTTAGGCTAAAGGAGGTAGAGTAGAGTGGGATAAGATAGGGTAATGTAGAGGAGGGCTTTTAAGGCAGGGTATTGTACCATAGGCAAGCGATTTTATTGTTTTCTGACAAGTCTATTTTTGCTTCCTATATCTATAAAGCGTCAGTTTTGATGACATTTTGTCATAAGAATGTCCTACTCATATAATTTGTCCTTACAACGTGCCACGCTACAAAATTGTTTAGTTGTTTATATTTATAGTACACGTGCTTTTACCATCCATCAGGACTCTAAATCCCATAGAATTTGTCTTCGTTTATCCATTTGATGACGCCCATTTCTACTCTAAATACTTTTAAAAAATACTGACAAACCCTCTCATCTACACCATGCACTTTACTACACTATCATGTACGTCAAGTACGTACATGAACGGGCTGACTTTGTTGTTCTGCAAAAATATGAAACGAGCTTTCGAACACAGCTGGGACAAAGAAAAAACAACTCGAAAAAGATTTTCCCTCTGCACTTTCGGTGCAATTCCAATTTGTTTTCAAAGGAAATTCGCTGGGAACAGTGTGCTTTTTGAAACCGAATTTGATAGGGGCTGCCAGTGTGACCTGGTATAAGGTTTTGTTTGTATTCGAATTAGGTTCAGTCTTGTTTTTTAAAGGTTTGGAGGGGAGGAGCAGTGATTTTTAAAGGTTGAAGTTTTTCGGCTAGGAACAGTGATTTTTTAAGTTTTTCTTTTTAGGAATCGTGATTTTTTTAATCGTCAGGCTCTTTTTCATCGTTTTTTCAAATCTTAAATTGTAAAGTGGTCGAAAAAAAATTAGCAACTTTTAAAAACAGATTTCGAATCTGGACGATCTCAGAATTTTTCTAACCTTCTGTAAGTTTTATCACATGTTTGGGCGTTAGATACACCTTTTGACACTTTCCTTGTAAAACTTATGCTTTTACCTTGAAAGGTAGCTTCAAACCCATGTTTAAAAAAATTGTTTATAAATTGCTACTTTTTCTCTTTTTGCCAACAAGTTTTTATCTATTTTTTCTTCAAAATCTAATTTTTTATAGATATTTTTTAAATTTCGTAATATGAATATCTATTCAAGGTTTCTTTTAGAATCCGAACGGATCAAAGAACACCATATTGTTTTGAAATTGCGCTCAATTTTTCTCGAAAACATTACTTTGTTGGTCAGTGGTCATTCGGAAGGATGTTAGTAATGTACATGGGCTGTTGGGTTGTTGTTCTTCGGATGACTTTTACTACTAAAGAAGGGTAGATCCATTTTCTTATGGTCCTTTTTAGACCAACATGTAGGCTCTTTTAGCCTAACGTATAAGTCTTTAATCTTAATTTTAAGCTTTCTGAGCTACATTTTAAATTTTACAGGCCTAATTTAAACTTTTAGGTTTAATTTTAACCTTTTTAACTTAAATTTTAAGCTTTTAAAAATAGACTTGCTATTTCTAATCAAGTTATACACGCAAAAGCTACAGTGTAGCCAGCTAACTGTAAACAAGAGTAGAAAGGCATTCAAAAAGGGGTTGTTTTGAAAAAATTTTAGCATAGAATTTGGCGGGCTGATTAAGGTGAACTAACTTTTTTAGGTTTTTAAAGGAAAAGGCTTTAAAATAGCGATTAGTGGTTTAGGAAAGGCACTAAAGTAGCGTTACTGGGTTAGAAAAAGTACTAAATGAGGTTACTGAGTTAGGAAAGGTACTAAAATGAGGTTACTGGGTTAAAAAAGGTAATAATAATAGGGTACTAGATAAGAAAAGTAGTTATAAAGCTTGGAATTACTTAAAAATTTAAATTCTTATTAACTTATGTTTTCATATAGAAAATAAGTTTTCAAGTTACGCTTTTTAGCAAAAACATTTTTTCAAACTCTTACTAATGGTCGGTACTTGTACTAAAGGTACTAAAAGTCTACTAAAATTATCGTGTAGCTATTTTTCTTATTATATTTTTCAAAAAACGTCCAAAATTTATGATTTTACCTTGACAAACAGCTTCAAACTTCCATTTTAAAAAAAAATTGTTTTAAAATTCTTACTTTTGCTCGGTTTTTGTACCAGGCGTACTAAAAGTCCACTTTTAGGGTGCTGTAGCCCTTTTTCTTTCTATATTGAAGGTAAAAATCCATTTTTCTTTTCATATTGAAGGAAAATTAAAACAAAATGTCCAACATTTATGATTTCAACTTGAAAATTAGCTTCAAACTTACGTTTTTTAGCAAAAAATTGCTTTTAAATAATTGCTAACGGTCAGTTCTTGTACTAGAGGTACTAAAAGTATACTTATATGGTGCTGCAGCCATCTTTCTTTCCATGTTGTAAGCTAACATGCTCAAAAAATGCTCGTATCCCTTGTATTTTTACACTTTCCTAAGCCGAAACGAACGTGGCTGCAAAAGTACAGAGAGTATTGTGATGGGCTGTTATTTGTTTGTGATTTTTATCTGCTCTCACATGGTTGTGAAAGGCCGAAAAAAGGTTTTTTTTTATTTCGGGTTCAGTGTGTTATAACATGTCATTTCTTTCGTCTTTGTTTAATATTGTTGGGGGGGGGGGTGTTGATTGTTTATGATGTGATTTTGGGAATGTTGTGGTTGGCATGGCTTTCTTCAGAGCTTTCTTGAACTTGTCATAATATTATCTTTGACGGACATTTAATGGAGGGAGGGTATTTTTGTTTTTGGATAGAGTGGAGTAGGGTAGGCGAAGACAGGGTAGCGTGGAGTAGGGTAAAGTAGATTAAGGTGGGATAGGGTAGAGTAGGGTAGGGTATATATCTAGACATGGACCACCGTCTGAGCAGATTTTCAGGCTGTGTCCGTTTTTTTTCCAAGCCCGGCCCGCTGTCCATGGTACATATACCTTACTATACTCTACCATACCCTCCCTTACTCTGTCTTACCATAGCTTTACTCTATTATAAAAACAATATTATGTTTCCTTTTTCTACCTTATCTTATCATATCTATTCTATATTATCAATTCTAAGCCCAAAAAATTAAAAACAGTACCATTAAGTACCACTAATACCAAACTTAAGTCTAACACAACACAGGTTAAATTTAACCGCCAAAAATAAGTGTTTCCATTAGTTCTTTACTACAAAAAAACGTTCCTTCGTTTGAAGATATTCTATTCCAAGATAGCCGTAAACAACATAGAGCGCACTGCAAGAGGAGAGCGCCAGACATTCAGCCGAAAACTGCGGAAGTTTTGGTCTTTTTAGGCGAATATCAAGCAAATTTCGATAAGGCTGAACAATTTTCGATAAAATAAAAGTTTTGCAATGTTTATTTGAGGTTTCGTCAAGGTTGGAACGGACCGAAGACTGTTTTCAAAGGGTAATATTGTGATATAGGTTATTAGAAGGGCGATATTGTTACAGATGAAGTTATTTTTGGGCTGAAAATGAAAGTGATATATTGAAATATAATAGTAAAATCTGTTTTTATGTGAGAAAAGATGATGCTTTATTAGGTAATAATTATTATATTCAGCAAGCTTTTTGGAGTTGAGGGCTCTGCACGGTGCAATTTATTAAATTATGTCGACTGCACGGTGCAGTCAGTCGGAACACATTTGAGATAAATTAAAATTGAAACAACTACTCTTCTTGATAACGGGAGCGCTGTAGGAGCACATTTTATAAATTTAAATTTTGAAACCCTTACCTTGTACTTCATTCAATGTTACCCAAATGTTAACATAGATTGGTAATAAGCACAAATTTTAACAATTTTCAAATAGCCTTGAAGACACTACTTTTATCTATTAGGTATCCTAACTATAAACTTCCGCTGACTTATACAAGTTATAACTTTTGTGAAAATTAATATTATGTGACAGGATTTGTTTTGTTTTGTAGCTTGTTTCAATGCAAATCGAACGACATATAATACTTGTCTGTTTGTCTTTGTCTACTTAGAAAAATCTGGGTAAAAGTTGACTAAGCTCAGTTTGGAGGTGCGATATCGCATGCGACTATGTATTTAAACAAGGTAAAAGTGCTATTGGATGCCATCGTACGTTTGCAGAAGTTTTTAGAGAAGACGTTATAAGTGTTAGACATGTGCGGACGTAATTTTCAAAGTTTTATACTGTGAACCTTGACCTTGTGGACAAACAACACAAACGAGGTCATGAAGTGGCAGATGCCATCAACTGATTGAGCTAAATACTAATTTAGCAACAGTGGAGTTGTCGCATATTCTTCCCCGTACCTCGCAAACCATCGCCAATCATCTTCACAAACTAGGAAAGCTCAACAAAAGTGGCAGGCGGGTGCTCCACGAACTCATTGATTCCAACATGGCGCTAAGGGTCAATACTTGTGATATTTTGTTTCGCTTGTCCAAATCCCGAGTTTTTTTTTCAGCCAATTATTACTTCGGATGAAAGCTAGATACTGTACGATATAAAGAAGGTCAAAAGACAATAGATTGATATTGGTTCAAAAGCTGTATCTACTCCGAAACCTGACCTTCATGGTAAACGAAACCTTCCGTTGCGTATGGTGATCTACCACGGGAATAGTGTACTACGGGTTTTTGAAACCTGGATAAATAATTACGGCAGATGTCTACAATGAACAATTGAAACGAATCAACCATGCTCTCTACTTTCTGGGTATTGATATTTCCACTGTGAAACTTTGACAAGATGCCGCTCGAACTCACAGTGCAAAGATGACGTCATAAGTTCTTGGTGAATTGAGCTGGACTGTAATGCCTATACCGCCCTACAGTCCCGACATTGCTCTTTCTGATTATCATGTATTCAGAAGGCTGAAAGGTCGCATTGCTGGAATCCATTTCAAAAATGGCGCTGAAGTCATGTTATAGGGTGAAGATTTCTTTAAGACACAGCTGAGGTAGTTCCACAGTTCTGGCATTCACGTTTTGAAGGAACGTTGTAGAGAAGGCATAGACAATGTTAGAGTATATATCTCAGAATAATTAGTTTTGTTTCGGTTGTTATAATAAAAATAAGTTTGTTAAAAAATGGAAGTTTATAGTTAGGATACCTAATATAAATTCTATTTTGGGTATGACAACTTCGAGTTTTGGCTGTTTTTTTGGCGGACGGGAAACTTGACTCATCACTAAATTGTGAGTCAAGTCTTTCGCTACTCTACAGGTTTTCTTTTGTTAAAAGTCAGGTATGTGTATACTTGTCCTAGCTAGCTAAAAGTAACGTTTATTCGCTGTAAATTTGTTCTTACTATTCATGTCTTATTTAATTTGGCACTTTCTCTTTTAATTTTTTGTTCTTTCAAATCGTCATGGATAATATAATCCATGAGCAACTTTGATGTAGATCGACCAGAAAACTGATGTGTAAAAGTTAATGTAGTTTGTTTTACGGACTTTGACGTGTCATATGAACTTATTATCATAGTCATTTTTAGTTTGTTACATAATCGAAATAAGTGTTTATGTTAGCAACGGTTTGTTGATAAGTGATGGTGAATATAATTAGGTTTTTGATCTTAAACTTGTTGTAACTGAAGGAACGTTATATTATTTGATAAATTTAGATATTATTTTTCGTTTTTAAAGACATTTTACATTGTTTGACTTGGTTTTGATATAAAATCACTAATTTTTCTAAGAACACGACTGAATAGCTGATGGATAATATAACTTGGTCTATAACATGAAAGTTTATGTGGATATAGAAGTAAAATTGAACTTAGAGTTCAATGAAGGTTTGCTCAGCAGTTTTTACTTGTTGAATCAATAATTTTTAGTGTTTTTTACTTTGAATTGCGGGTTATATTATGATTCTTACAGGTGCGTGATGGTTAATATACTTTTGTTAGTAACTTTAAAATTTCGATAGATATTGAAGCAAAACGCAAATTTTATGGTTTTAAAATTATTTTTGATGGTTTTTTTTTGAAGAGTTAAGGCGTAGACTCGTATTTTACCCGTTATATTGTTTTATTCGTCAAATATGTAAACTTTAACATGGTTAATATAACTTCCTTCTACTTTCAGACAAAAACCAATTCAAAGCGTAGCCAAGTTCTATCCTAACATATTCTACAGTTCAATATCAAACACAAAATGGCATGTAGACGAGCGATTGGAATGATTTCGATGAGGAGCGCGCTGCGCTCCGATATCCATCACAAAATGTGTAGTGTAAGTGGTTTTTTTGACGATATTAAATTGATAATAGTCTGTTTCCGAAACTGTTGAACTGTTTTGCGTTGAGGGCTCATTGATCATGGATTTTGTGATTTGGAGTAGTTGAAAAAGGTCAAGAATTGTCGAGAAAATGACGATTTAGTGGGAAGGGTTAGGCGGTCATGGGTAATATCGAAATAAATTGCATTTTAAGTGGGTTTTTGATAATTTTGTGATATGAATTGGATTTATGAGTTTTTTAGAAAGCCTGGGAGTTAAAATAAGTCTACCATTGCTTGCATATTGCAATGCTATGATATTTTATAACGAAAAGTATATTGTGATGGACTAAGAAATTGAAAAAAATGAAATTTCGAAAAAGTTTTAAATTTTGGCAAAATACTTTGCTTAAGGCTTTTTATGACTTTCTCTAGGACAAGGAACTTAAAAATTGATAATTATTCAAAATCCAAAGCACATCGAACGCATAACGAGCAAAACGTTACATTTTTGCTTATATTACACTGCCTTAAGGTCCATCACACAAAACTCAAGCATTAGATAACGGTTTGTTGTTGTTAACAGCCTCCATTTTCAGGTGGCTTATCAACCGCAGCGTCTCTTCTCCACCACCAAATACAATTATTATATCATGAACGAAAGCGTCCGAGGCACGATGACCAGTCGGATCGTGCAGAAACGCGGCAAACCGACCGGTATGTTGTTGGGTAGGAAGTTGGGTAAGGGTTTTTGGATTAATTTGATGGTGGAGATTATGGTGGATTTTTTGAGGTTGGTTTTGAGGCTTTTAGATATTGTTTTAGAGCAATTTTGAGGGGTTTTAAGTGGTTCTAGGGCTATTTTTAGGGTTTAAAAAAGTTTTGGCGCTTTTGAACGTAAAAATCTGGGTTTAAAAATGACAAGACTTTTTTTGACAATTTAATATTGAGCTGCTGATAGTAACATTGAGCTTCTGTTAGTAATATGGTGGGTTTTAGTTACTCATTTGGATTGATATATTGTAGTATATCAGCCTCATCTAATACATTATGTTATAGTAAACCTAGCCGAACGCCGCGAAACCACCGGCTACGTCACCGATCTACCACGCCTAGGCGTACCAAGTCTGGAGGAAACGGTCGATAAACTGTTGCGCTTTGCCAAAGTCGTTCAAAGCCCTGAGGACTTTAAAGAAACCCAAGCAGAAGCCGTAGCCTTTCTGAAGGATGAGAACGCCAGAAAACTTCAGGATCTTTTACAACAACGTGCTCTCCGCCTGGACAATTGGCTCACACCATGGTGGGTTGATGTGGCATATCTGGCCGGTCGAGACCCATTACCGATTGTCACCAGCCCCGGACTTACTATGGCTTTCTACGAATTTGAAGGCGAGAGTGGACAGTTGGAATATGCAGCTAAAGTGATTCAGACGGCGTTGGACTTTAAAAAATTGGTTGATGAGTAAGTGGGGTAATGTAATGTATTATGTAGGACTTGGTAAATTAAAGTTTTGGGCGGGGTAAAATTTGGGGAGGGGGGGTAAATTTTTTGATATAAAATTTTGGACAGAGTAAATTTATTTATGAGGAGGAGGTAAGGGCGGGGTAAAAAATGATTTTTGAATTAGGCGAATGTATTTTTAAAGTAAAGTCTAAATTTTTTTTTGGGCGGGGTAAAAAAATTTTTTTTGAGAGGGGAGTGGGATGCGGTGGGTGGTGCAAAAAAACTTTAATGTTGAATTAAATACATTTTTTGGGGCAGGGGAGGAAAGGTAGAAAAATTGTAATTTTTAGTTAGAACAATGTAAAATACGCAGTGTTATGTCTAGCTTTCAAAGTTTAAAATCAGTATAAATTTTTTTTGTAAAATACGGTAATGAATGCTTTTAATTTACAGAAAAGCCCTAAAGCAAGATGGAGGAGCGACACCGTTCGATATGAGCCAGTTTGACAATCTTTATGGCACAACTCGTATCCCACGCCCAAATAAGGACATTTTGAGGTACGGACGAGACTCTCCAAACAGAGTCAATCACATTATTGTCACCAGGAATGGGCATGTAAGTTAAGATTTTGGTAAAATACGGAATTATGTTGTGCGTTTTCTATATTAATATTAAAATTTTAAAATTTCTGTAGGAAGAAGAATTTTACCGTATTTTATACTGTATCTTTTTAAAAAAATGATATGTTACTCATAGCAAACAATCTATTTCAGTCCTTCCGATTCCCAGTATTTTCGAAATCTGGCCAGCCACTCGGACTACAACAAATCGTACACAACCTGAAGAAGTACGTGATCCCAGCTAGTCAGGAAAGGAATCCAGAACCCATCAACTTGTTATCAGCCGGCGATCGAGAGACCTGGGCTCCGGTTTACATGAGAATGGCTAGTAAGTTTTGGGGTTTTTGATATTTTTTTTGGTTTTTATTGTGGAGGGTTGTTTTTGTTGTTTTTATTTTTATAATATGAGAAATATGGGCAGTGCGGGCATGGGATTTTTGCTTGTTGGACTTGGAAGCGGGGGGGGGAGGGAGAATGTGAATTTTTGTTTGGTTTTTAATTTTTTTTTGAAGTAACAGTAGGCTTTACGTGCAGCCTTTTGAAAAAAATATTTAAATATGCTCAACAAATAGGGGAGGGGGCAAGTTGAACGTTTAATTTTTATTTTTTTATGAGTTTTTGAAAGATTTTATTACTTTTCTATTTTTTTAAGTGACAGTTTTAAAGTGTATTTTAATAAGCTTTAAATTTGGTCGTTTTTGCACTTTTAGTAAATTCAAAAAGATATTTTAAAAAAGTTCGAAAAATCTAATTTTCGAGAAAAATTTTAATTTCTCAATTTCAGAGAACAATGCAGCCGAAATCGAAGCCTTTGAAGACGCGCTTTTTGTTCTCTGCCTCGACAATGCCTATCCAATCTCGGCCAACTCTAATCGTCGTGAAGCCAACATGCAGAACGCTCTTCACGGCTGTGGCTACAAACAGAACACGGCCAACCGATGGTTCGACAAATGTCTTCAGTTCTATGTCAATACGAATGGGGCCCTGGGGCTGTGCTACGAACACACACCGGCCGAAGGACCGGCTGTAGCTGGACTATTGGACTATGTTCAGGATAGGTTGAAAGCTGGACAATTCAACTATATTACTGATAATTGTGAGGTAAAGCCGATTAGACTGAACTGGAGAATGACTGAGCTGGATCGGTCGACTTTGTACGCTTGTGTGGATAAGAATGATGAGTAAGTTGGGGCAGATGATGATTTATGTTATAGTAGGGGGCTTTTTATATTGATAAAGGCTTTTATATTATAATAGTGCAACTTTCTTTAAAATGTGATGACTTATATTATAGTAGGTTCTTAAGCCAATTTTCTTGGCTTTTATAAATGAATTTACAAAAATTTTTACTTCTATGACCAACAATGCTTCCTTTGACTAATAATATAGCTAAAAACTGCAAAAAATGATTTTTACAAACTGGTAAATTAATCATAATAATGTGATGTTTTAGTCGCTTCGCCAACCTAGAAGTCCGATCCCTGGAATTTGAAGAATTTGGCAAAAAACTGCCGAAAGATGCTCACGTCTCTCCAGACTCGTTCATTCAAATGGCTCTTCAATGTGCCTACTACCGTCTTCACGGCACGGTCGTACCAACTTACGAAACCGCCACCCTTCGTAAGTTCAAAGACGGCCGAACCGACACGATCCGCTTACCAAATGCAGCCTCATTAAAGGCGGTGGAAGCGCTGGCTTCGCCAATCGGCCGCGACAGTGTAGCCGCACAATGCTCATTGCTAGTCCAAGCGTGTGATGCTCATAAACAATATGCGAATGAAGCGTCGAATGGAAAAGGCATTGATAGACATATCTTGGGATGGAAAATGATTGCGGCCGAAGAGGGAATCGAACTGCCACAGCTTTTGCAAGGAGCGGCGTTGAGAAGGTTGTTGAGGTTCCAGGTAAGGGTGAGGGGGGGGGGGGATGTGACATGAATATTTTATGGTGTAGGGATATAAAATGGGTAAAACTTGTCAAAAGGGGGTGAAAAAATTGTGATTTTAGGCAAGGGTGGGGGGGGGGTACCTGAATATTAACTTAGGATCAGGTAAGGATGGTTTAGATGAATGTTTTAGTGTGGTGTAGGGATATAAATTAGAGTGGACCTGTAAAGGAGCCGGACCAAGCCCGATTTTTCGGCCTTGCCCGGGCTTTTCCAAATTTGATACTGTTCGGTCTCTTTCATGTCTAGGGAGAGGTGTTTATTTATTTATTTATTCGGCGTCAACAACATAAAGTGGTAATAAAATGGATATATATTATAATTAACTATGACTGTTAAATTAGAAGAATATTGTAGTAGTTTAGAGATATAAAACGGACAAACCTTGTCAAAAAGAGGTGTAAAGCATTTAAAAGTAGAGCAGAATCAAGATTTTAAGCCTTCTTTTTTTAAACTTTGGCCCAAAACAACAAAAAGTTGGTACAAAGGTTTTCGTGGCGGGACCAATTATTAAAAGAAAAAAGATTTTGAGTATTAAGCGGTTGTAAAATACGAAATATATAAAAATAATTTAAAAAACGATTTTTTTTAAAGTGTAGCCCTACAATGGTTAACGTTTTAAAAATTGAAAATAACTTTTTTTTCAGATTTCTACAAGCCAAGTCCCGACCAAGAACGAGCTTCATCTAGGCTTCGGCCCATCGGAATTGGACGGATATGGAATTTGCTACAACCCAAGAGAGGATCGCATCTACTTCACAATCACTGCTTATCATAGTCATCCAAAAACATCAGCCAAGATGTTCAAGGAGACCTTAGTTTCAACTCTACGAGATTTACGTCAAGTTTTCGTGGATTCTGGAAGACTTCAAACTAAAAGCAAGTTGTAAAAGGCTTAGAGAAAAATTTTGAGATAGTGAAGATGAGGAACTGTGGTTTTAGAGAGGAAGAAGATTAATAATTTTGACTTTGAAGAGAAGGAAGTTTAATTATTTTGGCTTTGGAGGCCAAAAAACTTGATGTTGTAGTAGTTTGAAGTTAGATATAGTCAAAATCAGGCTTGTAATGACTAGAAACGGACCTTTCCAAGCTTGATATGACAGTAGATTTTAATTGTATTCAAAGTTCTTTTACATATTTTATGTTTTCAAAGTGGCAGATATCAATATGGTCTTGTTAATATATTGTTATACCATTTATTGCTATCACAAGGCTTGTTTATCTTATTTTAGGTTGTTTTAAATGGATTTTTTTACTTAATTGTAATGTAAATGTATTTTTCTATTCTACTGTAAAGTAAAACTGTAGTTTCTTTATTTGATTTTAAGTTAAAAATGTATTTTCTTCTGACTTTATTATGTTATCTATACCTTTTCTATAGTCTCGAAGGTGTTTTCACTCTCTTCATAACGTTTTCAAGGTGTTTTAAGATACGGGAACAGTGTAAATTGATGAAAATTTATTCAAGAATTAAAAAAATACTGTAAAAATTTTGTATTTTAGGTACATAAAATACGGTTTTTACTGAGTTTGATTTGGTATTTAAATCCACATGTACATTTCGTATTTTATTTGGATTAATAAACTGTAAATTTGTTGAATTTTGGCTTTGGTTTATTGTTGTTTTGTTCAAGGGTTAAGTTATCTTTTGTTTTAGAGTTAAGTTATCTTTTTTTTGTTGAATCTTAGCTAAATGACAGTTGGTACCGCTTCAGATAGAGTCCCTGTTAAGATATAATGGGTCATAACATTAAGCGAGCTGCTGAAGCTAAGCCTTGGATCACGTTCGAAGTAAGGTTTGGAGCACGTCGGAGTTAAGACCTGGATCACGCTGAAGCTAGGATTTGGATAACGTTGCAATTGGGGTTTGGATCACGTTGGAATATGAATTATTGGCCAATGTAATCAGGTGGGTTCTTTTTTGTTATTTAACTTTTTTTAAATTTAAAAACGGAGGGTTTGCTAGTGGAAAAATATACAAAATGGATATTGTCATAGAAAATTGGGACGTTATTGAGTAGATATTAGATTTGAAAGGGGTCTCACTAGACCTGGGTTTGGGCCCGGCTGTATTGGTTATATGTTTGTATATATAATTGTAGGTGCCGACATAAAGAATCCGCCATATTTTACAGGAAACTACAGGAAGAGTATGGTGGGTTCTTTATGTAGGCACCTGTATCCCATACTGCTACATAGATGATTCTCATAATACGTGTCTTTGCGTGTGGTTGTAAAGTTGAAAAACGGAGTAAGATATGTTAGGGCAGGGTAATATCTATAAATTTTAATAAAAAAATTTTTTTTTCAAAGCATTTAATTAAAAATGACAGAGAAGTTTAACAGAAGATTTATTAATTTTCATAAATATGAACTTTAGGCTTGGGCTGTTTGCATCGATAAGTGAAGTAGAATATGATTTCTTTTCCATCTGGACCTTTTATCGTGGTGTAATAGGGCTTGGACATTTCCAAAACTCGGGGTCGATTTAGGGATACGGCTTTGAATGGGCGCATTCCTAACCTAAAATACGAATTTAACTTTTTAAAATTTTAATTTTTCGAAATTTAAGAAAATTTGAAAAAAAAATTCGAAATTTCAAAATTTTTTCCAAATAGTTCTGTGCCTCTTAACCTCAAATATTTGTTTTTAGAGGAGGCACAGAACTATTTGAACAACTAATAAAAGACAAAAACCTACTCAAGAACATCGCTTTGATGTAACTTCATCTCGACCAATGTAGCCAGTCGTTTGTGTCGGTGTTCTTTCATCGTGTACAACCAAGCTAACATGCCAAATCCATCATTACCAATATAAGAAGCCAAATCGCTTGTAGCTGTGTGAATCAGGGATGAGGAGGGTAGTCCGGCTAGCTTTATACTAAAAAGGGGAGAATGAGGTATGGTCATATACGGGTATAAATAAGTGGTGTACTACTATTAGACATGAGAAAAGGACCGGGCCTGAATGTTAGGCCTGGCCCGATCGAAGTTTTGCTTAGTGCCGGCCCGGCCCATTTCTCATGTCTAACTATTACTATAGGATATACTTATATGTATAGTGTGTAGGCTTGAAAGGGGGCTACTAGGCCCGGCTTTGGGCCGGCTCCAGGACGGACTGGGTCGAGCCAAACCAAATTTGAAAGTGGTCGGGCAGGTACTTCTGGGCCTGAGGGTCGGGGCCTAAACTAACAAGGCTCCAGAAACCTAGTTTAGTCCGGTGCAGCTTCCGGAAGCAAATTTGAAAGGAGCCAGCCCGGTACATTTAGGCCCGGAGGACTGAAGCCTCCTAAGACCCCAGGGGCCCGATTTATTTAGGCCTCGCAGCGAAAGATTTGACTTGTGAAAAGTGGAAAACGAGTCTGATGGCCGGACCAAGTGGGCTCACGTGGGCCTGCGGGCTGGAACTCAAACCAAGGCTTGGGCCGGCCAACTCCAAAATTAAGTCCGGTTTAGCTTCTCTACAGGTCTATTTTCAACTTTAAAATTATGTAAAATACGCCATAATTTTGTAATCTTAATTTAAAAAATCTCACGCCATGATCCGATCATCGCCTTTAGAAGTGTATAGCTGATCCTCAGACACTCTCTTAGCATCTTTTTCAGTAAGAACACTATATTCATATCCAGTCGGTGGTGTTAGGTCCATTTTCATTAGATTTTCGATTTGTTTGTCATCAAAGTAGTAGGCCCAGTTTGGCTCGTCCATAGGCATATAAGGATGGGATTGGGTTTTGTCAAGGTGGCGGAGGAGCTGAAAGCAGTGGTATTTTATGCTTAGGGTCTATCTAGACTAAATTTTTTTTGAATTTAAGGTTAATTGAGTGGTTTATCTGGGTTAATATGATTACTGTAGCTTACAATTAAAATTACCCTATATGCTCCGCTCAGAATCAGCACAAAATTTTTATATGAGTTCTTTGTATTACCAATAGTACCTATAAAAATTTTTAGATTGCGTTTTTGAGTTTTAAATTTGAAATATTTTGGTTTTCCGCCAATTTGGCAAATTTTGGCATTGTGTTTCAAGCACTTTTTTAGACTTTTCAGACAAACTACGCTTACAACTTCAAAAATGTAGGTTCATTTAAAGGTATTCTACTAGTATATCAAAAAATTGGTTAAAAGCAAAAAAATGACAAAGTTATAAGCTTGAAATATAATGCCAATTTGGCGGGAAATCCAAAACGTAACTTTTTGGTCTGGGTTTTCTCGAGTTGTCGTGGAAAATGTGATTTAGTACTTTGCTGAAGGTCTTATATTTACATGATCTTCCAATATATATATAAAGTTTGAAGTCAACAAGAGCGGGCAGGTCGGGTACTTTTTTTGTAAATTTGTTTTCTACCTCATGAGATTACACTAACATAGGCGGTCACTTAAATCAAAGCTAACACAACATCTTTTTTCATAAATTTGTTTGTAAAATATAATACGAACTGGAATTCATTCGTCGTCATAGAAAGTTTGACTTACAATTTCTCTCAAATCAGCACGCATTGCCAAAAAGAAAAACCCGTCGTACTGGTCGAAAGTGGGCTGTAAATGTTCCAATAGGTCTGTAGTTGATGCTGTTACAAAGCATTTGTCGAAAGTATTACAGTCAAAGCGAAAGGCTATTCTAAAACGTTTTTTGAATTTATTATTAGCCCATAACATTTTAAATACCGTAGTTTAAAGTTTTAACTTGAATAATAGCCGTGTTCTGTGGGGTAGGTAGTGTATACTTGATTAGATATTTTGTTAATGTAAAATACGATTGCGAATTTATATATATTAGGTTGTTCACATAATTCCGTGCTCCTTCTCGAGCCCAATTTTTGGGGTTAAGGGGCACAGAATTATTTGAACAATTTAATATTACGTTGGACCAAAAGTAAAGGGACACTCTTTAGTTGAAAAATAAATGAAAAGTGACTAGGTACTTTTGGTTTGACTTAATATATAAGAGTATATAAGAGTTTTGGCAGAAACCTACTTTGCTTTAGCAGTAACCTGTTGAATGACATAGTGTTTGAACTCTCCTTTCGAATACAAGTACAATGTCAACTCTACTTGATGTAGTTTTCCAGCTAGATAAAGCTTCAAAGTATTAAAAGTGGCAATAAGGTCTAGATCGTTCTCAAGCTCCGAAATTATATTAGGATAGGAAGATTCTGGCACGACTTCTATCATTTTTAGCGTAGAATAGTAGGCTTAGGTTTGTGAGTGTAAAGTAGGCCCAATTATTGGGTCTAAATCTTGTAGAAAATAGAATTTCAAATGTTATAGAAGATACATTATATTTTGAACTTAACCGCAATAATTATCAAGAAAAATTTAACTTTAATGATACCAAGATCAAATGCTCAATATCTTAAACTGATTCAGAGATGAAACTTACTGATAGCAAGATTTTGCGTGGTGTTACAGCGTGAACAATTTTGAGTGATAGATTATGATTCCGCTGGTTTATGGCGTTTTGGAAATTGTAACTTTTTGTTAAAAATTTGAAATACACATTAAAATTGTCTAGTTATTTGTTGTTTTGAGATATAAAGAAGGTTAAAAGTTGAACTATAAAGATACAAAACCAACAAATATTTTCAAAAAGTCATTCTTTAAAGTGAAAAGTAATATTAATTTTAACTTGCTTTAGGGGATACTCTTTGGTCGTTTTCTAGTCAACGTTATTTCAGGGAGAGGAATGGGGGGGGGGTGGAAATTTACGGTAAAAAACGGACAGGGCCCACGTTTGGGGCCTGAGGCTCAACGTTTATGTCCAGCCTGTTTGCATTTTTTGTAGACTGGCCCGGAACAGTAAAAAAACAGGACATTATTTTTAAAAAATTAACGGGAATTAAAAAAATAGATTTAAAAAAAAATTATTTTTTGGATACATGCTTACTTTTCAAGCTTGGCGGGCCGGACCCAACTTTTAAAATCGGTCCGTTTTAGATTTTGCCTATACCGGCCTGTTTGCAGGGCCGGCCCGGGCCTATACGGCCCGTTTCTTACCCATAGGAGGAAGCGGCTATTCCCCCTCATCCTCCCTATTCCTCTTTTTCAAGCAAGTTCTTGGCATGGGTACGTAAAAAATGAGGTATTTTGGCCATTCTCTTACCAAACTGGACCAAACTTTAAAGAATGGTACACAAAAAGAGAAAAAATATTGTGGTATTAATATTCCTAGGTTTGGTAAATGTAAATGTAGTTTTCTTTTAAGTTTAAGAATTTGAAAGTTATGGGTTTTTAGCTCATTTTTTTATTTTTAAAGTTTTTTTTTGGATTTTTAAAAATTTTAAACTAATGAAAAAAATATCTTAATAAAAAATGAATAAACAGTTTATTTACAATGTAAAAAAAACTACAATTTACAATTTTTTCAACTAAAATATAAGCTTACAAAACGTTACAACTTTTCAACCCCTGATAGCCACTTTTGGCCACCAAAATTGACAGTTTTAAGCTAACATACAACCCAAACAAGACAATAGCTAACAAATCCAAGTAAAGATACTGTATCCACGACAATTCAATGCCTTTTCTTCTGAACCACAAGTTTTTGCCATTCTTTTTGATTACCCGATTTGTTAAATGTACTGCCATTTCGAGGTTCGTAATTGGGCCGGCTTTGTAGTGATCGCGGAAGTTGTCCATCCGGGCTTGATATGAGGGGTCTTGGAGGATCTGAAAAGACTTAGACGTTATTGTAGTTGTTATTGTATTGGCTTTCATTTGAGGTATGCTTTATGAACATTGAAAAGTAAAATATGTAACCCGATCATTTGCGTTTTAAGGTACTTTTAACCTTGCCTAGACGTTTATTCCTATTAAACTAGAAGAAAAATATTAAAAATTGAAATTTTGAGTAGGATTATAAATAAATAGTGGCAAGATAATAAATCTTATGAAGCTAAGGTATGGGCTATCATTTGCGGTGTAAAATACGAAAATTGGAATGTTAATTTGGAAGATACACTTGATTTTGTCTAGACGTATTGTGATATTACACTAGGCAAAAGTTTCTTAACCTTGTTAGTTTTTAGTGGGTCTAAATATGAATAAAACTATTATGGGGTTTTATTTGCGGTGTAAAATACGAGATTTAAGCTAAAATTGTTTTAGATACAGCTAATTTTGCCTTGCCGCCTTGTGATATTACACTAGGTGAAAGTCACCAATCCTAATGAGTTAAAATGAAACTCAATTTAAACATGACTGTACGAGTTATGTGGCTAAAGCTATTTTATTTGCCGTGTAAAATACGAAATTTGTGCCAAAATTGGTTGAGGATAACTAATTTCTTATTGCTGCCTTTTGATATTATACTAGGTAAAAGTCGCTCACTCTGTTGAGTTTAAATGAAGCTAAATATAGGCAAGACTATATGATTTATGTAGCTAAGGTCATGGGCTTTCATTTGCGGTATAAAATACGAAATATGAGTTAGAATTGGTTGTGACATATCTAATTTCATCTAGTCGCCTTCTGATATTACACTAGACAAACTTCACCAACCCTAGGGAGTTTAACTGGAACTTAATATAAGCACTACTATACGACTTATGTACGTAAGGTTATGGGCTTCCATTTGAGGTATAAAGTACTATTTGTGAGATAGAGTTGGCAGAGGTATAGCTAATTTTATCTAACCGCCTTCTGATATTATACTAGGTAAAAGTCGCTCACCCTAGTGAGTTTGAATGAAGCTAAATATAAGCATAACTATATAATTTATGTAGCTAAGGTTACGGGCTTTCATTTGAGGTATAATACACGAAATTCGAGCTAAAATTGAGGTATACATAATTTCATCTAGCCATCTTCTGATATTACACTAGACAAAAGTCGTCTACTGAATTTTCAAAAACCGACCTTATTAACCTCCTTGAGCACGTTCTTCTGACTGATAGTGAACTTGTTGATCACTGTGGCCACCTTTTTCTTGGCCATTTGTCTTGAATTGTGGGCTTGTTCAGCAAAAATAGGTACAAATACTGTAGGTGTTGCAGAACAGATGGCTTCCTTAACACTTTTGATACCACCATGTGATATGAACAGCTTGGTACTCTTATGATTCAGTAGACCAACTTGTGGTGCCCATTTGACAACTTTAATGTGGGAGCCGAGTTTGTGGTTAATTTCGGTTTTCGAAGATACGACGATACGGTATTCTGATAGAGTGTTTAGGGCTGAGAAGACGGCATCTACAACTTGTTGTGGGGCCAGGTTCCAGCGGACTAGCGAGCCGAATGAGACGTATATTGTACCTAAATTAAGGTCTTTATACCTAAAATGAGGTTTTTTAAATCTAATATTAGGTCGTTGAAATAATTCTGTGCCCTCCTCTTAAAGAAAAATTTTCAGGTTAAGAGGCACATAATTATTTGAACAAAATTTTTGAAGTTAGGAGGCACATAATTGTTTGAACAACCCAATATTAAAAGCTCATACTGTAGTTTAAGATTATATTATAGTAGATAAAGCTCATGTTCATACCTTTTGAAGTCTTGTCCTCAATAAATGTCTTCAGTTCGCCACTCACAGCGTCTCCAGAGGCACAGTAGGCGCCAATAGACTGGAAATCTATGGCTTCTGAAAGGTTGAAAATTTGAAAAGTAGGGTAGGGTAAAAACCAGAAGGGTAGGGGCAAAATAAGAGCCTGTCATGACAAGGCCTATGACAGAATAAGGTACGGTTGGACAGGGATGTGCAAGGTCAGATAGGATAGGGTTGCTTATGGTAAGAACTATACAGTACGCCTTGTATATAGCATGAATAGGGTAGCGCAAGGTAGAACGAGCTTCGATATGGTATTAGAATGTTCAACTAAGCCTGAGCCCCTAACTTCAAAAATATGTCTTGAAAGGGGCCCATAATTATTTGAACAACTTGATAATATAATGAAAGTTAGTACGGTAAGATAAGGTAGGATAATATAGGGTAGAACAGGGACGATAGTTTACTATAGGGTAAGGTATATTAAACTAAACTAAAATCGGGCAGTGTAAGTTAGGGTAGGGTAGAATATGGTAGGATAATATAGGATAGAACATTGAAAGTAGGTTAGTAAAACATTTTCAAGGATACCGTAACTTTGTCCTAGGTACAAGAAAAGCTTAAGCTACAGTAAGACTATTAAACGGCTAAAACAAGGTTACGGTAATATAAACCAGGGTAGAGTAGAATAGGTTAAGATATGATAGAGTAAGGTAGGGTAGGGTAGGGTAGGGTAGGGTAGGGTAGGGTAGGGTAGGGTAGGGTAGGGTAGGGTAGGGTAGGGTAGGGTAGGGTAAGGTAAGGTAGGGTAGGGTGAGTACGGTACGGTACTATATCAGCCACTACTATAATATAAAAATCTTACCAGGAGCAGCCTCAAACCCTCTGAAGCCATCAGTAATGTAAAGTGGACTGTGGGTTCTCAACTTTTGTAAGGAGAATCCATCAATGCCAAGCTCTTTGATAGCTGAGAATGTAAAGTAAGGTGCGAGTGAGAACAGCAGGAATTCGACGGAGTTCTCATAGAATGTTGTCAGTCGATGTGTGAACTTTGTAACATCAAAAACGTCATCAGAATCTTTGGGTATCGGTACGAAGAGACTCATCTTTTGGGACCAGGCTCGGCCTGGAAAGCTATTGTTATGAAATGGATCATTTTGGATATTGTAGTAGGTTATAGGGGTTAGAAACTGGCCGTATAGGCCCGGCCTACTCATGAGCTAAAGTTGAAACGGGCTGGGCTTAAAATTTGGGCCCGGCCCGCGGGCTTGAGAAAAGTTTTAAAATTTCAATTTTTTTTAAACGAGCCGGGCCTAGAATTTTTTAATCGGATATGCCAGCATGGGAAAAATGAAAACGGGACGGTAGACGTAAGGATCGGGCCGGGCCTGAATTTTAGAACCGGCCCGTTCTTAATTTTTCTCAGGCCCGGCAAGGTCTGATCAAAAAACTCTTAGGCCTAGTCCGTAATGAAAATTAAAACAGAAAATTAAAAAAAATTTTTTTTGTACCCGGGCCTACTGTTTAAGCCTGGCCCTTTGGGCGGGCCTGAATTTTAGGATCGACCGGTTTTTTCGTTTGCTCAAGCCTTTTCTCATGTCTACCTAAAATATGGGCTTAGACATATGAAACGTACCGGGCCGGGTCTGGCTCAAATTTAGGTCGCGCCGGGTTTCAAATCAAGATCCGGGCCGGCGCGGCCCATTTCTGCGTAAAAAAATTCGGGCCGGGCCTAAGCTAAGCTTTGATCTTCTTTTTTAGGCCCGGCCCGTTCTTTATGTCTACCCGGGCCTGTGCCCCAAAATTTGGACCCGGCCCGTTTCTCACTTCTAGTACTTTCCAAGTTTCAACGGAGTATATTATTTTTTTAGTGAATTCTAGGCTAATCATTTTAGTCTAGGAATGTTAAATAATATGGGTTTTAGTAGCACGATAAAGGTTAATTTTTCACAAATTGTAAGTTCCGCCCTACCCATTGAATTCCAAACAGCGTCAACTTCGAGTATGTGTGAGGTCATGTAGTTGATGTAGGGTGTGCCATACTTTTCGTGGTGATACATTGCTGCAGCGTAGCCTTGGTTATCGAATAATGTGTCAATTATGATCAGGTCCCATCGACGGTTGAAGATTTTCATCAACTAAAATTTGAAAATTTAAATTTACTAATTAGGGTTGGATAGAAATAGGGTAGGGGTAATGTAAAATAAGGTAGGGTAGGGTAAATTAGGGTAGGGGGGAAGATGGACAAGACAGGGTAGGGTAAGGGATGGTAAGAAAAGGCAGGGCAGGGCAAAGACACAATAATGCGGGCAAGATAAGGCAATGCAGGGTAGGGTAGGATAGAAGAGGATAGGATAGGATAGAAGAGGGTAGGGTAGGGTAGGGTATGATAGGGTAGAGCATAGTACGATACCTACCTCCTCCGAATGCTCGTCAATTTCCTTCTTCAACACCTTATCATTGTTGGCAGTAATCATGGGTGGTTCATCCGAATGACTACTCATTTTCCAAAATACAGTACCCAATAACTCGACCACACTTGTCTCGTTTTGTCTTCGAATTTCGAGTTGAGATATGTTAGGGTGGTCGAATACTGGAGGCTTGGCTATTCCCGTGTGAAATATTGTCACTTTATGGCCTTCATTGGCTAGGCTGGAAAAAGGAAGAGTTGAATTTAATGTTGGCAGGGGTAAATGGGTGTGAGAGGGGAGGGGTGATTAAAAAAATTTGGGGAGTAATGGTTTCAGAATGGCAAGAGGAAAAAGTTTATTTTTTAAGTAGGGCAGGGTACGGTAGGGCAGACTAGGGTAGAGGGGAAAAAACAAAAATTTGGACGTGTCATTCTAAAAAAGGTGTCATACCTTTCAAGATATGGGTACATACTGTACATATGACTGAAAACCCCATCGGCATAGGTGGCCAGAATCTCTGCGCCATCGGTCAAAACAGCGAAGGCTATCACTAATAAGTAAACGTAGTTTATGTGACCCATAGTTTGGTTCTGAAAAGAGAAAAAAAATTTTTTAAAAAGGTTACGGGTATCTAGGGGCGATTTCATTTATGGGCAATTCTATTATGGGCGATTTCAATTATGGGCGGCCCAAGTTTTGCACTAAACTTAAAATGGTACTAAAAATGGTACAGTATTATTAAAATAGTACAGTATTATTGAAATAGCACTGAAATGACTTTTTGGCCCTACTTGACCCTACCCCTCACCTTTTTGTAGGGGGCCGAAAAGATGAGGGGTAAGGTCAGGTAGGGTTGAAAAGGTGAGGGGTAATCTCAGGTAGGGCCAAAAAGATGAGGGGTAGGGTCAAGTAGGGCCAAAAAGTCATTTCAGTACTATTTCAATAATGCTGTACTATTTTAATAATACTGTACCATTTTTAGTACCATTTTAAGTTTTGCGCAAAACTTGGGCCGCCCATAATAGAATCGCCCATAAATGAAATCGCCCATAAATGAAATCGCCCCTAGGTGGGCGTCACGTTTAAAAAAGGCTGAATATAAAATACGAAGAAAAAAAAAACTAGTTTTAAGAAAAAAATTCAAAACAAGAACAACTTGGGGCTATGTGGTCAAAAAGTAGGTAGAACTAACTTAAAGAAGCTTCAAAAGGGATGTAAGGAGATCATTTTGCGTTTACTATTAGGTTGTTCACTTAGTCCTGCGCCCCTTCATAAAGCTAATTTGTGGGATACGGGGGCGCAGAATTATGTGAACAACATAATATGTTTGTTTGTTCAAATAATTTTGTGCCTCCTCTCAAATTAAAGTTTCGGGTTACGGGGGCACTGAATTATTTGACCTATTATATTAGCCGTTTTGGTATTGAAACAAGGTTTTTGGGACTAAATAAATCTTCGGTTGACTATATAGAGATGTTGTTTTCTAACTAGTATGATTATAAAAAATAGTATTTTGAATTCAAAAAATAGTTAAAAATTGAAAAAAATAAAGCGAAACAATCTGGGAAAGTGACAAAAGTTCACGTTTTGTTTCACAAAAAGAAACTTGATACCTAGAATTGAATAAAACTAAGAAAAACAGAAATTTTAAGGCTTATCATATACGTACTGACATATACTTTTTACATTGTTACCTACTTTTTATGATTTTAAGTTTGTGAAAGTAGTTTATTAATTCGGCCAATATTTGGTTTTCTCAAATTCTATTTACTTTTTGACCGGCTAAACAAGATATTATAATACAATTTTACCCACAAATAAAAAAAAATGATAAGAAAAGCGATCAAGGCTTCTAAAAATGATAAGAAACAGCTAAAAAAAAGAAAAAAAACGAAATATTCACCTACAATAGCATACCCAACCTCCAAAATAACGCAAAACTTTCGTTCCGTATGAACTGTGAAGTTACAAATCAAATGAATTTAATTTTCAAGAAAAATGCACTACATAAATGCGTTTTACAAGTTTTTCCGACGAGAACGTTTTCCGACGAATGACAACAAAATATACGTTCAGACACAAAGTACACATAAACTACAAGCAAGCCAAATCGTTTAGTTTATTATCATTTTTATCAACCTCATGATCAAAAATAACTTAAAATGGATTTTGAACCATTTGCACTTTAAAAATTTTCATTTTGAAGTTAGCGGAATTAAAAAAATTGTAAAAGACGGCGAATGGACTGGAATTTTTTTAAATGGCAAAAAATAATAAATTTTGAAATCAAAATGACAAAAAATGGTTGAATTAACATTTACTTGTCATTACTACTTTTTTCTCATAATCCATAGCAGAATAATCATGTTTTGTCATTACATTTTAACCTCAAAGTGGTCCCACCACGCAAACAAGCACGCGCCAAACGTGTGTGGCAATCCGTTGCCACGTTATTTTTTACGTCTCTCGGGGCAAAATAGTTCACATTGTGTTGTCGAGAGCGATAGATACATTGTATTGGTTTCCACAGCATCCTCCATTTTCTGTAAGGTTTTTGTTTTTTGCGATTTTTGTATGTTTAGGTTCTTGAACTGCGACCATATATAGTCATATCGGACGGTTATTCTTTTGGATTTTCGATCAGATGAAAAGAGTAATATCTGAGAGTATATGCTTCTTGGTTTGTTAGTATGTTAAGATTGGAAGCTTAAAAATTAGTGGAATTGAGTAAGAAAGAGTTTTTTAGAGGCATGAGTAATATTAGATTGGTCTTGATTGTTTTAGCTTTTCATGGGGAATATTAGCCTTTATTTTCTCGGGGTTTATTTTAAAAGGTGCTCAACTTAATTTTCTTTGATTTAAAAACAAAGTCAGTTATGATTTGTTTTGATAAAGTTATAAAGCAACGGATATTATTTATGATCTGCTAGACTTGATGTAGTTGGAGAAAATGGGTGGAATTTGTTTGTTTTTGGTATTTGTAAGCCTTAAAAATTTCTGTGAGTGATAAGAAGTATAGTTCTTAGTTAGTAAAACGAAAAATGTCACAAAGGTTTACGATACGTATCTGTTTTATTAAATTATTTTATTCATCAGACTAGGTGTTCGACTTTTTTACTTTTTGATGTATTTGAAAATTTTGGGCAAGTCATAGTTAAACCTACTCTTCTATACTTGCAGCATAATATTATTCTTAGCAAGCTAATTATAAAAGAATCAGATCAATTACATCAAAGCACATTAACTTATCGAACTTTTTTAAATTGTAGTCTACAATTCGTAGATAACATCTAAAAGTGCGGTAAAGCTAAACTAGAATACGAAATTTTAAGATATCATCTTTATAATGAGATTACACGTCAAACAGCGTGGCGATTTTGTAAATTGCTTCAAAAAATCGAGAACTTTTTTTTTGGATAGTTGATCGATGTTATCTTTGATGTTATCCTTGGTCGATAATTTGATCAAAGATCTTCTTTTGGATTGGTAATGAACTATACTGTTCTAGAATTGTACAGCTTTTGTTCTAGGTGTTATAATGACTGTTTTACGACCTTTATCACATCATTGAGCAAAAAATTCAGTTGGAAAACTCAAAATTCAGGACTATACCCTCGTCTAATCTGATTTGCATCTAAAATATCTAAAATAATATGCGTTTTTGTCTTGTTTATACAAACTGAAAAACGATGTCCGAGACCTGTATTTTTTATGTTCGAAATCAAACAGACAACCTTTTTTTCGACGTGGTTTGGAACGTGGCAATTGGGGGAAAAGAAAGGGATATGTTTCGAAGGATGATGGGTTCTTTTGTCCTTAACGTGATTATTTATGGGCGTCTAATAAAAAATGTTGCAATATGTGATAGCTATGGGTTTTTGTTATCTAATTTTAAATTTTTGGTCTAAGGTTTTAATGACATTTAAGAGAAATTTTGTTTTATGTTAACCATGGTCATAAACTGCTGTTGGTGGAAAATTTCAGTTGTATTTTTTGTTCCTTCGCTTTTCGTGTAAAGTTGTTATAGTATATTGTAAAGTAGTCTTTTTGTTACCCAATTTAAAATTTTTGAGTCTCAATATTAAAAAATTTTGAGAAATTGCTTATTTTAAACCACCTATTACTATAAAACCCAAGTCTAATATAAACTCAAATATCTTTTCAGAAATCAAGAGCTGGGCCAGAAAACCGGTTATAGAAGCTAGCTAAGGAGTCCGAGAATGCAGTGGACTAGTGTGATATGTGTGTTAGTCTCTGGGCTAGCCACAGTCACCTCATTTTACCTGCCTGGATTGACACCAGTCAACTTTTGCGAATTTGATCAGAAATCAGCGAAATGTCCGGTAGGTTTCTTGTTTTGACATTGTTTTGTTTTTAGGAGAAGGTAAAGGATGTTTTGGATGTGATAGGCTAGGCTTTGGCTGATTTTGGCATAAAGTTGAATATAAAGTGTTGGTATCAAAGTTGTCGTCTATATCAAGGTTAATATAGTTGATAACTTTGAATAACTGAACTTAAAGCAAAATTAAAAGAATATAAAATATTTCAGAGCAACGTAACTTTGTATGTAAACAAGTTGGACAGTGATCAAAGCGTAATTCCATACGAATATCACAGTTTCGACTTTTGTGTTGGCAGTGAAGACGAATCGCCGGTTGAAAACTTGGGTCAAGTGTTGTTCGGCGAGCGAATTCGGCCATCACCATATAAAGTAAGGTTTTATTTTTGTTTTTTTTGAATTTTAGGTAACTTGGAGGATACATAAAGAAGCTATGGTGTCTTTTATGTTTCTATCAGAGCTAGGAAATGGGTAATATAATTTGAGGAATACCTGATGGTTGAAGTGTTTATGTAGGGTTATATTGAATTTTTATGGTACTAGGGATAGTTAGTTTAGAAAAAGATAAAAGTTTTGATTTTTGGAATAAAAAGCTCATTTATAGAGGGGTTTTTATATTATACATGATGGTTAATATAAAATGAGGTGTGGCTGATGAAATCAAAAATTTTGTTGTTGATTTTTGTGTTTTTATGCCGTTAAAGAAGCTGTAGCTTATATAAAATTAGGCTTTTTAATTTTTTGTTGAAAATATGGCTAAATGATGCATTTTTTTATTATCCATGACATGAACTTAAAATATTTTTTTTTCAGATCGGCTTCAAAGAATCCCAACAATGCACACGGCTTTGCGAAAAGTCCTACGACACAGCGAACGCTGCCGACCAGGACAAGATCAAGTTGTTGTTCAGAGGCATGAAACTCAACTATCAACATCACTGGATCATCGACAACATGCCAGTCACATTCTGCTTCATCAACCAACAGAACATGAACGTGTGCACCACAGGCTTTCCAATGGGATGCTATGTAACAGCAGATGGTAAACCCAAGGATGCGTGTGTGTTGGACACGAGATATCGTCAGGCTGACGGCTATTACCTGTTCAATCATGTCGATATCAAGGTCGAGTACCGTGACATGAGTGGAGATCCGAACTTTTTGGACGAAAAGATTGGTGGAAGAATTATTCGGATCAAGGTTCAGCCGAGGAGGTGAATTTTGATAGTTTTATGAGAGTAATAGCTGGTTAAAATCAGAAAAATGCTGTTTTATGACTTAAAATTTGGAATTTTTGGCTAAAAATTGACTATTTTTAAGAAAAATGGCTATATTAAGGTGGATATGAAGTCACTTTTGAACTTTTTTTTGTTTTTTAAATGAAGCTTTACGTTATTGATTATAGTAATTTTGATTTCAGTATCAAGCACGACGACCCCGAGAAGTTGGACTGCTCTTTGTCCGCTCCACCCCAAGCCATCAGTGCCAATGACAAGAACTTCAAAGTTCAATACACGTACAGCATTGTTTGGGAGGTAAGAATTGTTACTGGGAATTGAAAAAATATATTGTTTTTGGTTCTGAAATTGAAAAAAGTGAAATTTTAGGTAACAATTTTAGAGTTTTGAGGTGAAAAGGCTAAAATACGGGTAAAAATGGGGTTTTTGGTAGATTTTTAGGTGAAAATGGGTTTCAAGCCTATAAATGGATAGTTATATTAAGTTGAAATCGCATCTTTCAATTTTTTATTTAAAAGTTGGTGATTTAGCCTAAAACAATATAAATTTTAATTTACAACTTTCCAGAAAACCGATGTAAAATGGTCCTCAAGATGGGACTACATCCTCGATTCTATGCCCCATACCAACATTCAATGGTTCTCCATCATGAATTCAGTTGTCATTGTACTATTCTTGTCCGGCATGGTCGGTATGATCCTGTTAAGAACGTTGCATCGTGACATCGCACGTTATAACCAACTGGACTCGGAAGAAGATGCTCAAGAAGAGTTTGGATGGAAGTTGGTCCACGGTGATGTCTTCAGATCTCCGAAGCACCCTCTTTTGTTGTCGGTTTTTGTCGGAGCTGGATCTCAGCTGCTTCTCTGCTCTAGTATTACATTGAGTAAGTGGTTGGGGTTAGTATTGGGGTTAATTTTGTTGATGGAAGGGGTGTTTTGTGGTTTTTTAAGGAGTTACGGTTAAGATTTGAGGTGGAAGGGAGGGAAAATAGTTGGCTTCAAATGGGCCGAGCCGGGTCAAATTTGAAAGGGGCTGGGCCGGGCTTCAAGCCAATGCCTGCTCGTTTACAGGTTTAGTTACGGGGAAGATTTGAGTTGGTTTTGAGGTAGAAATAGAAAAAAAGTAGACCCGAAAGGGGACAGGCTTGACGCAACTTTGAAAAGAGCCGGGCCAACGCTTAAACTAAGGCCTGACTTATGTTACAGGATAGTTATGAGGAAGATTTGAGTTGACTTTGAGATGGAAACAAGGAAAAGTTGTTTTTAAGGTTTTATATGGGTTGTTCTTTGATTTTTTAAGTACTTTTTTCGATATTTTTTGGTTTTTCGGGTATTTTTAGGCATTTTTTTGCTATTTTTTCGATTTTTTTTGATTTTTGGTATAATTTTTAAACTTTTTTTTATTAATTCTGCCTTATTTCAGTCTTTGCCTGCCTCGGCTTTCTCTCCCCAGCCAACCGTGGCTCTCTGATGACATTCGCCTTGGTCTTCTACGTTCTCTTTGGTATCGTGAGTGGCTACGTATCAGCTCGACTCTACAAAATGATGGATGGCATCAACTGGAAGACCAACATCGTACTAACGAGCACGCTGATTCCAGGCATCATGTTTGGTGTCCTATTTGTGACAAACTCAATGCTATGGGCCAAGGGATCGTCGGCGGCGGTACCATTCGGCACTCTGGTAGCACTTCTGGCCCTATGGCTGTTTGTGTCAGTACCATTGTCTTTCATCGGGTCCTTCTTCGGCTTCAAAGCAGAGAAGATCACGGCACCAGTAAGGACCAATCAGATCCCAAGACAGGTACCGCATCAGACGATGTACACGAGACCATTACCAGGAATGCTGATGGGTGGTATTCTGCCATTCGGATGCATCTTCATACAGTTGTTCTTCATTTTGAATAGCATTTGGTAGGTTTGGGGAGGGGGGGGAATAATATGAGATTTTTTGGGGGTGGGGTAGATTTTTTGTTTGGGTTTTTTGGGGGTAAGGCAGTGTTTTTTATCTTAAGGGGTAATAACGATTTTTTGTTTTGGGGGTAGGGTAAAATAATTTTTTTATTTGTGGGGTGGATAATATAGAAATTTTTATTTTTAGAGCATTGACATAATTTTTGAAAATTTGATTCAATTTTTTTGAATTTTTCGAAAAACTTTTAATTTCAGGGCCCACCAGGTTTTTTACATGTTCGGCTTCCTCTCCCTGGTTTTCCTAATCCTCATCGTGACCTGTTCCGAAGCCACCATCCTGTTGGCCTACTTCCATTTGTGCGCCGAAGACTATCACTGGTGGTGGAGATCGTTCTTCACGTCCGGATTCACCGCCGTTTATCTGTTTGCCTATTGCGTCCATTACCTGAGTAAACTTTCGATTCAGGGCACCATCAGTACCATCTTGTACTTTAGTTACACTGGAATCTTTGTGTTCTTGTTCTTCTTAATGACAGGTGGGTTTGAGGGGGGGGGGGGTTTATTACCTAAAATTTTGAAAAAGTTGGGTTTTTGTAGCTTTTTTTACCTAAACTTAGAAAAACGTTTATTTTTTGTGGCTTTTGTTACCTAAATTAAGGGAAAAGTTAAGTTTTTTGTGGATTTGTTACCTAAAATACGGAAAATAGGTGTTTTTAAAATCTTCTCAAGCTTCAGATTGACATTTTAAATTTAACTCTTGAGCTTTTCAGGTGCAATCGGCTTCTTCGCCACCCTCCTCTTCATCCACAAGATATACGCCTCGGTGAAAGTGGACTAAACGAGTATCGACAAGAACCTTTGTCTCTCTTCACGGATCACAAACCAATCTAATATTGAGCCCAATATTTATTTATAGCCTTATTTTGTTGTCTAGAGTAAAGATATGATAATATGATTGTACTACCAAAGGTTTTGAGCTATTTCACATTATAGTAGCTAATGGTTTTTGATGTTTTATATTATCATAGCTAATGGTTTTTGATATTTTGTAATTTGTTTGTATAACTGTTGCTATAAAATGATAATAATATAAATATTGTGATAAGGTTCGGGTTTACTAATGAGGTTTCCTCTTATTTGTACTTGTTGTAGTAGGAACCTCAAGAAAAAGTCAATGATAAGGCTCCAAATATAATGTTTTTCTATCATCTTTAATCTTGTTTTATTGTTACGTAGTAAGGGCTTCTAAATGATGTAGGGTAGTTTAGGTATTGAACCACAAGGGTCAAGTTTATTCGCGTAAAAACGTAAATATGTTGTTAAGAAGGTTATTGGTTTAAACACAGAATAATATTAGATTCTGCATGATTTTGCAAAAGTTTTTGAATCATTTGAACTCCTAATTCCGTAATAACGTTGTGATTTTGTCGATATGCGTTACATGTGGATTGTAAACTGGTTCCACCACGAAAACAAACATTGTGGCATTTCGCCGTAAGTTGCTCCGAGCAGTCATTTCAACGATGAATTTTGGAAATTTGGAGCGAAACCAAGGACCTCTGGCCGATTTTTCGATGGATTCACAGATTTTTGAAGTAGAAGACATGCACGATGTATTAATGTAAGTTGTTTTACTTTTTTGTTTCTACTTTTAGGTATTTGACAAATTACGAAGATAGGAGTTGATATTTAGGTTGTTTCTTGCCGTTGTGGTGTTATTTTTGTGTAAAATAGAATGAGTATGAGCTTGTTAGAAGGAGACTAAGCTGTTGTTGATGTGTAAATGACTGTGATAGTCGTTTTTGAGCTTTTTTTGGTAATATTAACGGTGGCAATGTTAGACTTGACATCAAGTTCTAACGTCATTTTTGGTAGAAACTATAGGTGGTATTTGTCAAATTTATTGTTTCGAGTAAAGAAAATAGTTGATTAATGGATGGCAGAACTGTGAAATGTTTATCTTACGTACTTTTTGAAATATGCTGATTATACGATGTTACACTAGATATCTGACAGCTTTTTGCATTTTAAGAGAGATCTTGAAGGAAAACGTTTTAATTTTAGTTTTAATAGCAGGTTTATGTCGCATTTATTGTATATTTTAGGTTGCGAACGAATGTTTTTGCCTTTATTTTGAGTTACAAGCTTTTTGCGATATTACACTGAACATCAGATAGTATTGGTGTTTTTGAGGTAGAATAAGCGCATGAGACACCCAATTATCTTTTAGCAGCAATAAAGTTAGTTCATTGCGTAAATGAACAGCAGAACTTATAATATTGCTTCTGTTTTCTGATATGGTCAATTTAGGATATTACACTAGGTATCTGTGCGGAACTTTTTGGTTTTTGTCTCGTTTTTTGGTGCTGTTTCATTGAAAACTTTATGAGGAAAATAAAAATTTGTCAGCTCCTTGTATTTTTGCTTACTTTGTCGTTTCAGGGATTCATCTTGTTGCCAAATGGGACAAGAGTGTCCATGCGTGACATGGCGTCAGGTGGATAAGTGAGCAGTCGATGGATTGGAATTCTGATCCGATTTATTATGGTTTTGAGACGTAGTATCTAACGGTGGCGTCCGAAGAGCAGTAGCTTTGTTCGATGGATAATAATGTCAAATGGAGTAACATGGTCATGGATAATATCAGATATGGGTATATTTCTGATAATTATTGATGGTTTTGGGTTCTTTTTAGTAGTGTAATGTTGTAAAGCAGTATTTTACAGAGTAATATGGGTTTTTGTTTTGGTTGTCATTAGTTATAGCCAAGAAGGGTATTATTTGGTATGGCTATGTTATCCATGGTTTTCTAGGTTTATATGAACAAAACTTTCTTGTTAGTTTAGTAATTTGTATGTTTATAATGCTTTTGATGATATATATTGTACGTTTACTGTTTTTACTTTTTTAAAAGTTTGGTTTTTTCAAAGGCATCAGGATACCGTGGGTAACAGGGGCGTCGCTAGGGGGGTAGATCCCCCCCCCCCCCCCAGAAAAAAAATCCGTCTTTTAGATTCAAGTCAATTTTAAAATATTTTCACAAGTGTTTTTGATTGCATATAACGTTTGAATGTTTCAGAAGTTTATACTGATCTACTTCTAAGTTCATCACTGCTCCAATACCCATCCAGTTCAAGATACAGCATCAAATCTTGACCATACCCAGACCAGTTCAAGTAACAGAGAATGAGGACAAAGATGACGTCAGATGAAACCAGCCCGTAATCTTTAGGGCATGAACAGATCATAATCCATTATATCTTTAATGTTGTATGTGTATAGTTGAGGTAGTCTCTGTACCCTGCTCTCCCTTCTGATGTCTTCGGTGTGTAGCGATGTTAGGAGGAGGCCCAAGAGCGGGGAGGGGTGGCAGAGTTGGAGACAAGTTACAGGTGGTCGATATTTTGAAATTCCAACTGATATCACCTTTTAAATTTTAATTTTTGGGCCAAAATTAAACTTTTGGTACAATTTTGGCCTTTTTCGATGATAAAACATAAATTTTTATTTGTAAGCCGAAAGTAAACTTTTTGGACTTGTTTGGTCATTTTATGGAAAATTTCAATTTTATATCATAAGGGTAACTTGGCTTCCATCTCTGTCCGAACTCTTTTCACAGTGCTTTAATGTAGCTTTGACTGGCACTCGAGTCGGGGACTGGTCGGAAATTGGATGGAAGTTGGGATTAGATTTTGTATTTAAATTCTATTGAATTTTTGAAATTAGAAAACAAAATTTTCGCATACTATACCTCAAAAGCGTCAATAATATCTGACATAAAGTGTAATATCGCAAAAATCCTATACCTCAAAATAACAGTCAAGAATGTCTATAACAATTAAAATCTACAAAAAATGTAACATAAAACTGCTGACCAAAACTAAAATTGAAACGTTTTCCTTCAAGATCTCTTAAAATGCAAAAAGCCTTCAGATGGCTAATGTAACATCGTATAATCATCATATTTCGAAAAGTACGTAAGATAGATAATTCACACTTCTGCCAACCATTAATCAGCTATTTTTGTTACCTTTAACACCAAATTTAGAAAATAATACCCATAGTTTTAACAAAAAATTGAGCCAGACCTTGATGTCAAGTGCAACATCGCCAGACGTTAATATTAGCAAAAATAGCTCAAAAACGGCTAACACACTAATTTAACCATCAAAAGCAGTTGAATCTCTTTCTAACAAGCTCAAACTCATTCCATTCTACACAAAAACAAGTCCACAACGGCAAGAAACAACCTCAACATCAACTTCTATCTTCGAAATTTGTCAAATACCTAAAAACAGAAACACAAAAAAAGTAAAACAACTTACATTAATATATCGTACGTACGCGTACATGTCTTCTACTTCAAAAATCCGTAAATCCATCGTAAAATCGGCCAGGAGTTCTCGATTTCGCGCCAAATTTCCAAAATTCGTAGTTGAAATGACTGCTCGGAGCAACTCACGGCGAAACGCCACACTGTTTGTTTTCGTGGCGGGACCTATTTAATATTATCATGCTGATGGGACATCGCCTTTTCCAAAAACCACAAAAACAGACAAAGATCTTCAAAATTCCAATAAAAATCAAATTTTTCAAGTTTAATTTGCATATTTAAGATACATAACAATCGAATGCGGCCTAGTTGAAAGTTGAATTATGTTTTCTAATAAGATCGGACCTTTGGTGGGACCCAGTCGGTTTCGGACTTGTCCAGGGTGGTGTCGATGACGGGTCGGTACTCGAGCTTCACTTCGCCGGATTCAATGTTCTGGGAGATGATCGAGTGTTTGCGCCAGTGTTCGGCGAACGTCTTTTCTTTTTGGCCTTCGAGGGATTTCGAGTAGTCGAATTCATCGATTCTGTCCTGAAATTTAGGTATCAAATTGGTGTAAAATTGGTTTTAGATTGAGATTTGCTTTATCTTTGAATGACAATGTATTTATTTTTTAAAAAAATTTAGAACTAAAAATTTTTTTTCGAAATGTTGAACTTGGACTTTTGAAAAAATTTTTGAAAAAAAAAATTTTTTACTTCATCATCAAGGAAAATGTATAAAATAGTGTCATTTTTCAAAATTTCAAACCTTTTTCACTTTTTCAAACAAAAATTTAAAATGTTGAACTTAGTCCGCCCTGTGGATTTTTTTCAAAATTTTTTTTCGCTACCCGCCTTCAAAATGATTTAAAATGACTGCCCATACCTATACCTCAACATTAGTTCATTATTTTTCCAAATTTAAGCTTTTACAAATTTTAAAATCAAAAAATCTAATTTCTTACCGGGAAATCATCTCTAGCATGAGCTCCTCTCGATTCTTTGCGATTCTCGGCTGCGACAATGGTTTGACTGGCGTTGATCAGGAGATTCTGGAGCTCCAGAGTTTCAACCAGATCCGAGTTCCACACCAGGCCTCTGTCCGATACTTTGACATGTTTGAATTGTTTATAAAGATCCTTAACCTTGGCTACACCTTCTTGAAGTAGGTCGCCTCTTCTGAAAACTGCAGCGTGACGTTGCATCGTCTTCTGGAGGTTCAGCCTCATGTCGGCGGTTGATGTGTCGCCGTTGGCGTTGAGGAGTTTGTCCACGTTCGTGATCGACTGTTCTCCGGCGTTGGCTGGTAGTTCCGGTACCTTGTCTCCGGGCTTGGACAGGCTGTTGATGGTGAGAGCGCAGGAGCGGCCAAAGATGACCAAGTCGAGGAGAGAGTTGGCTCCGAGGCGGTTGGCGCCGTGCACAGAGTGAGCGGCACATTCGCCGGCGGCGAAGAGACCTGGGACGATTTTGTCGCCACCGTCTGGGGTATAGGTGATGACTTGGCCCTTGTAGTTGGTGGGGGTGCCTCCCATGTTGTAGTGGACGGTTGGGATGACGGGGATGGGTTCTTTGGTTACGTCCACGCCGGCAAAGATCTTGGCTGTCTCGGAGATACCTAAAATTGTTAAAAATTAGTTAAAATTCATACCTAAAATTATAGAAATTAGTTAGTGATCAAGCCTAAAACGACTTTACAAATATTCAATTTTTTGTCCCAGCACCGTATTTTACCTGGCAATCTGGTGTTCAACTGTTCCACTGGGAGATGATGTAGTTGTAGGTAGATGTGATCGTTGTCTGGTCCCACTCCTCGGCCTTCCATGATCTCAACAGTCATTGATCTGGAGACGACGTCTCTCGAAGCCAAGTCCTTGGCCACTGGAGCGTACCGTTCCATGAAACGTTCTCCTTGGCTGTTAATTAGGTATCCACCTTCACCTCGGCATCCTTCCGTAATCAGACAACCGGCTCCGTAGATTCCGGTTGGATGGAATTGAACAAACTCCATATCCGAGTTCTGGAGGCCAGCACGGGCTACGAGGGCGGTACCTAAAGTAATATAATAATAAAAGTTGATTATTGTATTGTTTTAGGCCTTTAATTATATTGTAGTAGACACACTTTTTTCATAGGTTCCTGATTATTTGGTTATCGACATTTTGATTATATTGTAGTAGGTATAAAACCTAAAAAAAAACAAATTTTCCGTCTATCTTGCTATCTATAACCCCACAAACCATCAACTCTTACCATCTCCAGTGCAGGTGTGAGCCGAAGTACACGAGAAGTAGGCTCTTCCGTAGCCTCCAGTAGCCAGCACGGTGTTGTTGGCTCTGAAACGATGAATGGATCCATCTTCCAGGTCCATGGCGATAACTCCGACACACTTTCCTTGGTCCATCAACAGGTCCAACGCGAAATATTCGACAAAGTATTGGCAATCATACTGTAAAGAAGCGCCGTACAGAGTGTGAAGAAGCGAGTGTCCGGTACGATCGGCTACACAACATGTACGATGAGCTTGACCATCCTTTCCGTAGTTGTTGGACTGACCACCAAACGCACGCTGATAGATTTTACCTTCTGATGTACGTGAGAATGGCATTCCGTAGTTTTCCAGTTCGGTTACGGCTCTTGGGGCTTCTCTGGTCATGTAGTGGATGGCATCTTGGTCTCCCAGCCAGTCGGATCCTAAAAGCACAAAGTAAAATGTAAAAACAATAAGCTAATATTACTAATTGTTAATAAAAACGGCATAAAAAGATCATAAGAAGCTCTCAAAACACAAAATTTCAACTTTAACATCAATATATCTGATGCTCTACCTAAAACAATATAATTCAATAGCCCATCAATTTTATTCATCTCCACATCAAAACAATCTTAAAACCATGCTTTATCTTTTCCTAAAACCAAACAACAATAAAAATACAAAACAAACCTTTAACTGTGTCATAGAAGTGCCATCTCCAGTCATCTGGGTTCATGTTACCCAAAGCGGCGTTAATACCTCCTTGAGCGGCTACAGTGTGAGAACGGGTAGGGAACAGCTTGGTAATAACAGCAGTCTTAAACCCTCCTTCAGCCAAACCCATAGCTGCACGGAGTCCGGCGCCACCTAGAATAATATGATAAGAATGAGTTAGTGTCATAGATAATACCATATTATTGATGTAAAGTAATAGTTAAGCTTAAATCTTGATTTGGACCGTCAAGCACAGTATAGCCTAACTATATTATAGCTAACTAACATAAAAACATCAAAATAAAAGCTCAAACTATGATAATATAGACAAATAAGTTAATGTCATGTATAACATCGAAATATCCTCATAAATTGAAATTTAACATAATATCCTTCATGCCAGATAACTATTAAACTTATGTAGACCGTATTCTTCCTCTTCAACACCTAAAAACCAAACAATAATCAAGAACTCACCAGCACCAACAACAATCGCATCGAAAGTGTGATCAACGATGCGATATTGTCCCTTTTGGCTGGATTTCGCATCGGCGTAAGTTCGAACCTGTCCCAATGCTGGCGCCACACCACGACCAAGTACTTGAACACCAAATCGTGAAGCTGACAACATTTTGACAGCCAATTTGGTTCAAAATAACTGAAATTTCAAAAGTTTTTAAAATTAATGTTCGTCGCAACAAAAACGGCTAAAAAACTTAATTTTTGGCTAAAAACCAAACTAAAAACTATTAAAACAAATATGAAAATAAATAAATATTAATAAACATACTAGTTTATATAAAGTTAAGTATAGTAAATAATCAAAAATTCAATTTTTAGGTAATAACAACAAAATCAGATAGATAGATCCCCAAACACGTGTTGAATCGCGAGAAAAAACAATTCCCCAACATCTTCATATCAGAGAGCGCGCACAAAGAACGATGAACTATTAAAAGTTATGAAGACGATGTGATAAGAGCGATTAAGACACTAAACCCGTACAAAGTATATTACCCTTCCACTTATTATAAAAAGCTTATTTTAAGCACATTTAAGTTAAAATTTTACTTTGTAAAAAAGGGATTTTCGACAAAACAAACAGCAGTTACTCTTTAGCTTCGAAAAAGTATTTCCGACCCTGAGGAAAACAAATATAGATCAAAAACAAGCTTATCAATAAATAGAGAGCGCTTTTTTGCCTATGACAATATAATTTTTGTAAAGAGAAATGTCTTTGGTAAAAAATAAAATAATTCAATGTAAAATCAAGGCTATGATCAAGAAAAGACAAGTGATTTGGCCACGAACCCCGAGATTTTTACGTTTCAAACGTTTTGAGGAAATATACGGAACGCCAAGCGGCTTGTTTTCGTGGTGCGACTTATTCTAACACTGCATGTATAAAAAATTCGTAAAATGACACTTTTAATGCCTAGTAAATAACAAATTTTGTTTATTTTAACATTTTTAATACATTTTACAACCTTTTTCTTGAATTTATTGTAAAAAACACCTATTTGACACTCAAATATAACAACTTTCCCTAAACACTAACAATATAGCCGGAATCAATAGTAATATCGTTGTAAATCTCTCCAGTCTCCTGATTTATCATTCCCACATCCAACGCTTCATCGAAACACGTTTCCTGCGTATTTTCCGTTGGATTTGCACTAGCTTTGGCTTCCAAATAGTTATGTTGGGGATAGTGCATCTCGGTCGAATGGACGTAATCTCGAAATACCACGGTAATTACGAAATAAACCACAAAGATTATTAATATCTCGGCTGGTATTGTCAGTAGGAGCATGTAAAACTTGGGAGCATATAGGTTTTCATCGATTACACTTTCCAAATGGTATTTGCGAGAGGGAATTGAGGGGAGAAACTGTTTGAACCATCGATACGAGAGGAGCAAACTCGTGTAGGTGAAAATAAATACTGCTGAAATGCCTAGGGGAACCTGGAAAATGATTTTGAGTAAAGTTTGGGTAATTTCAAATCCAAAAAATTCGGTTTTTAAAGGATTTTTTAAAAATGTCGCCATTTTTCCTCAAAATTTTGATGGTTAACATAACTTTTTGCCTCAAAATCAAAGTGGAAACTAAATTAAACTATCTCAAACCTTTTTTGATATGTTAATAAGACTTTTATCTTATTATTAAAACACGTTTTTTATAAATCGTGATCCCACTGGCGACGTCAAATTTCAAACATTTTTTAAAAATCTGAAATTTTTATCATGAAGGTTTTAGACAATGCTGAGTACAAAAATACAATTTTTTTTATTTTTGGTTACTGTATTGTGGAGTACTGTAAGGTTACGGTAGAATTTATATCTCCATAACGAATAGTTGTAGAGACATGGCGTCTTCACTATCGTTTAGTACGACCACAATACAGTATTTCTTATGTTAGAGTCAAAGTTCCATGTATAATTTTACCGTAGTAAAAATTCGTATCTTGTGTCGTAATTACAGTAACCCACAAATAATAAAAAAATGGTTCGCGATACCTCTCTTTTTTATTTTAGTTTACTACTCTACATGTTATTGCGGTTCGAATGATATACAATTCAAAAAAAATTTTTGACACATCTGGGGTCAAAGGTCAAGTTGAAGTTGGTCGACCCTATATGTATTTCGAAAAAAAAATTTAAAACTAAGTAAAAACTAAGTGGTGAAAGGTACGCCAGCAAAAAAACGGTTGCCCATACCTATGGGCGATTTTTTTGCAAGTCCGTCCCTGACTTTTTCAGTCCTACCTGACCCTACCCCTCACCTTTTTGGCCCTATCCGACCCTACCCTTGATTTTTTGGCCCTACCTGACCCTACCCTTGACCTTTTTGGCCCTACGTGACCCTACCCCTGACACTTTTGGCCCTACCCAAGTCCACCCCTGGCCTTTTCAGTCCTACCTGACCCTACTCCTCACCTTTTTGGCCCTATCCGAACCTTTGTCGGGTAGGACTGAAAAGATCACGGGTGGACTTGGGTAGGGCCAAAAGTGTCAGGGGTAGGGTCACGTAGGGCCAAAAAGGTCAAGGGTAGGGTCAGGTAGGGCCAAAAAATCAAGGGTAGGGTCGGATAGGGCCAAAAAGGTGAGGGGTAGGGTCAGGTAGGACTGAAAAAGTCAGGGACGGACTTGCAAAAAAATCGCCCATAGGTATGGGCAACCGTTTTTTTGCTGGCGTACCTTTCACCACTTAGTTTTTACTTAGTTTTAAATTTTTTTTTCGAAATACATATAGGGTCGACCAACTTCAACTTGACCTTTGACCCCAGATGTGTCAAAAATTTTTTTTGAATTGTATATCATTCGAACCGCAATAACATGTAGAGTAGTAAACTAAAATAAAAAAGAGAGGTATCGCGAACCATTTTTTTATTATTTGTGGGTTACTGTAATTACGACACAAGATACGAATTTTTACTACGGTAAAATTATACATGGAACTTTGACTCTAACATAAGAAATACTGTATTGTGGTCGTACTAAACGATAGTGAAGACGCCATGTCTCTACAACTATTCGTTATGGAGATATAAATTCTACCGTAATCTTACAGTACTCCACAATACAGTAACCAAAAATAAAAAAAATTGTATTTTTGTACTCAGCATTGTCTAAAACCTTCATGATAAAAATTTCAGATGTTTAAAAAATGTTTGAAATTTGACGTCACCAGTGCAATTGACTCTGGCTCGAGCTTTACAAAAAACATGTTTTAAGCAAAAATGGCTGTCAAACCATCTCTCAATATTAAGTTATGACGCTTTGAACATTAAAATCCACTAAAATTTCTTAGACTATTCTAGAAAAAATGTCATTTTATAGTAAAACAACCCAAATTTTTTGCCAAGTACGCTTTTAAACCTTCATAAGTCCTTGCCAAGCCTAAAAAACCTAAAATCTTTAAAAAACATAAAAAACTTACGAAAATGAGCAAAAATATGATGTTAGTGACTGGAAGTCCGAAGATATTGCCCATGAATAAGATTGTCCATGCTATTAGTCCGACAATAGTTACAATTAATGGTATCCAATGAATAATTTCAAATGCAAAAATTAAGAATACTATGCCTGTAGAATGTAGTATGATGCCAAGAAGAGATAGTACGAAGACTAGGTTCTGGAAATGGTGCTTTAGAATGATTTTTAGGTACTTTTTGGTAATAAATGATAAAATTGGTGGCATTTAGAGTTTTTATGAGTTAGATATGGCTAGTGGGCTAGATATTGGTAGTACGATCTAGCTATAGCAAGTACGAGGTAGCTATGTCCAGTGCTACCTTGATATAGCCAGTACAAGCTAGCTATGGCCGGTACGAGCTACCTATATTGAGTACGAGCTAGATATAGCCATTAAAAGCTAGGTATGGCTAGTAGATGATAGGTATGAGCAGTAAAAGCTAAATATAAGGTCAGTACAAGCCATTTATAATTAGTACAAGCTAGCTATGGCCAGTAAAAGCTACTTAAAGACAATAAAAGATAGCTATGGCCAGTATGAGTTAGTTATGGCTAGTATCAGATAGCTATAAGTAGTACAAGTTAGCTATGACCAGTTCAAGCTAGCTATAGCCAGTACTAGATAGCTATAGCCAGTAAAAGTTAGTTCAAGCTAGTACAAGCTAACTATTGCCAATACAAGATATCTATAGTTAATAAGACCTAGCTATATCGCCAGTAAAAGCTAGTTGTTGTCAGTACAAGCTAGCTTTAGCCAGTACAAGCTAACAATGATCAATAAAATCCACTTATTACCAGTACAAGCTAATATATAAATAAATTTCCCAACTTACATGTACATGAAGACATTTGTAATGAAAATAATTGTCTTTTCCTCGCATTTCCTCAACCAAACATACGCACATCTACCTTATGTCCATCTGAAAAAACAAACATTAAAGTCAAATATTAAATTTTAGTCAAAAATATACAAAGGAAGTCAAAGCTCAAAAAATTTGCTAAAAAATGAAAAAAATTTTCCTAAACGTTTTATATTTGCTAAGCAAAAGTATAATATTATAGTATAATAATAGAATAGTGCTGTAAGCAAAGCCTTTTATGGTTTATAGAAACAGGTAATTGAGCTGTAACTACATTCTGAGCCGGGCGGATCATTTTTTTGGTGAAAAGGTAAGTGGAGAGAGGTGGAGAAGGATGGGGTAAAATGTTTTTTAAAAATCGACAGAAAAGCACACACAAAAAATAAAAATAAAATAAAAAAATTTTTTTGATCCCCCCCTCTAAAAAATTAGAATTTACCCCACCCATCCCTAAGTACATTTCCTGCCAATAAAACATTTTTTTTCATGAATCCACCCCTCCCTCAAAAAACAGCTTTTTTACCCTCTCACACCCAGTCCTGATTACATTACCTATCAATACAAATAAAAAAAAATTTTTGAATCCATCCCCAACCTCAAAAATTGAAATCTACCCCATCCCCTTTTTTTAAACAAACTCACCGCCCCATCCTCACACCCTACCCTTTCCTCCCACTCACACTCATCCCTGATGACATTTCCTTTTAAAATATTTACACTCCAGGCCCTAAAAGTTACTCTACCCTCCCCAAAAGGCTGTAATCAGAACTGACTACTTTGGAAAACAACAATGCCACTCCATTCGTGTGTCCCGAAAAAAGTCGAATGTGCATAACAAATTAATGCAAATGGGTTCAAAAGTAGTTGGCGGGGAGTAAGTAATCGGTTTAGGCACAAAAAACAGGAAAACAATTGTACTTTTGAGGACTGAAACGGCCAAAAATCCTTGAAAAAAGCCAAAAATTTGCGAAAAATTTGAGAAAAATGCCAAAAAATTAGAAAAAAAATCAAAAAACTTAAACTTTCAAACTTCGCAAAGCATTTTGGGTGTTTAAAATCGTCAACAAATGTTTTAAAAAGAGGTTTAAAGCCTTCAAAATGTTAAATTCCAAAATTTTGAACTTCAAAACGTCAAAAAAAGTCTTGTCGTTTTTTGCCATGTAAACCAATACAAATTGGCGACAAGGCTTTTCCTGATGTTCTAGTGTTAAAAAACCAACAGAAATTTAAAATTTCAATATGAACTTTTAAGAAATTTGATAAATTTTACCAGAGTTCCCAAATTTCAAGCTCCAGCTCCGCCTTTTTAAATTTTAGCTCCGGTTCCAGCTCCGGAGCCCGTGGAAACTCTGATTTTAACCTATAATCCAGGGCTGGGCGAAAATTTCGTTTCGTGTTTCGTTTCGCGCGAAAGAGGCACTTTCGTTTCGTTTCGTGTTTCGCGAAACAAATTTTGTTTCGGAAACGAAACAAAAAAATATTTCTCAACCCGAAAACCAACAAATGTTAAAAATGTTTGGCATTCTGTTTTATACTGTTGAAAATTGTTTTTATTTTAATTTTAAACATATTTTGGCATAAACAAATGTCGAAATACAATGCCTTTTTTAACGAAGGAGTCTGTATAACATGTAAGACAAAAGTGCGAAACACAACAGATCATTCCTCAACTAGCTCTTTCCGGCACCATTTAATACAGAAACGCCCGGACGTATGGAAAGAAATTGTAGCGGACGGGGCACCAGCAAAGAAAGAGCGTAATATTCTGGATAATGTAAGTCTTTCGAAACAAGTATTTCGGTTTATAGGAAAAATCTTTTTGTAATAAAGCACATCAAAATTCGACAGCAAGGACTATTTTGACTGACTGTCGAAGAAGCATGACAAGTGAGATGCTTCAGAACTTGTTATTCCTTAAGGTTAATACCTATTTACAAGATTTTTTAATAAATTCGTAAATTTTGTTTCGTGTTTCGTTTCGTTTCGCGCGAAAATAATTTACTTTTGTTTCGCCCAGCCCTGCTATAATCATCAAAAAAAATAGTGTCGTTTCATGCCATAAAAACCAATACAAATTTTACTTTTTTTTTGATGTTCTAATGTTAAAAAAATGTACAAAACTTCAAATTCCAATATAAACTCAAACAACTTCAAAATTTTTAACTTTAAATCCTTAAAAAGGTTTTGGCGTTATTTGCCATTCATACCAATGCAAATTAACAACAAGACTTTTTTCAATGCACTGATATAAAAAAAATAATAAAAATTCGAAATTTTACAGAAAACATTTAAAAAATACCAAAATTTTAAACTTTAAAACGTCAAAAAAGTTGTGTCGTTTTTTACCATAAAAAACAATGCAAATTGACGACAAGACTTTTTTTGACCCGCTATTTCGAATGAATTCAAAATTTTAAGCAAAGTCTCAATTAAAACGTCATTTTAATCACTAAAATTAAAAAAAAATATAAAAACAATAAAATCATACATAAATATTGGCACAAGACCTCTTTACTACTACAACAAAAACAAGCAATCAGCCCCCGTTACGTATTTTACTTTATTATCTCAAAAATCATATTTACATACATATACATTAATACCACCAACTCCAGCTACAAGTCCACAATCGCAGCGATATTGGTATTAGGATTGCCTACGACATCCTTTAGGTATAGATAATCTCGGTATAGCACGCGAAGACTGTAGACCAATACCATGATAATGAGGACGTATCTTGTGCCTTCCATTGTGAACTTGATTTCATCGCTACGATCTTCTGTCACGAATTGTAGCATCGACTTCTCACTGAATTGTTCAATCAGTTCCAATGTTAATACCATGAAATGTACGAGAGCTTGACCGGCGTTTACCATTAAGGCTATTGCCTGAAAAGGTGAATGTTACAGTATAGTGTTGATGTTTATAAAGTATATTATAGCACAGTGTAACTCTAATTGGTAGGGTAGGTGCGTTGTTGTAGAGTAAAGTAAGATGAGGTAGAGTTATCTATCCTGCACTAACACACCATACCCTACTCCATTCTACTCTACATTATCCTGCACTACCCTACCGTACTCTACCCTACTCTACCATACCATACCCCACCCTACTCTACTCTACCCTACCCAATAAACCCCAAATTCACAAAAAATGTTAACCTTACATTAAGAACCATGCATGGAATGTATAACCATCGTATTAGCTTCCGATTCCCGACGTAGGCCAATATGTACAGAATCGTGAACACCGGGAAATGGTACCAGTTTTGATAAAGTGATGTGTCAAAGGACCTCAGAAACTCGGACATGGAAACAAAAATCCATCCAAGGCAAATGAAGACTACCGCGTACTAAAATATTATAGTACATTAACATTGCTAATTAAAATTTCAAAAAAAAAAAAAAAATTTCGACCGGTCGATAAAAACTCTTGTAAAATTTTATTTTAAAAGACTTTTTAGAACTATAAAATTAGATAAATCGTAAAATACGCCTATTTAAAACAATGTATAAAAACTTCTAAACCACTAAATTTTAGCCATCTAGTACCAAGACAAAACAGCTGTAACCTTGTTACAAATCAAAAATTTCCAAATTTCTCTGACAATATTAAAGCCTAGTGTATTGTGTATGACAACACCAAAAATTAACCCAATCCGTCCACTATCCTAGTACTTATGACCAAATCAAGTTTTGAAGGCAGTAGAACCTAGTGTAATATAACTTTTGATGCCGAGGTGAGCGAACACTGCCTTCATATAAAAAATTTTAATAAATCTACCCCATCCTAGTCCATTTTTTCAAAAAATTTGAAAACTATCCCCTCCCAGCTCCGCAAATTCAAAAAAAATCCGCAAAAAAAACCCCTCCGGTAAAACCTTTTTTTACCCCACCTGTTCATTCAAATGACCTGTCAAGTTACTAGAGACTACTCTAACCCATGTTTTCTTAAAAAAGTAAAAAATGACCCCTCCCACCATCAAAAACAAAAAAATTAACAAAAAACACCCCTACAATAAAACCTTTTTTCTACCCTTCCCACTAATCCAAATGACCTACCAATTGTACTAAAAAAACCACTATAGCCCTCCTAACCCCAATAAAACAATAAAACCACTCACATGAACATGACAATTGCCGTAGGTAACGAAAAAGTTGAAGGGCCGCTCTTTCAGCACCATCCTCCAGTAGCACCATGAATCCGTACGAAAGTTGAAAGAAGGCACAAGTTAATCGAAATCCGGTCGCATTTCACAAATTACATTGAAACCTGCAAGTAAGACTGTCATTATGACTCAAGGGTTTCGCAAAACAAGGATTGTCAGCCGGTTGTCAATAAGAAATGTCACATTTTATGATAAAATTGATGGCAAATAGCATGACAAGAATAATTTAAGTGAAGTTTTTGATCAAAATAAGCAAAGGTGAGGTTAGTAAGACTAGGTATACCTAGTGTAGGAATGGTAAGGCTAGGTATACCTAAAATTAAAAAAAACTCAAAAAAATATTAAAAAAATTTTCGACCGGTCGATAAAAATTTTTGTAGAATCTTATTTCAACAACCCTTTATGACTAAATTAAGTTTTGAAGGCAGTAAAACCTAGTGTAATATAACTTTTGATACCTTTACCTTGATGAACCAATACAAAATAGATAAATGTAAAACCAGTGAAGCTAGATATACCTAAAAATAATAAAAATAGCTTTAAAAACTCAAAAAATTTCCAAAATTACCCGAAATTCAGATAACTTTTATAGCAGTAGCAGCAAAAATGAGCTCATAAGTTCGGAATATCGAATTTTTTTCAAAAGTTTTTTTTAAAAACTGCTATAAAAGACTTTGTGTTACCTAGAAAACCACGAAAGTAGAAAGTTGTCCAAGGACTTTCATGCCAGACTATTTTTTCTATCTCTCAACCTACAACAATATTATTGCTCACCAGAAAAAAAAAATTCATAGTGAATTCTAAAAATTTTATAAAAAGTGCTGTAATAGCCAAAGTATTACCTGAAAAATCAAAAAACCTTTATAATTGTCCGAGAACTTTCGTTCCAGACCATTTTTCCCTCATTTAACCTACTACAATATCAAGCCGCAGTAAAACACTAAAATTTTGTACAAATTGCCAAATTTAACTAAAATTAGTCCTGATAGTATAATTAGTACCTAAAAAGCAAAAAACCTTTATAATTGTCCAAGAACTTTCGTGCCAGACCACTTGTCCTTATCTCAACCTACTACAATATCACCCATCACCCAAACCAAAAATTTAAACCCAAATTAATAGCTTCAAACCCAAAAAACAAAGTATGTGTCATAAATAACATTCTCCACAAAGTTTTCTCAAAATGCCCTAAGGCACTTTTTGGGCGAAAGTGGCAAAAAAATTTCGTTTTTCTAATAGAAAGGATATAATCTGATATATTATTCATGAGGAAGGAGGAATATCAAATTCTCCTCACGAGATTACGGCTTCGAAAGTGCAAAATCCAACGCTTGACATATGGAAAATGATATTTATTTCCTACAAATTGGCATTTGTTACCTAAACTTGTCAAAAATCGTTGTTTTTTGAAGGTTTTTGGGTAAAAATAGAATTTTTTCGAAAATTTGTTATCTATATCAACTAAAACAACAACGTTCTTGATAAAAACAAGTTTAAAATAACACTTTTTAGATAAATTTAAGTACAAAACAAAATTCTGCATCTTTTGAATACCATTTCCAACAACTTTCATTTCATTTCCATACCTAAAATTCGAATTAAAGTTAAAAAACCTGTCAAATAAACTAACATAACATAGCAAATTGATGCCAGAAGACGTTGAAGGCTATAAAAACATGAAAAATAGAAGAGATAATCAAAAACAATAAAGACTTAAAAATATTTTTTAAAATGGCAGGTTTAAAAAAAAGCAAAAAAATTAATTTCGATAACGGCAGCTCGCGCCGGACAAAAGAGGAAGAAGCGCAGGTTGCAGAAGGGATCAACGCTTTTTGTTTGGTAAAATATGAAGTTATAACCTGTTTGGAATAAAAATAAAATAAAATTTTAAAATTTTGATTTAAACTGCAAAATGTTTTGAAAATCCTCATTTCCAATGCAAAATCTCAGAAAATTGACCAAAAGACCTACTATAACATAGAAAAAGGGATATAACTGTTAATAAAGACACATGAAAAACGTGAAAAAAAATTTCTAAAAAATCAATGTATTCTTCATTTTGAATTGAAAATAGTTAAAAGATAGCCAAAAATCCTAATTTCCAACGCAAAATCTCTAAAAATTAGACAAAAAGACCTACTATAATATAATAAAATACCTTGACAACTGTTTAAAAAAAGTAGCCTGAAATGTTCATAACACTCTGGACAAATAGCCAAAATTTCAAAAAAATCAAAAATAAAATCCTCATTTCCAATGCAAACCTTACAAATATTACCAAAAACACCTACTACAATATAAAGAAATGCCCAGAAATGCGTCAAAACTTTTGACGGATCCGCACGTTACGAAAGAAACGAAAAAACAATGGAGAAAGTCTCGAGAAAATGGAATGTCTCCAGAATCCGGAGGGAGTTATGGCCGGCGGGGTAAATAAACAAGGCCGCGGCTCTTTGATATTCGAATAAAATTAATTTTATTTCTGGCCAAAGACAAATTTGACGTGGAAGGGCTTCGAATTTCGAAGCGAATTCAAAGAAATACGAAGCCATGTTTAATTATTGATATAAAGTTTATTTTTGGGAATTTTGCGAAATTTTGAAGCCTGTTAAAGTTTTGAAATTTTATGTTATTCAAGCCCCTAAAGTCGAAATTTTAAAAATTTGCAAAAATATAAAGCCATAGTAAAAAGTACGTTTCACCATTCTTTACTTTTCCCTAGCTTACGCTTGTTAAAACGTTAAAAAGACTTGTCGTTTTTTATAATGAAAAACCATGGCAAAAAACGACAAGACTTATTAAACCCAATAAAAGTTTTTAAGTTTGCTTCCTATTGTGCAGTATTCTTATCCTAGCTCTTTTCTACCCTACCCTACCTACTCCAACTTTAACCTAGCTCTAACTTAGCCATTAAAATCCCAAATTTTTCTCAAAAAAACTAAAAAAAACTAATTCTAACTCTTTTCCCAGCCATCTGGCGATGATATTAAAAGTGACAAAGCCAACCTATTCAAAGCCAAAGTATCGTATCCAAACAGCAAGTCCTATTCTTTTTCGAAATCTTATTTTCGATTCTGATTTTGAAAAAAAACCGAGTTGAAAAGCCGCAAAATAAACGAAAAAAGGCCAGTTTTGTATGAAAACCGGAAGTAATAAACAATGGCCCATCTTATTGTCACACCTTGGCCAGCAGAGACGATGGCTACAAATTTTGGTTTTTGAGGATTTTTTTTTTCAATTTTAAGGGATAAAATAAGTAAAAAAAACATTTTTTTTTAAATAAAAAGTTCAAAATTTAAAAAAATTAAAAAAATTTTGTTTTTAGCCATTTTTTGTGAAACAGTCCTACTTTTAAATAAAAAAAAATTCTCGAAAAATATTTTCTAACGAAAATTATTTCTGCCAGAAAACAAAAGAACGTATTTTACAAAAACCACTTCCAATTTGCCAAATTTTAAGTACAAAATTGAATTTTTTAGTCATTTGTTGTGAATTTGTGAAACGGTCCTTTTAGCTATAAAATCAATTTTAGCGTAAAAATAACAAAAAATATTGCCATAGCAGCTCGTATTTAAAAAAACACCCCAATTTGTCATGTTTTTTAAAAAACATAAAATTAAAAAAATTTTTTAGCCATTTTTTGTGAAACGGTCCTTTTAGCTATAAAATCAATTTTAGCGACAAACTATTGAAAAATCTTGCTATAAAATCTCCCCATTTTAGAAAAACCCACCACAATTAGTCATGATTTAGTAAAAAATTGAATTTTTAGTAATTTTTTGTGAAACGGTCCTTTTAGCTATAAAATTAATTTTAGCGATGAAATATTAAAAACTTACAATAAAAAAATCGTATTTTACAAAAAACACTTTCAAAAAAAAGCAAAACTCTATTTACTACCCTTTACAATTTTTAAAACTCGAAAATCAAATTATATTACACTAGATCCAGTCAGCTTTTTTCACTACTTTTTGAGCCTGATGGCTTTGAAACACTTCGAAATGCTAAACTATACTACTTTATTTATTTCAAACTATATTTTCTTTACATATCAACAATTTTTCGACTCAATATCAGTTAAGAAATGGCACTAAAGTCTCAAAACTTCAAAAAAATTTTAAAAAACCAAAAAAAAATTTTTCAAACTTTAGACCAAAATGGGACTGATATGGTCCTAGTAGTAATAAAGATCCAAAAAACTTCAAAATTCCGAGAACTTTCGTGCCAGACATGCATCAATCAACTCGAGGCCTAATATTAAGCTGTTCAACTAATTATGAGCCACCTTTCAATGTAAATATCAGGGTTAAATAGCTCGAATTTTTTGGACAACCTAAAAGAACCTACAACAATATCGAAAAACGCGTCAAATGATAAAGATAACACAGTTTGGGAAATAAATATTCGTTGAATATACGATGGGGTTATTAACCATTCTGGGGGGTTATATTGACACAAAAGGTTTAAATAAATTTACAGTAGGATAAATAAAACTTTGTACAAACTTCGACTCAAGCGCAAATTAAATTACAGTAACACGAAAATGTACAAAAGACAAGAAATTAATGATTACGGTAAAGAGATTGTGACAAAAAATTGATGATAATGAAGAGAGAGAGAACACAAAACAAAGAGAACGGGCAGAGAAACAAAGAGAGAGGAAATCACAATTGGCATTTGATTATCGACCATTTCTGCGGTAATTACATGTTTCCTAACAACGAAATGTAATCCAAAAGATGCTACAGGGATTGTAGAATGTTGTAGTGATAAAAATTCTATGGCCCATACTTCGTATTTTACAAAAAAATGAAAAAAAAAACCAAAATTTCGTAAAAATACCAAAAAATTTTGAAAAAATTCAATTTTTCATAAGTTCTCGGACAAATTTCAAAAATATTTTTACAAGAGCATAAAGTCATCATTCTAAGCTTTCTTTAAAGCTATAACAATTTAAAAACGAAAGGCACACTTTTTCAACAAAAAATTAAAAGTTCCAAATTTTTCCTAAAAATTTCGCTTTTCAGCCAAATTTCCAAGTCTTTTCAATTCAAAACTAGCCAAAACCTTTTAAAAACTGCCAAAGCTTATCATTACCACAAAGCCAACACTCTAATCAATCCCTGGAAGCACATTGGATTACCTAAAATGAAATCTAATCATAAGAACTACAACGTTTTTTGGTTTGAAACAGACGGTTAACTCGGGTTGGGGAACGATGGGAAGAAGAAAATGTTCGTAGTATACAGCAATATACCGGGGTTATGTTGTGAAGATAGAACTGTAAAATGTAAAACAGAGTATGTGATGAGTAGATAGAACTATTTTTACTATGACATTATGATAAAATGGAGAAAAGTCAAAAATAATGGGTAAAATAGGCCAAAAAAGTCAGTTTTTGAAGCATTTTAAGCCTAAAACAAGACAAAATGGGGCAATGTTAATATAAAATAGTCTCAATACAAATATAATAGGAAGAAACATTAAAAAAGGTTAATATAATAGTTGAAATGAGTATATATGTTAATATCAAACAAAATAATCGAGAATATTTATTCGGCTGATCCGGCGCCAAATTCAACTGGACTAGACTAGAGCTTCGGCGTTTTGGTTTCATTCGGTTTTGGCTCGTGAAATCGTGGCAGCGGTCGATAGGAACAGGGTCAGAAGGATTCTAAAATGAATGAAAAATCATTTTTTGTTAACTGTGTTACCTAAAAAGTAAGATTTTGAAATTGCTGCTACCTAAAAATCCATTTTTCAACTGCTAAAACAGATTTAAATCAACTTTATTACCAAAAAATTCATTTTTTTGATGTTTTGTTACCTAAAAATTCATTTTTCAAATATTTTGTTACCTAAAAATTACCATTTCTATTCAAAAACCTAATCATAACAAGCCCAAAAACCTCTATTTTACCCTAAAAACCCCATCCAAGCCCCCAAAAACTCCCAACCATCCATACCTAATGCACTTGTTGATCTCCTTTTCCACCTCATCCTCAACATCAACTCCACCAAAATCTATGCACAAATCTTCTCCTGGATATTCCTCATCATTTCCAGTCATATCCACCTGGCTAGTCATGTTTGAAGTCGCTTTTCCAGCCAATAGTTTGGACTGAATTTGATCGAAAAGGACCGCTTGAAGGGTTGGTTGGTCTTCATCGTTGAATAAGTCGTCTCCTGAGAGCATGGCGATTCTGGCTGTAACTTCAATAGATGTAGTAGATTCTACTAAGTAATACGAGCTATGGTTTCCATCTTTTTTCGAGGTTTTGGCGGTGTCTTTGTCGTTTTTTGTCCCAAAATCCTTGGTTTTTCGCCAAAAATCAGTCTTTTTTGAAGCGAAACTGCCATTTTTAATCGTATATCCAGCATTTTTCAATCCAGAAAAGCCAGCTCTACTTTTGTCCTGTCCTTGTGCACCATAAGTACTGTTCGTACCATACGTAGTCGGACTGTAAGTGGCTCCATTCTGATATTGTCCATGTTGATATTGGGCTGGGTATTGATAGCCCATATGATAGCCATAATCACCTTGGGTTTGACCGTTGCTTCCCATACTGTGAGGGCCCATCGAGCTACCATTATTGCCCATCGAATTACTGTATTTGCGTTGACTTGGCGAGCCAGCCGACTCTCCGGAGAAGGATGAGCCAGGTGAACATGACTGGGTGGTAGACGAGTTCAAACGGCTTCTGAATCCATCTGGGTCTTCTTTTATGGTATCTGGTGGGTTCATCATGTACTGAGTAGGTTGGGCAAACTGGTTCGTGGAGTTTTGGTGAGAGGGGTCTAGTTCTTCGTCCAGGTTGTTGTTCCTCGTACTAACCGGGGATGTTGTGAATGAGTGGGTTGAGGAATCTGAGCCCATTCCGGAATCGGTCGTTGACTTCTGACGATTAAGTTGAAGGCCTTTTACTGAGTCGTCATCAGCTTCGTTGTCCGAGTCAATGAAGGCGTATTGGTCGAGTGGAGCGGTTGGGGATGAAAGCTGGAAGAAAATTCATTATTTTTTAAATTTCGAAAAAGTGAAAATAAAGTTTTTTGAAATTCTTGTAAAACATGAAAGTCCATTCTAATATCTACCCAAATTTATAAAAATCTCCAAAATACTCCATCAAAATCCGATGTTATCCCTACCAGTTGTGGGTATACCCCGAAAGGTGGGCAATAGCACTGTCGACTCTGATCCTTGTGCCGTCTCAACGCCAACGCACTTCGGAACGCTCCGGCACATTGTTGGCAACGATGTGGTGAGTCTTCAGCGTGTTTCTGTTGATGAGATTCCAGTTGTTTTGGCGAATGAAAGCGTTGAGGACATTGGCCACAACCATATGGTCGATTGTCCAAATCATTGTGATAGGCCATGTGACGTTGTAGGTATTCGCGGTGAGGGAAGTTGAGCTTGCACTTCTTGCAAGTGTAGATACGATGCTTGTTCTTCTCCAGGTACTGGTCGATATATTCCGGGTCCAGCGGTTTCGTGTGTACAGAGTTTACATCGTGCACAAAGTTGCCATGCTCTTCGAAACCTTGAATTTCTGAATTCATAGCTCCATTAGATCCCATTTGTCCAGCCAAAGCTCCATTCGGTCCTCCGAGGGCCCCATTTTGTCCACTTAAACAAAGAGCACCATTTTGTGCACCAAGTGTACCATTAGGACCGATTGGTAAATTCTGTCCATTCAAAGCTCCATTCTGACCCAAAACCCCATTTTGACCATTCAGTGCTCCATTAGTACCAATGGAACCATTAGTACCAATAGTACCAGTTTGAAGCTGATCAACTGGTTCCTGTTTCACGTCGAAGCCATTCATTTGATAGCCAAAATCTCCCATTCCCATTGGCATTTGGCCGTCCGCAAAGTTCATGTCGTACATCATCTGCTGCTGAGCCATCTGCATGTCCATCATGTTGTTGTTCATCATGTTCTGGTCCAACGCCGGTTGCGCGTACATTTCCGTGTAGCCGACGCCACGCGTGTAGAAACGTTTTCTAAAAGCAGAAATTGTTGAGGGATGCTTAGAAGTTCGTATTTTACAAAAAACAAATTTTTAAAATTTTTTCATAATTAAAAATTTTTTTTTCAAAATTTTAAAAAATTTCAAAAAAAATTTTTTTTTGTCATGTTTAGTACAATTATGACACGGACACGAAAAGCTGCGTATTTTACTTCATTTCTCGGCATTAAAATAAAAAAAATCAAAATTTCAAAAAAATTTTAATTTCTAAATTTTTTGAAATTCAAAGCCAAATTATGGCCATAACTGGTTTCTAATAATAGAATTCGACGTATTTTACCCATCCCCAATAAAAAATCGAATAACTTTAGTATATTCACATAATTTGAGAGTAAAAACAGAGGAAAACACAGTGTTTTTAGGGCTCGCACCACGGAATGATTAATATTTATGACCCGGGAGAACGCTTACATTCAATTTAATTCCAAAAATTTGGTTAAACAAATGTATTGTTTTTCATTTCGAGTACTTTTATGTTGTTTAGATGTGAGGTTTTGAGTAAAATCTAATGTTTTTAGGACTTGAATTGAGATTTTTGGTGTTTTTGACGAAGAAATTGAAAATAATGAGGTTTTTATGCAAATTTTTAATACTTTTTCAAAATTTAAAATTGATTTAAAAATAGTGCAGAGTCTTCTACAGCTTTTACAATAATATAAGCCTAAAAATTATTTCAAGATTTTACTTAAAATCTCAAAAAATGTCATCCAACCACCAAAAATCGCTATAACAACATAATTTTTCTGTCTGTTACGTTAATCCTAGAACAAAGTTAACCTCAAAAACCATATTATCATGCCCAAAGGATACCTACATTACCATACCATACGCAGTCAAAAAAAACTTATCAGTCAAAGCAAGGAATCATCAAAACTTTAACTTAATCATAAAAAATGGCTATGATAACATGACTTTTATTAAATATTACAGTAAGCCTAGTACTTCACTACCTCTAAAACCTCAACTTCCTCATTCCTCTGATACTTATACTACATTATTCATCAAAATACAATGAGATTTTCAAGTCAAAAAGGCCAAAAATTATCAAAAACTTGACATAACTATCAAAATTTGCTACAATAACCTAACGTTTGCAGCCTGTTACAGCTGGCTTAGTAAAATAACAGCTCTAAAACCTCAATTTTTTGGTGCTAAAGATACTTGTGCTACAATATTCAACAAAACCACAGTTAAGAAAAGTGGCATTGTCCCCAAGATGGCTTATAAACCCAAAATAACCCAAAGCAAAACAGCAATTGATGTACTTTTGGGGGCTTTAATGCGCGAGGGAAAAGCGAAAACGGAAAAAATTCGTTTTTGCGAGTTAATGAGGTCAACTAATATAAAGAAACAAGCCAGCGAATGAAATCATTCAATGTTATTTCAATTAAAAATTAATTGACATTGAGCTGTTTTACTTCGGAATTACTGTGACAATACCGTACAATAACTTCTAGAGTACCGAAAACGTACTAAATAGTATCATAAACGTACTAAAAGCCTACTATAATATCCTTGTCATTCATAATATACATTGTTTAATAAACATTGAGCCACGAATTTTACCAAAAGCAGATATACCATGTCCTATAGTATGGTATAGCTGGAGAGCACTATATATCCCCTCCCCAATGCCATACACAACTAAAAATTCAATTAATGTCATCATGACATTCATTATATCATTTTTATTTCAAAAGTAACTATAAAATATTAGCATTTGACACTTAGCAGCTTATACAAAGTTAAAAAAGACTTATTCTTGTTGTCATGCTATAGTACTCTGTGGTTAAACTACAAGAAAACACGTCAAAACAAGATATTCTTAAAGAACTTTTAGTTCAGTTCATTCAAAGAATGCCGGATTGTAAACAAAATTTTTACGGAATGCGGTTTTTGGTTCGAAAGTTCGTGGAAAATTGAATAAAATTAGAGCTTAAAATAGCCAAATCTTGTGCTTAAAATGCGGTTAAGGGGAAAGTTTTACTGATTTTTAACCCAACCATAACTTTTTCATATCAAATTTATGATAATGTAGTGTAGGATTATCATAAAATTAAAATTCTGACATAAAAAATTATGGTTGAGTTAAAAATTAGTAAAGCTTGCCTTTTAACAGCATTTTAGGCTTAAGGTTTGCTTACTTTAAGCTCTAATTTTGATTTTTCTACAAACATTCAAACCAAAAACAGTATTTCGTAAAAATTTTGTTTACAATTCAGTCTTCTTTGAATGAACTGAACTAAAAGTTCTTTTAAGATTATTCTGCGTTAACTTATCTTTTCTTGATTTTACTGTTAACTATTGAAATTTTAACTTGAATTTTTAGTATATTTCGACTCTTTACAATAGTAAACGACCAAAGGAAAGTTTTTTTTAAAACGTTTGAAACAGTAGCTAAATCAACGGTATATGTAAGCATCAAACCTGTAAACAGTAGCCAAACAATCAGCAATATATCTAAGCCCTATGCCCTAAACCAGTAGTTATTTCAGCAGTATACTTAACCTATGCGCCTTCAACCTTTAGTTAAACCAAAACAACGTTATTTTTGTTCGGAAACAAAAACCAAAATTAATTTAATGCGAGAAATGGGGAGAAAAAGGAAGCAAGTGGACACACCCGGCGCGTTCAGGGCCAATAAAAACCGAATGCAAATTTCTACTTTCAGCCGCGATGTTTTCTAATTTATGCCGAAGAATTATCATCATCTTGTTTATTAATAAATTGAAAACTCAAGTAATGACATCAAAACTAACATAATGACTTAAAAACTCACATTTTAGTCATCTTTAGGGACATTTTAGTGTGAGCTTTCTTGTCATTGATAAAAATACTTTTACCCACTGTAAAAGTCGCTATGTACGTATCAACTCGTATTTTACAAAACACTCAAATTTTGATTAAAAATCTCTCAGTATTACCCAGAAAAGCTTTTATAATTGACAAAATTTGTTATTTTTAAGGGCTTCTTTTGACTTGTGGCCTTATAAATTACTTCCTTTTTACAAAGTAACTTAATTTGCCAAACAAGTGAATGTAAATTGTGGAGTGTTTTCAAGTGTTTCACGTTTATAACAACAATGATATAAAATATTGTTTTTTTTGACTACGATCTCTTATAGATATTATAGCAGCAATAACAGGTTCTCTATCGCTGTGTTGATATAAAAAAAGCTGTTCTTCTTGGACATAAATAGAAATTTTTAAATACCGCAAGATTTTAAAAAATGAAGTTTCAACCAAAAACTATCCAAAAATAAAATTTCAATCCAAATTTTAAACAAACGCAACCATAAATGACGCCATAGCTAAATCTAGCAAACAAGTAATTACAAATGTGGTTGATAGTATTCATGCCAATTAGGCAGAGCACGCACTTTTCCCACGCTTGTAATTTTCACAAAATTACCATGCTTGTCACGTAATCTAATCACAGCATATTAATGAGTATGTGTTTTTATATGAAACGTGAAAGCGGTATTTTTGTGAAATTTGAGGTTATTTTTAGAGGTTTTAAAAGTTGTTATTATGGTCGTATAGTGCTGACAACAGTGGTAAAAGTCATTGAGTATTTACATTACTGTACTATAGAGTATAAGACGAATGTTTAGTATTGTACTGAGAATCATAAGTTGATAATAAAATCCAAATCAGAAGACCTGATCATACTTTTTTACACCACATGTCACAATTTACATCAACATAGTCATGATTGGCATAAATTAACGCTATTAGTTCGCTCAAATGATTCTGTGCCCGATCCCCAAAAATTTCATTTATAAAGGAGCCCAGAATTATTTGAACAACCTTACAAAAAAACCTCAAAATTTTAAAATTTGTGAGATTTTTAATAAAAAATTGCAGCTAGTTGTATTTATTTTAAAAATTGTCCATGTTGCTATAGAAATTGTTTTTACAAAGATCTTTTTACAAAAATTTGCAAAAAAATGATTCTTTAACCAAAATGTCTTACCATTTTAAAATAACTTGCACAACGAAAACAATATACAGTAAAGCTCCTGTATAACGAACCGCTAGGGGATTTAAAATTTTTTCGTTATAAAGGTTCCATTATAGAGAAGTTCGTTGTAGAAGTTAGTTTAAGCCTTCCGACCAACATTACCATAAAAAAATTCTGTACAGAAATCATAGCTTTATGAATACTTCTACCTTTTTCCAATCAATTACTACAGCAACATGACAACTTTTTAAACTAACAACAACTAGCTGCAATTTATCATTACAATCTGACACATTTTTCAATTTTGACCCTGCCAGCACCCTACAACAAAGAAAGATAAACCATACCCAATCTACCTCACACAAGTCGTCAGTGTGAGGTAGATTATAAGTACGTTATTAAAAAATAACAAAATTTTAATGCCTCTGCCCTCAAGATTTTAATAACCGCCGTAACACTTATCATATAATTGTTTGGGTAAAATGTAAATACATTCGAGCGTCAACGCCGTTAAACACGAAATAAAGGGATTAATTCGGATAATAGGGACGCTTTGCATATTAAATTGGCTTCATTACTACTTTTGCCGGCCCCACCCAAATTTAATTTCAATTAATGTTTGTATGAGTTTCATAGCTTTTTGTGGGGCTTTTGATAGTGCAAATAGTACAGTTTGGTTCTCAACAGTACTAATCTTTGATATTGCAAATAGTACAGTTACGTTCTTAACAGTATTAATCATACACTAATAAAGTATAAAGTACCATTAGATTGTTCAAATAATTCTCTACTCCCTCTCAAAGCAAAGTTTCCGGTTAAGAGCACAAAATTATTTGAACAACCTCATATTCCGTTATACTGTACTAGATTATGATTACTACTGTTGAGAACCTAACTGTACTATCTACGCTATCCAAAATGCCACAAAACGCGTTGAAGAACACAAGGAAAAACCTAATCCTACAGCATAAATACTAACGTAGTACAAAGTATAAACTACTAGAGTATGATTAGTAATATTGAGCTAATCCAAAAATCTTAAAAACTCAATAAATCAGCAAAAAACTTTAAGCTCACCTTAGATCAAAACTACCAGTCAGGCATTAGCCATATACATACTTTACAATTTTTAAAATGCCATTCTGTTGTCATCTCCAAACCCACCAAAATTAACAAGCCCATTTTCAAAACTAACCTTAAAAACCCGCGAAATCCGTTCAGCGCAAAATTTTCTTTTGTGGTTAAAAATGCGGAAAATTGAAGGGAAAAAAGAACGGAACGTTAAGGTTGCCTTCGGTGGCATAAATTTATTTCATTTTTCGTCTTCCGCACACCCAAAACTTTAGAATTTGACAAGGAAGAATGTTGAGTACAAGAAAACAGAATTTGGCCTATGGTAATATGGTAGAACTCCTGTATAACAAACTCCTCCGTAACGAAAGCTCCGTACAACGAACAACTTTTAAATCCCTAGCTAACACTACAAAATGCATTTAAAACTCCTATGTACCAAAACTCCTCCATAAAAACAAATTTAAAATCCCAATGCAATTCGTTATACAGGAGTTCTTATTTAAAATAAGCTTTAAGACTAAACTTGTTTTTTAATATCAGCTACAGTAGAACTCTTGTATAATGAACCGCACGAGATACTTAAATTTCTTCTTCTTTGAAGGAGTATCTGTACATATGAGGTTTAAATGCACTCTTTAGTGTTAGCTAGAGAGTTAAAAGTTGTTCCTTATAAAAGTGTTCCGCAGAGTTTTAACCAAATTTTCAAACCATGACTATACCATAATAAGTTTCCATCGAAAGTCAAATTTCAAAAAGACTTTGATATCTGATATTATTATGTCACTAGTTGTAACTTTGAAAAGAGGACATAAATGAGTAAATGAGCAATGAGTCTTCCTTGAGTTAAATACGCTTCAATATAATGCTGTTCGTAAAACTTCAAGACGTTTTTAAAATAATTTTATAAACCGTACAACAAAAACAGTTTTGATTATAAAATTTTTTCGACTTAAAACACGCAGCTGAAAAAAAAACGCAGAATGAATGTTTTTTCCCGTCCATCCGCAAACAATTGGTTCGAAGTTTCGTTTAATTTGGTTTTCAGCCCACAGCAAAAAAAACAAACGTTATTTATTAAATTTTGGTGTTTATTCCGATGGTGGATTTTCGCTTTTAAAGTGCGTTAAAATGGAAGCGAATTTGGGGTGGAATTAATCAAATTCCACTCCCGGGTAGGATCGACAATTTCCGGAGGGCAAAAAAAAACGGTACAGTTTCGAGTTTTTGAAAAGTTTCAACGATTGAGAGCGTAGGCATGGGTATTAATAGAAAATGTTTCGCAAATTTGATGGATAAAATTACATTCCGGTCAATTTCATTTACTAAAAATAAATAAAAATAAAATTTGGCGTCATGTTGCTTTATTGGTCACAACAAGTTTCCTACAATGTCCTTAACTTTCAGTACTGTCAACGTTTTTATTTATATATTATATATATAAATCAAACAATGGATAGTACTGAAAGTTAAGGCTAACACAGAAAAATGAATGGTCATTAAGACAAAATAATGCCAAATTTTATTTTTATTTATTTTTAGCAAATGAAACTCAACAAAATTCAATTTTACCCATCAAATTTGCAAAATACTTTCTATTAATACCCATGCCTACGCTTTCAATCGTTGAAACTGCAAAAAAAATCCCAAAACTGTTCGGTTTTTGAACCTCCGGAAATTGCCGATCCTACCCGGGAGTGGAATTTGATTAATTCTACCATAAATTTTGTTCCATTTTGGCGCACTTTAATAGCGAAAATCCACCATCGAAATAAACACCAAAATTTAATAAATAACGTTTGTTTTTACAGTAGACCTTCTGACAACGAACTCCTCTTTAACAAAACTTCTTTATAAAGAACTATTTTAAAATCCCCGAACGATTCGTTATACAGGAGTTCTGTAAATCCAATCTTAACCCCAATATTTAATCTTCAAAATCAACCCCTAGCTTTGTAAATCTCTCTTAACAATCCCTAACTTTGTAAATCTCGCTTAACAAATAAACCGACGATATATACCTTGAAGCTAAGAAAGGGAATAAAACCTTTTTTTCAAAAAACCTTTTTCGGGATTCGCTTTTTTTTGTGTTTTTCTCCTCAACTCACTTATTTATATACATGAATTCCCTATTTTGCGTTCAACTTTGTAAGCAACTTGAAGTGGTTCAAAAACATTGACAAATTGGCTTCTATTTGGTCTGGTTTTTGTTGTTATAGGTATAGTTTGATCTTTTTTATTATTGCTAAAGTTTACACGGGTTTTGGGGGTTGATTAGATTATTATTGGGTTGTTCATTAAATTTTATGCCCCTTTTTTATAGCACAGTTAGGCTCTCAACAGTACTAGTCATACTCTAATGCTGCATAAAGTATAGTATTCGGTTGTTCAATTAATTCTGAGCCCCCCTTCAAAGCATATGTTCGGTAGCACAGAATTACTGGAACAACAGTTCAGCTTTATCGTTCAAAAAATGAATATTACGTTTCACCTACCACTATATATTGACCATAACATCAACCATCCTCAATATCTATCCCAAAACCAAAAAAAATTTACCCCAAAACAGAAAAATTTCAAAAGTTTAAGCCCCCAAACTCCCTAAAGCATACCAACAATCAAAATTTATGAACAATTATATTATTTTTTCCAAATCAAACAAACTTCCCCCACACTCCTAAATTCGGCCACTTTGCAGCAGAGAAAGGAATGGTACGGCCTCGAGGAGATTGCATTTTTATTTATAAATAAAAATGAGGCCGCCAAAGATTCGAACGCCTTTTTTTTCATTTCCCCTGCACAAAAAATGTGTTGTTTTTAAAAATGTGTACAGTATTCGAAATTTCATGCCTCGGGCGACAATTTCAATCTCAAAGGTTTTGGTTCGAAAATAAACGGAATTTTCAAGGTTTTTGGCCCATAAGTTGGTTGTAAATAACTTTACATTTTGAATATTGCGACTTTGGCTTGAAAGATATCAAGATTATCCTTATTTCTATCAATATTATCAATTTCAAATTAATATTGCATCGTTTTATACGTTTTACACATCAATGTAGATTTTATGTCTAGTATAACCTCCAACTTTCAAGAAACACCAAAAATACAAATTTTTTATATGTTCAAAATATATCAATACGTATTTTATTATCACAAACAAAATTTCAAATCAAAATTTTAAAAACAACCACTTTGACATGGCTATCTATATCAGATACCTACTACAACATCCAAAGTCAAAAAACCAAACTTACTTGTTTGAACTTGGAGTCGCTGTTCCATTTGGAGGTCCACCAGGCATTCCTCTAATCGGTCTAAAAATTTTAACTATTATTATCACCTTAAAACTATTATTATTATCAGTTTTCCCTACAACAACATCAAAAAATCAAAATTCCAGCATATCGATGCCATTTAAACCTCCTGAACACTCACGTATCCTCAAAAGAAGCCAAACCCAATATGGCAAAGACAAAACAAGTCCTAATCTTGCTTTGCAAACTCATCAACACCCTTTAACATATCCAAAATTTAATTTGTTTTATTAAAAACCGCAAAAACTGGCTTCAAATAACATCTGGCTTCATAAACAGATGGGACTTTAAACACTTGCAAATATGTTTTAGAATCATCTCAATATATATACAGATATATATGTTTCTGAATCAAAAATAATAGCCACTTACGCATTTGGGCCGCGTTGACGAACACGTTCCGGGCAGTTGTGTTGGTAGAGGTTGGAGCGGAATTTGAAGGCCTAAAATAAGGTTTTTAGTGAAAGAAATAATAAATTAAGTTCAAATTATATAAAGGAATCAACAAAACTTATTCAAAATGTAGAAGATACTTGTAAAACAATGGAAAACAGTTTTCTTCAATGAAGAAAAAAAAATGTTTAAATTATTCATCGAAGTGTCACAAATTTGTGGCACTTCGTTCAAAGCTTGGAAATCGTTGAAAATTCCAAAAATTCAGTCATTTCTTCACATTTTTTAGTTTCTTCTAACTGTCTTTGCCATTTCTAGCTAGCTACTATCCAAAATTATTTTAAAAACATTCGATTTTAACTTTAAAACCTTATCCACCTTCAAAAACCCCTATATTTCTTAAATTTCCTCACTTATCCTTCAATTTAACCAACAATAGATGGTTATATTGAACGATATAATAATATATAAACCTCCTCACCTTCTGACAATAGTTGCACTTGAAAGGACGTTCATTACTATGTCTCACAGCATGTTGTTTCAGGTACCAAATGCTCTTGAACAGCTTTCCGCACTCCTTGCAGGCGCACAACTGATTCTTCTGCAGCGTTATCGATGTTTTACCGACTTCGATTGGACAAACGACCAAAGGTGGTGGTGCCGGAGCATCGTCTGGAGATTGTAAAGGTTGTGCTGGAGGTTTGGAGTTGTCTGGCTCTTGGGTTTGGGCGGAATTCTGGGGGGTTTCGTTGAATTCGGCGCCGCCCGAGTTTGTGCTGTTTGGTGGAGATGAATTGGTGTTGGAGTCTGAAAGAGGAAGTTAAATTTGTTGAATTTGTGCTTAAAATATGCTGAAGAACCTTGGCTTTCTATTGCTAACAATTTTTGGTTCAATTAAAACTGATATTTTACAAAAACTTGAGTTATACATTGACCATCATGTTTAATATAATTTTTGACCAAAAATCCAGTATTTTCAATTCATAATCACTCTAAATTAACAGGAAGCTCCTCTCAAACTCACGATGTGGATCCTGTGGGTCTTCATCCTCCTCCACAACAACATTCAACTTCATGTCGTTCATGTTTTTGTAGTTGGAGTTGTTGGAGTGCATCATGTTCAAGTCGGTTTGAAGTCGATAGGCGGTAGCGTCTGATAATGAAGAGAATAATGAAAGGTCCCCATCCTCAATGGCTCGCATATCTTCTAGATCGAATTCGGCGAGAAAGTCGGCTTCCACCGAGTCCAACATGTTCATTTTGTGTAGGTTATACTGATGTAGGTTGGTTGAGTAGTTTGGTCGTTATTATCGAGTAGACGAAGTTACTGTTGTGTACAAATGTTTCTTTGGGTACTGTAGATTATGGTAGTCAATTTAGTAATTAAGATAAAAAAAGTTGCTGTAGGGTACAAGGTAGGATAAGGTAGTATAATATAGTCGAATAGGTAATAAATTCAAATAATACGTAGATGTAAAGAATAGAATTTGATTCTATGTTAATATACAATGTAAAAACAGTAGTTCACGTAGATTTACTCTGTAGAATTATCAAGATTTACTATGTAGAACGTATCAAAGTAGATATATAAAGGTTATCACTAAGTTTTGCGCGCGGTCGATAAAAGGTTGAAAGAGCGGTCGAAGTTTTAGGATAATATGAATGTAGGGGGTTGAAAGACGTTTGTCGAAACGAGGTTTTTTCTCCGATACTGTAATGTTTTCGGTAGGCAGGAATTGAAAGTACTTGTTGTTAACAAGTGTCTAGATGGTCTAACTGATTACAATAAGATATCAGTCAATTTTAACTGAGATATCAGCCAATTGTAACTAAGATATCAGTCAAACTGAACTGAAATACGATATAAGATATCACTACGTCGTGGAAGACTAAAGAAAATTGAAAGCACTTGTTGTGGGTAGTGAAAACGTTGCGTTAAAGCGCGAAATGCGGCGTCGTTAGTAGGCAAAGTGGTACGTGTTGGTTGTGTGCCGTATCCGACTCAATTTCATATCATCTGCGGGCCGAAACTCCGGGCTAACTGTGTGCGCTTGGCGGTAAATTGAACGGGCGATTTTCCGCGAGGATCGACCGGTCAATTCGGTACTTTGAGATAAGGGGTACCTGGAAAAGGGTGTTGGTTAGAATGGCTATTGATAAGTTTAAATGCTAGGTCAATGTAAAACGGCACGAATCTGAGACTGATAAGTCAATGAAAAATGGCGCGAATTTAGGTAACAACGCGAAAAAATAACGGTCATAAAAGAGAGAGAAATCGTGAAAATGAAAAAAAAATTGAAAATTTTTCAAAAAAATCAACAGGGGGGACCCCGTTCAAGTTTTTTTCAAAATTTTTTTGAGGAAAAGCAAAAATTTTAAGTTGCAAATCTCGAAATTTTTTTTTCAAAATTCAAACCTGAGCTCAAAATTCAAATTTCAAACGCAAAAATAACAAATGTAATGAATATGAAAACAGTTTGTACCACAATTAAGTTTTGGTCTTACTTTTTTCAAATGTCATCGCTCTTTCAAAAGATTATTATAACTACAACTACTGTCAACAATAGTTTTCAAATGCGTGATGTTTGAAATAGAAGAAAATTGAGGAAAAACGGAGATCCGCAGTTTCAAAACAACATCATTTTGAGTATAATACAGATCTCTTTATACCTAATTTTAGGATTTTTTTGTACCTTTCAGTTAACCAAAGAGATGTAGTCAACATAATGTTGTTTTAGTCAAAATGATGTTGTTTTAAAACTTTTGAACTCCATTTTTCAATCTTCTTCTCTTTCAAACATCACGCTTTTGATACCTATTGTTAATAGTAATTGTAGTTACAATAAACATTATGAAAGAGCGATGACATTTGGAAAAAGTAAGGCCAAAACATAATTGTGGTACAAACTGCTTTCATATTCATTACAGTTGTTGTTTTTGTGTTTGAAATTTGAATTTTGAACTCAATTTTTAATCTTGAATTTTTTTTGCAACATTTTAAATTAAAAAACAATTTTTATTGCTTTCAAAGAAAATAAAAAAAAAAACTTGAAAGTGGTTTCCCTCGTTGTCAAAAAAAAATTTAAAATTTTTGGAAATTTTTAATTTAAAATTTAAATTTGAAAATTTCGAAAATATTTTTAATACGAAATTTTAAACTTCTAAAAAAATTTTAAATCTCCATCTTTAACATAAAATTTTTTTCAACTTAAAAATTCGAAGAAAAATAAATTTTAAAGAGCACAATTAAAAACTTCAAAATTGAAGCCATATTTTTAAATTTAAAAAAGCTTTAAACCCCCATTTTCGACAAAAAAGTTTTTTTTCAACTTAAAAATCCGAAAAAATAGTTGTGGGGCAAAATTAAAAATTTCAAACAAAATTCAGGTCCACACTTAAATTTCAAACCAAGATTTTCTTTTTAAATTAAAAAAAAAAATTCTTACCTCCCTCTTCTCCAATGTAGAAATTTAGATAAAAAACTTTAAACCTCACCTTCAAACAAAAAAAAATTTTAAAAAAAAAATTTTAGACCAAACTTCAATAAAAAGTTAAAAAAAAGACCACACCCTTCTTAAAAAAATAACAAGATTTCAACTACAATTTCAATGTTTAAAATCACAATCTCCAAAACAATTGTTCGAAGAAACATAAAACAATATAATATAAGTTGTGGCTTGTGCTGGAAAAGTGAACGAAATGGACCCGAGAGCACAAGAGTATATAATTATAGGGCTTTTCGGTAGGATAATGCTTACAAATGTTTACAACTTGTTTTTACATCTCGACTACGTGTTGATTACATTCTGAAACTACAAAAAACGGTAATCGTCACAGTTTAGAGGTTTCTACGGTAAAAAATTGCTAGGGTTTACAAATACTGTAGGTAATTGTGGCCTTTAAGTGAGGGGGGGGGGGGAGAATACGGTAATCAAGGGTATTTTGTGCGTAACACTGTAGATAATTATAAGTGTTGAAAAGCATACTGTAGGTGAAGATTATAGGAACCAGCAGCTACAGTAAGCCGAACTGTAGAGTTAACAAGTATACTGTAGCTAATTATAAGGCTTAAGAACAACACTGTAGCTAATTATAGGGACCAAGAACTATATTGTAAGTAATCACAAGAGTTAAGAAGTATACTGTAGATAGTTATAAGACGTAGAAGCTGTCGTATTCCTTACTGTAGAGTTTGTGCTGGCACAAATAGGCCTGGCTGAAGGAACGTGCTGATACGAAGCAGTATGGGCAATATAGTACTAAGTAGCACTAATTAATTATAATCCTATATAGTACTGGTTAAGTAGTACTACATAACTAATAGCATGCAGAATATGATTTTCATGCTGATAGTGCTATATAGTACTAACCTATCCTAGCCATAACGCTACACTTCCCTACCTCTAGCCTTACCCTAACCCACTCCTATCACAAGATCTTATAAATAAAAGCAATGACAGCACCTTGCTAATACCTAATAAGCTTCCAGAAAGAATTGCCAAATGTCCACAAACAAAGATGTAAATAGGAAACGTGGGTCTTGTGAAACATTTCAACATTTAACATTAAGATCGAAAAAAATGTTGCCCAAAACAGGTAAGAACGTTTGGTAAACATTGTGAAATTGGGCGAGGTAAAAACAAACAAGATTAATTAATCCCCTGCGGCAACTGGTTAGGAAATATTAAAATTTTATGAAACTGTAAACAAAGGTTACGTGTTTCAGACGGTACGTGAGGTAAAAATGAGTTGGATTAGAGACGTGTAGGGTTATATACAGTAAAACGCGGGTATAACGAATATCGCTTGGGTCTTAGAGTAGAGAAAGGTAGAGTAAGGTAGGATATAAAAGAGTAGGGTAGGGTAGGGTGCAATAGGGTAGGGTAGGGTGCGGTAGAGTAGGGTAGAGCAGAGTAGAGTAGGGAGGGATAGGGTAGTGTAAAGTATGGTAAGATAGGGTAAGGTAGGCAAGGTAAACGTCATTCGTTACACAGGAGTGTAGTAGCCACCAAAATGAAATTTCAAGTTTTAAGTTGTTCAAATAATCCTGTGCCCCTACCCCCAAACATTTGCTTTTGAGATTGAGTTGGCACAGAATTATTTGAACAAAAAAATTTTAAAAAAATTTTAGACGGTCCGTTTCACTCTCCTCAAAAACTGATGTCATAGTGCAAGTTAAAACAATATAATTGAAAAATGAAGCCATTCCAATCCATGGCTACTATGTCTCAAGACAATGACAATGTAAAACGGATATTATGGCTATAGACATACAAAACACATACAACTATAGACAAGATAATCTTCATGTTGCGACAAGCAATATGTAACACTATGTGTTTAACTTTCTGTGGTGTAACGTCATTTGGAATAGCGATGTCCGTCTCTACTGATTTAGGCTTGCTACTACAGTGAAACTCCTGTAGAACCAACTGATATTAAAAAAGATTTAAAGTTGTTCGTTATGATGAAGTTTCGTTATACAGAAGTTTTAAATGCACTATGAAGTAATAGTCGGGGATATAAAGTTGCTTGTTATAACGGAGTTTGTTGTACAGAAGTTCCACTGTAATAGCATTCACTGAAACTCCCCAGAAACCCTCCAAGCGATACGAAAACAGAAGACTGTAAAAGCGAATTTTTTTTGAAAACCGGCCAAAAAATCGGTCAAATGAGTCAGAAACTTTTGTCTGAAGAAAACATAGGGGGGGGAGAACAACAAGAGTAACATTTGGGATGGCTTCACCGTGCACGATCAAAGACGCCGGAAGGCCGATTCAGAATTATGATTCAATGCACAATAAAGGGAAAGTTGCTTCGGAGGGCTTGGTCGTAACGTAAATTCGAGACATAACACGTAACATGTTGAGGTTTGAATGTCGCTGAGAACGTGTTTTTGTGAAAGGGAAACAATGTACTGTAACATTATTGAAACATACAAAAGGTTAGTCTACTGTATTACCGTATTATAGAGATTATAGTACTGTTAGTCTGCTGTAGTGGAGAGAAGGAAAGATAGAGAAAGGGTGAGAAAGAGAGAGACATTACTATGAAAATCAGCAACAGTATCGAAAAAAACGTACTATTGTGTAGGTAGACACCTTAAAAGTTGCTCGTTATAGAGTAGTTCCTTATACATAATGACAAGCCTATGCTAGAAGTAATAACTAGCCAAAGTCAGTAGAAGCGGATATTGCAGTAATTTTTAAACAGTTTGCTATAGAAGAGTTCGTTATAAGTTACACTGTAGTAATACATA